TGACCAGATGTTTGGAAGCTGTGGCTGGATGGTTACGTGGAAGCCGATTGAAGTTAAATCCTTTGAAGACAGAGGTCCTCTGGCTGGGACGGGACGATATGGGATTGGGGGGGCAACTCCCATCTCTTGCGGGGGTGCAATTAGTGCCAGCACCGTCCGTTAAGAGTTTGGGTGTAATCTTCGATACCTCCCTCTCTATGGAGGCGCAGATTACAGCTATAACAAAGGCGGCATTTTTTCATCTCCGCCAAGCTAAGCAGTTGGCCCCTTATCTCTCTCGCCCTGACCTAGCCACTGTGATCCACGCGACGGTTACCTCCAGACTGGATTATTGTAACTCGCTCTACGTGGGGCTGCCCTTGAGACTGACCCAGAAACTCCAGCGGGTGCAGAATGTCGCGGCGAGACTCCTTATGGGGTCTTCGCTGCAAGATCACATTCATCCGGTACTATACCAGCTGCACTGGCTCCCGGTGGAGTACAGGATCAGGTTTAAGGTGCTGGTTTTAACCTTTAAAGCCCTATACGGCCTAGGACCCTCGTACCTACGGGACCGCCTCTCCTGGTATGCCCCACAGAGGAACCTACGGTCTGCAAATAAAAACATCCTGAAGGTCCCAGGCCCCAGAGAGGTTAGGCTGGCCTCAACTAGAGCCAGGGCTTTCTCGGCTGCGGCTCCAATCTGGTGGAACGCTCTGTCACAAGAGACTAGGGCCCTGCGGGACCTGACATCTTTCCGCAAGGCCTGCAAGACAGAGTTGTTCCACCAGGCCTTTGGTCAGGGCCCAGCCTGACTCCCTCCTCTGGCAACCTGCACAGAATTTTGCTTAATGGTTGCCATTAATTTGATTTTAATTAATTTTTATAATGAAACGTTTTAGAATGTTGGATTATTTGATTGTTTGATTGTTTGATTGTTGTTAGCTGCCCTGAGCCAGGCTTCAGCTGGGGAGGGCGGGATATAAATAATAATAATAATAATTATTATTATTATTATTATTATTATTATTATGTGTGCAAACCTGAAGTTCTGCTATGTGCTTGAATCCCTCCTGCAAAGAGGCAACCTTGTATGCTGAAGGACAGTGTGTGAGGAGGGTTAACCCCCTCCTCCCCATGCACATCTGCCTCATGAGCTTGTATCTAAAAAAAAGTGTGTGTCTGCGTGTGAATGGCCTTACCTCAACCACCAGTCTAGGTCATATGGGTTCCAGTCACCCACTGGCATACGGCCTCCAATTGCCATCAGAAGTAATAAGGTTCCCCTTTTCTGAACTAGCAGAAGATAGAGTCATAGAATTGTAGGAAGGGACCCCCAAGAGACATCTAGTCCAACCCCCTGCAGTGCAGGAATCCTGCCCAAAGCCATCCCTGGGTGGGCTCGAACCATCACCACCATCTGGAAATGCCAGGGATTAAACTAGAAATCTTTTGACATGCAAAACATGTGCTCTGCCACTGAGCTACGAATCTTCCACAAAACTTTAGGCATTGCCACATTATATATACAGGAATAGTGAGTGTGGGCTTGAGAGAAAATAGGGTTGGTATAAGGTCACCCCATGCTGCTTCTGGTGAGAATTGAAATGGGGATGCCCTGAGCTGGCATTCCAAGTCGCTAGGGCACACCATTGTGCATATCACATCTTTAAGCTTGAAATCCAAAGGCCAACCAGATTCCCTGCATGGAGTTTGCTGCCGGAAACCCAAGTAGCCACTTCCAGGAATAGAAGAGGGGAACTGAGACGTTGAATGAGCAGAGAATAGATCAGTAAACACTCTGGTTCAGAAGGTGAGACACCCCCCCCCCATCTATAAATTGTTAACAGGTCATAGGCCCTAGGTTTAAGAGCAGAGAGGTGCAATGGCTCCCAATATATATGTGTGGGTATCAATACCAGGGCTGGATTAACCATTAAGCAAAATAAGCACATGCTTAGGGTATCAAAGGAAGGGGGACACCACAGAAATTTTTCCATTGCCTGATTTTTAATATTAATTGTCACAAATTGCTCAGCTGAGCGTTCATTTTCTCAGTGGAAGTATATTAAACACCCCAACAGAACAACTATGCAACAATGCAGGTTGGATTCCTTATCTCTACTAAGTATAGAAGCAGAGGTGTTATATAAGATTAGTTTTGAGGATCTGGTCAAAGACTTTGCCATTAGAAAAAGTAGGATCTGAGCCCCCCCCCCCAATATAAATAAAGTGGAAGTATACAAAAATTAGTATTATTTTCCATCTTATTGTAGGTCTTGTTTCATTTCAAAAAATTAAAATTTATTTTATGGTTTATTATTATTTTGAATTAGATATATATGGGGGCACAAAAATCTTTTAAGTGCTTAGGGTCTCTAAAGGTCTCAATGAATGAAGGCCCTGATGAAGAAGATGCTTGAGTCCTCATGATTCCATTGGAAAATACAGTGGTACCTCGGGTTACAGACGCTTCAGGTTACAGAAGCTTCAGGTTACAGACTTCACTAACCCAGAAATAGTACCTTGGGTTAAGAACTTTGCTTCAGGATGAGAACAGAAATTGTGCTCTGGCGGCGCAGCAGCAGCAGGAGGCCCCATTAGCTAAAGTGGTGCTTCAGGTTAAGAACAGTTTCAGGTTAAGAACGGACCTCCAGAACAAATTAAGTTCTTAACCTGAGGTACCACTGTATAAACATGAAATATCTGAGGCACCTATAAATGAAGTATTGTATCTGAAAGGGGTTCCCAATGGTGGTGGGTGGAACTTGACCAAGCAGGACACCTCCCACCCCACTAGAAGAAGGATGCAGGACCTTGTAGACCTTCAGGTGTTAGTGGACTCCGGCTACTATCAGACGCAGCCATCCTGGCCATTGATCAGGGATTTTGGGAATAGTAGCCACAGGTCCCGTCCTCCCCCGGTCAAGAGTTGTGTCCTTCTCCAAAACTAGAGACACACAGAAGCTGCAATTATTGATTGTGCAGTCAGTCCTTGATGCACCTTGAACCATGGAAGCTCTCTACCAAAGGATCTCAACTTCATAATGTGTTGGACAGTTTCAGTGAGGAAAGTACAGCTGAGAGAGAGAGAGGTCCTCCTCAACCTGGGCTTAAAAGTCCCCGTTTAGCCGAGACTCACTGTGTAGCCAAACACGGATCACTTGCTCTCAGCCCCAGGGCCCTGTCATTCAGCTTGGACCAGCAAAAATGCTATCGACCTACTAGGTGAAAACATTCCTCTTCAGCCAGGCCTTTGGCTGTTAAACAATCCATGGCCTTTTAAATGTGTCTCTTTGTGTGTGGCAGGGGGTCTTTTTTTTATCATTATTGTTATGTGATGTATTTGTGCTTTTATGTTGCGAACCACCCTTTGGATGGAAGGCAGTATATAAATTTAATTGATTGATTAGTTTAGAAATGCAGATTGTACACACATCGATGCAACACTCGCCTGCCCCCCAAACCTACTGGTGGTATTCAGCTAAACAGTTCCTCTTGCACAAACACTTCTTGTTGTGCAATAAAATTTCCTCCTCCTCTTCTTTCCTCTCCCTGTGAACTCCACCCCCTAAAACACGTTAGGTTGGGTTTTTTTAACCCCAGACCTCCAGAGCAGGTTTAGGGGACTCACAGGGGGCATATAGGGAGAGGAGGAGAATTTGTGTTGTGTAGCCAAAGGTTTCTAGCAAAACTGCTTAGCCGGATACTGCCCTAGTTATTTATTTTTTCAAAATTAAAAATCACAGAGCCTGGGTTTTGATGGGCAAGCCTTTATACCGCAGCTGTTGGCGCATCTCAATGTACCTGCTGCTGCATTTTACCTCTAATGAACAGCAATCCAAATTCTAAACAGTGGTTAGTTAGTTAGGTAAATTAATCTATCTCCCCCCTCCCCCACATGTTTTAGCACGAGGCAAAACGGTACCCCTTTTGGCTGGCCCAAAACTCAGCAGAAAAGTTATCAACAGGGACTGACTGTGGGTATCATATCACAACAGGGTTTTCCTGTCACCAACACTAGTCCATTTCTGGGCCCAATTCAAAGTGTGGATTTTTATTTTAATCTATGAAGCTTTAGATGTCTTAAGGCAGCACTTAGATGAACTGTGGACATCACAGTAATGCATCTGAATAGCAGTTTCTGGAAGCCACAGGAGGGGAGAGTTGCTCTTGTGCTAGAATCCTGCTCAATGGTTTCCCCCAGGCATCTGGTTGACCACTGTGAGAACAGGATGCTGGACTAGATGGGCTGATCCAGTCAGAATGTTCTTATGTTTTCCACAGCACCACCTCCTCTCGCAAAGAGCTGCTCAAACCCTAGGTCATCTCAAAGGCCCTTCTCTGGATGCAATTGCCAAATGAGGAAGCCATTAGGAAGAGGGCATTATTTTCAAGTGTGGTGCCCCAAGCTATGGAATGGGTGTGATGCATTTATTAAATTTGTTTTCATCATCATCCTCTAATTAATGTACCACTTAATGCCAAAATGGTCTTCTACATTATAAGAAATAGCGCACACAGGTCAATATATTTTTATTGACACAGGGGAAGGAAGTATTTCTTTACATTCCTGAATAGCTTCCTCTGAAAAATATTAAAGTCGTTTAACAAAAAAACAAAAAAAAATTAAAAAACATAAACCTGCAAAAACATAGATTTAATGTTGTATATTTAAAGACCAATTAAAACAATGCTACCTCTCTCTATATAAAAATCATTCCAGATCCAATACAGATAACAGATTGGGATAAAAATCTCCACCTAAAAGGCTCGTTGGGTTAGCTTTTCTTTGGTTTTTTAAAAATATGGTTTGCTGGTGGTGGTTTCTCTCTCTCTTGCCTCTTCCTTTCTTTTCATTTCTGATCATTGCTTTGCCACTCACTTTTCTAAAATTGCTGTGGCTTCGAAGTTGCATTGTTCAGTGCCCAGAGAGCCTTAGTTATTGGGCAGGACACAAATCCTGGTAGGAAATATGCACATTATAGGCAGAAGGAAAGGTCTTGTGCACTTAACAATTTCCCCCTTGTACATGCCCTGGGATAAATTGGGGTAATAGTGAGGGTTACAGCTACCCCAGTTTATCCCAGGGCATGTACTGGGGGGTGGGGGGAGAGGGATAAAGCGCACATGACCTTTCCATCTCCTCCTCTCCCTCTCCCCACCCTGGGACCATGGAAGCTTTCTTCACAACTCAGTTCATTTCTAGAACAGCCTCTTTCCATTGGGGAGGCAGCGAGTCAAAGCAGGACAAAGAAGCAAAAGCCAGGAGAATAAGCTACTCCATCCCTCTGGGAAGATGCTGCAAAATGCTGAGAATGAAGCCCAAGACCCAGGCAAGTCATAAGCACAGTCTCAAAAGCAAACACAACACACACACAAACACAGGAACCCACACCTGTCTCCCCAGTCTAGCCCTGTTAATAGATCACCCGTCAGGACTTCCATCGCACAAACAAGCACCAATAGATGGTATTGACTTGGCTGTGGCTTCCGGCAGTTTCCATGGAATATCCTGAATGTTTGCCCGGGTTCCCCGTTGCGCTTGGAGTGGAAGTAATGTGGCCTAGGCCACGTTTCACATAAAGCCAGCAGAGATGGAGACTCTTTCCTGCAGCACACCCTCAAAAGACTGTTGCAAGCAAGCAGAGGAAGGATGGAAACGGCGGGGTTAACAGCAGGGAAAGCTTCTCTCCAGCGGCGAGAAATATTCCCAGCAGCGATGTAGCAGCGTTTGCCCTTCATGGCTTTCCGACTCTCACTAGACCAGCTGCTCTGTTCCGCCTCAGCTGCTAAACAAGTCCTGGGCAGGCGAGGCCCAAGGCTTGCATTTAGCCAGGATTCGGCCCCAGAATTTGCTTTTTGCTGGTAGACCGTAGCCTTGGAAGACATGATGAGGCAAGAGTAGAGGCAAGCAGAACTCTGAGCATATGCAAAGTGCAACCGCCCTCACCACTGAATGTGATCATTGCCAGTCTGCACACATCTGGAATCAAGGGTACAGAGGACCCAGGTCCAATTCCTGTCACTGCCAGGTGAGGCTTGGAAAGACCCCTGCCTGAATCACTGGGAAGCCACTTCTGGTCACTGCAGACAATACTGAGCTAAACAAGCTAATGAAATGGCTCAATATAAAGAAGTTTCCTATATTTCACCTCACCCATGCCCTGCCTGCCCATAGAAAACTAGCAAGTTGAAACTAGCAAGCTCTGGGTTAGCTTTCCCACAAAATATGCTAGTTTTCTAGGTGCAGGGACCTGTGTTTTGAAGGAACATTCCAACAAAGCCCCTTCCTCTTCTGCAGCTGACGCAGGACAAAACAGCTATACCTTGTTCTCCTGCTGTGGGCATTGAACTCCTCTAAAGGGCTCTAGCACAAACCCCAGACCTGCTGCACAATTTATTCAGCTTGTGACGAAGTTGACTGTCCTGAATCACAGCATCTCTGGGGGTTTGGTTTGTGATCAACGATAACTCTGGACCGTAGTGTCATTAAATAAGCCAAGTCTTCATCATGTGCTGGGATGGTAGTAACACTTTCTCAGGGTCCTGACACACATCTCCAAACGTTCTTGAAAGAATCTGACAGAACATGGTTCTGTACTTACAAATGAATCTCCCTCAGCTTGCTGTCACCTCAGTGATGCTCTGCTATGGCTGTGAGCCTCCCAGTGCAGAAGGCAGAAAAATGCTTGGGAATGCATGAAATGCTGAGCAGCCACCATCACCTGCCACGAGCCTGTCTCTTCTCCCCAACACATCATAAACAGACCCCCTTTCCCCTCTCCTTCCCTGAACATCCAAGTCGAGGAACCATTCTGTGTAACTCCAAAGGGTTGCCTGCAACCAACCTTTATGGGTGGAATTAAACACCAAGTCCTTTATTTATTTATTTGTTGCATTTATACACACCACTTATTTTCTCCAAGGAACTCATATTGGCACGAATGATTCTCCCTCATTTAATCCCCACAACAACCCTGTGAGGTAGGCTAGGCTGAGAGACTGTGACTGGCCCAAGGTCACCCAGTGAGCCTTGTGGCCGAGTGGAAGACAGGCATCAGATTATCTGCAGAGAGATTACTATACTCCAGTAAATTGCATGGACTGCCTATGGGTGGCAAATGACAGCTAGAGAAGCCAGTTTTGTAAATTCACACATGCAAGTTACTAGCCTGCAGGGATTGTTGTTGAAATATATATAAAAAATAAAAATAAATGTCCAGTAGCACCTTAGAGACCAACTAAGTTTGTTCTTGGTATGAGATTTCGTGTGCATGCACACTTCTTCAGATACCTTGATGGACTTCCATTTCATGTGGCTCAATGTGGTGCCTACCATGGTTCTAGATTCAGGTAGGTAGCCGTGTTGGTCTGACGCAGTAGAAATATATATATAAAAATAATAAAAACCCTGTCCAGTAGCACCTTAGAGACCAACTAAGTTTGTTCTTGCACATGAAAGCTCATACCAAGAACAAACTTAGTTGGTCTCTAAGGTGCTACCGGACAATTTTTTAATTTTTTTTATATACATTTCTACTGCGTCAGACCAACACAGCTACATACCTGAATCTAGGGAGTGTTGTTGTCTTTTTATCAGCATGCTAAGGGATTAGCTAAAAATTAGAAGCTCTCCACCAAGCAGACTGGAGGAGGAGGAATAGAGTAATTCACTTTCCATGCTGCTGCAAGAGGAAAAACAAAATTACTTCATTTGCATGTAACACCAAGCAGCTTAATGGAGGAGGGATGGAGCGGCCCATGCCCCTGCCCTCAGTCTGCTCACTTGCCTGCATAGAATCCCTTGCACTCACCTGCATGAGCTTCCTGGTCGCCTATGGCGAGTTGTTAAATAAGAGTCTGAGAAAAGGCCATTGCAAAGCTTTGCAAATGGGCTAAGCAGTGACACATGCAATACCTTCTGAGTCCCCTGCCCTCCGGGAGATATTCCAGTCCCATCCCTGCACCGCAACACCCATCTGCCACCTACTCTCACAGCCTTTTAATTGAGATTCAAATGAAAAATGCTTCAATCAGACTATAAGATGTCCCAAGTCAGGACTGACTCACATGACCTACTTTAACACAGGAGTACAGCAGTGAAGTCGTTGTGTGCTGCCCACAGCTTCCGTTCCGGAGAAGATTCCAGCATGCGCTTGCCAAGGCTTCGAAAACTACAGCAGCCGAGTTTTAAGCAAGGCGGTGTCAGGTCATGACTTCCCTGTCACAGAGTTCCCACTATATGCCTCTCACCCACCAAGGGTGCACCAGCTCAAAGACTGAACCAGCATGTGTGTGTGTGTGTGTGTGTGTGTGTGTGTGTGTGTGTCTTTCATGGGCATAACACACCATCATTTACGTGTAATTTCACATATATGTTCATGGGGTCTGAACTGGCAGTGATGGACAAGGAACAAGACCTTGGGGTCATGATGGAGAGCTCAGTGAAGATGTCAACTCGGTGTATTATGACTATGAAAAGGGCAAATCCCATGCTAGGGATCACCTGAAATAACGCTGCTAATATCATAATGCCATTATACGAATCTATGGTGCAACCACATTTGGAATACTGTATACGGTTCTGGTCAGCTCCCCTCAAAATGGATATTACAGAGTTGGAAATGGGCAACCAAAAATGCTCACAGGGATGGAGCAATTCCCCTACGAGAAAACATTGCAGCGCTTGCGGTAAGAAGCAACACGATAGGAGTTTATAAAGTCATGCATCGCACAGCAAAAGTGGGTAAGTTTCTCTCTCTCCCTCAGTACTAACTAGAACTTGTGGGCAGGCAATGAAGCTGAATGCTGGAAGATTCAGGACAGATAACATAAAACCTTTCTTCATGCATAGCATCATGAACTTGCTCCCACAAGAGGCAGTGCTGTCCACCAGCCTTGATGGCTTTAAAAGAGGATTATAAAAATTCACAGAGGAGAGGGCTGCTGATGGCTACTAGCCATGATGGCAACCCTCTAGCGACGCTTCTGAATACCAGTTTCTGGAAACCACAGGAGGGGAGAGTTGCTCTTGCGCTCGGATCCTGCTTGCTGGTTTCCCACTGGCATCTGGTTGGTCACTGCGAGAACAGGATGCTGGATGACATGGCCCATTGGCCTGATCCAGAAGGGCTCTACTTGTATTTTTAGGAACTGTCCTGCCCGTTCCCTAATAATGGGGTCCACATTCATGCCACCCAGCCTCCAAGCTCCCTGTCAGAGACTTCACGGCCCACCTTGGGGGAGATTTCTCCAACCCCTTTTAAACAAGCTTGTTGCAAACCTTCAGGGATGAATTGACAAATCCCCAGAGAGTACATGGGAAAGGAACCAAATTAACGCCAACTGCTCCCAAAGTGGCAGCTGAAGAGTGAGGCTTACATTTCCTCCACTAGCCCAGTCCAAAAGAGAGATAAATCTAGGTCATGAGCGACACTAATGGTGTTGTGCACACAGAGTCTTATCCCCCCCGCCCTCCTTGTAATGCAGAGCTAATAGAAATACAAGGGGAGCATCATCGTTCTGATGCTCAGGCCTGTGTGGGCGGCCAGGCACCTCACACCTAATTCTGGTGGTGCAGCATCAGCTTGGCAGCTGCAGCAGAGCATCTTTGGAAGAGCTGGAAGACGAGGGAGGCAGCTGGATGACTAACCACAGGACTGCAGACATTTCCAAACAGCTAAAGAGGGACAGGGAGGGAGAGGGGAAGGTGCTTTGCTGATAACCCCAAAAGGGTGCCAAGATTGAGATGGTAAGAGCTGTTCGACTCCCTCAGAAGGCGGTGGGCTCTCCTTCCTTGGAGGGTTATAAGACCAGTTGGATGGCCATCTGCTGGGGATTCTTTAGCTGCGATTCCTGCATTGCAGGGGGTTGGACTAGATGTCCCTTGGGGGTAAGATACAATAATCTTTATTGTCATTGTCCCATATAGAACAACAAAATTGAAAAAATCTACATCAGACATTCAAAAACTCACAAGCCTGCTATCCCAGCCTGGTTAGCCCCTAAAAACTCTGATACCCCATAATTAAATACAATATACTCACATAAAGACTACCTTAAAGGTAAAGGGATCCCTGACCATTAGGTCCAGTCGTGGCCGACTCTGGGGTTGAGGCGCTCATCTCGCTTTATTGGCCGAGGGAGCCGGCATACAGCTTCCGGGTCATGTGGCCAGCATGACTAAGCCGCTTCTGGCGAACCAGAGCAGCGCACAGAAATGCCGTTTACCTTCCCGCCAGAGCGGTACCTATTTATCTACTTGCACTTTGACGTGCTTTCGAACTGCTAGGTTGGCAGGAGCTGGGACCGAGCAACGGGAGCTCACCCCGTCACGGGGATTCGAACCGCCGACCTTCTGATCAGCAAGTCCTAGGCTCTGTGGTTTAACCCACAGCACCACCCGAGTCCCTAAGACTACCCTACACTGCATTTGGATAGAACCTTCAGATCTTACAATGCTACTATTCTAAGCCAAGGCAAGAGGAAATGTGGACGGAGGAAAAGACCAGAGCAGCCCTGGGTGGCAAATAGTTCCGCTGGTGCAGAAATTAGCACCAATGCAAAGTGATTTCCCTGCTCTCCTCACCAGAACAGATGGAGGTGTGCAAGGGGGAGAATGTTCTGTTGTGCAATGGCAAATCCTTCAGCCAACACACTGTTCACCTGATAGACTGCATTTATATCCCCCCTTTATGGGAGGAATTAAAGCTTGAGCATCTTTTATTGCCTCTATATCCCTTTTCTGCAAGGAGCTCAAGGTGGTGCATCTAGTTCTCCCCCTCATTAAATCCCCACAACAATCCTGAGAGGCAGTGACTGGCCCAAGGTCACCCAGTGAGCTTCGCAGCTGAGTGCAGGCTTGAACCCTCATCTCCCAGGTCCTAGTCAGATACTCATCACTGTATCACACCTACAATAGGCTGAGAGCAGAGCAACTGGGGCTCAGGGAGCTGTGCATCAATCAGGAGTGGGGAACTCATGGCTGTCCAGATGCCCGACTCCCATTGGCCTCAGCCAGCATGGCCAGTGGTCAGGGATAAGAGCAGCCTCCAACAACTTATGGTTTTCTCAACAGGGCAAGGTGATCTGAAAGTGGGGGACATTGACATCAGTTCCTTGTCATGGTCCAATCACTCCCTGTTGAGATTTAGGCTCTCAGCACCTTTTCACCTCTGCAGAGGCAGGGGACTTATTAGGAAGGTCCGCCCTTGGAGACTGACGGATCCAGTGGGATTCCAAATGGCTCTGGGGGATTTTCCAGCTGATATGACTGGCACCCCTGTTGAAGCCCTGGCTGACCTCTGGAACATCCCAATGGCTCGGGGCTGTTGACACGATCGCCCCTGAGCACCTCTCCCACTTGGCTCCCTGGTATACTCGAGAGCTTAGAGCAAGGAAACAAGCTGGAAGACAGCTCAAACACAAGTGGAGGAAAGAACCGAATGAATGCAACCGAACATTGCTGGGGGCTCATCATCGAGCTTACCTCGTGGCAGTGAAGGCAGAAAAAAAGGCTTACTTTGCTGCCTCTGCTGCATCCTCATTGTGCCGTCCAACAGAGCTTTTCCAGGTAGTGTGAGGCCTTTTACAGTCTGGCTCAAAGGTGGTGACAGAACCGATGGCAGCTCACTGTGACTTATTTGCAAACCATTTCAAGGGAGCTTGACTCCACTGCTGCAGCAGATGAATCATGAAAGGTGTCCACAACACTGTTTAGTCCTGTAAAAAAAGGTAACGTGCGGGTGGCGCTGTCGTCTAAACCACTGAGCTCTTGGGCTTGCCGATCAGAAGGTCGGTGGTTTGAATCCCTGTGACAGGGTGAACTCCCGTTGCTCTGTCCCAGCTCCTGCCAACCTAGCAATTCAAAAGCATACAAGCACAAGTAGATAAATAGGTACCGCTCTAGTGGGAAGGTAAATGGCGTTTCCATGTGCTCTGGTTTCCATCACGGTGTTCCATTGTGCCAGAAGCGGTTTAGTCATGCAGGCCATATGACCTGGAAAGCTGTCTGTGGACAAACACCAGCTCCCTCGGCTTGAAAGCGAGATGAGCACTGCAACCCCATAGTCGCCTTTGACTGGACATAACTGTCAGGGGTCTTTTACCCTTTTTGGGGGGACCTTTTACCTAATCCTGTTAGATGAGTTTCAGCTAGTAAGGCTTGAGGATGTGGACAAGGTGCTTGGATCGGTCAGGGCGACCACTTGCACTCTGGACCCTTGCCTCCTTGGCTGATGGAAACTAACAGGGAGAGGGCAGCTGGCTGGGCCAGGGAGGTGATGAATGCCTCCTTGCAATGGAGGTAGAACCTGCCTGCTTGAAGGAGGCAGTGGTAAAACCACTCCTCAATAAACTCTCTCCGGCTTTGGAAAATGTGAGTAAAGTTGCCAATCTCCCCTTCTTGAGCAAGGCTCTTGAGCAAGTGGTCGCAGACCAGATCCAGGTGCTCTTGGAAGAAACTGATTTTCTAGATCCGTTTTAATTGGGGTTTAGGTCTGGTTTTGGCGAAGAAACTGCTTTGGTCACCTTGTATGATGACCTCTGCTGAGAGAGGGATAGAGGACATGTGTCCTTGTTTGTTCTTTTCAACCTCTCAGCGGCTTTCGATACCATCAACAGTGGTATAATTCTGGAGAGGCTGTCTGGGCTAAAGGGTGGGTGGCACTGATTTGCGGTGGTTCTGGTCCTGCTTGGATGGACGTTTCCGGAGAGTGATACTCGGGGAGTGTTCTTTAGCCCCATGGAGCCCACAGTGTGGGGTTTCTCAGGGTTCCATTTTATCCCCCATGCAATTCTGTGCAAGCTTACTCTCAAGCAAGACCCAAAGAAGTCAGCAGAACTTGCTTCCACGTAAAAGGAAAAGGGTCAGAATGAATGAGATTTTACAGCAAAGTAACTACACATTATATTTTTATCCAAGCAAATGAGAGTTGAGCATCGATACTAATGTCCAAGCAGGCCTACATGAAGTTTCCTGGAAAGCCTTCATCTGTTACACAACACTTCTAAACTTCAAAGTGTCTTCATGGTTGGTTTTTTTTACCCATTTTACAAATTGGGAAGCAAGGCTGAGGGATGGTGACCAGGCCAAGGTCACAAACAATTCACCCTTGGCAGGTTTGGGGTATGAATTCCATTCTCTCATATCTGAATTGCCTCATACTTATAATAGCTGGTTAAAAACCCAAGAACTAACAAACATTGGAAAGAGGAGGATTTTGGGTTAAAAAACCCCAACCCCCAATAAATGTCATCAAAACACAAAGTGCCTTTTAATGCTTGTAAGACATTTAACTGTACCGAGACATGATTTCAGAATACATTCTCCCGATCTGAGAGATGTACACAGAACACATACTTGTAGCTTATTTTGCAAATTTAAAAGTGCACAACAGTTTGGGTTTTGAGCATCCTGCTTTGAGGGGCACTTTGTGTCATTTATATAACTGTAACATTTACATTATGAAAGAGGGGGGGGGAGATGTGCAGAGATTATTATAAACAGCCCTGGACACCCCTTCAGAGGGAGAGAAGACTCTGATTAAATCACTTTTTTTTTATTAAAAAATAATTACCCACACTTCTAATTTGCAGTTAAAGGCAGATGCCAAATCAATTCATGGTAAAAAGAGAGATGTGGAAAGCAGGCAAGGGATGGCCTCTCTCTCCACCAATTGCATTCACTTGCTTGCAAAAAAGTGCACAGATGCCATTGTGAATATCGCTGCTGCACCGAACTATTTCTGTTAAAGCGAGAGCCTGTGAACTCTGGAAAAGATATCTGCACGTTTTGTGGCTGTAGGTAGGTGAGGGGGGGGGGGGAGAGAGAAAGGGTAGCAGGGAAGGGGGGAGGGAGATGTAGCAGCCCATTAAGTCACATCCACAAATTCCAGGATGCTCAGTCTGGAAACATCAAATGCTGGTGGGGAGAAGAGAAGAGGCAAATGCTGGTTTCTAAGTGAACATCATTGTGCAGAGGAAGAGGAACTACTGAGATGAAAACTAGGCACCCAGTGCTGTGCCCCCTCCCCCACGAGGACTGGGCTTCCCAATTATTCAAGGGAGAAAAACAGGATTAAAGCAATTTGCTTATGGCAGAAGATGAAACAGAAAGCCTCCATCTCTGCGCACTTCTCTCTCCCCCCCTCGCCCCCAGCTCCTGTGAGATCTGCATCGGCAGGAGAGAGAGAGAGAGAGAGAGAGAGAGAGAGAGAGAAGAGGCAGTACAGTGGTCCCTTCCCTTCTCTTCCTCATGCAAGACGGATGGGGAGCATTAAAATGATTCACAGGTTCCCTGGCAGTTTCATTAACATCCACAAAGAGCAGGCAGCTGGACTTCCTCCAACATTAACCAACGGAGGGGGTGGCAGCAGAGGTAATGAGGCAGGGGCTCTGCCCGGAAGCCACTGAACACAACGCCCTTTAACACAAACACCCTTTGCTCACTGCCGGGCAGCCGTGAAATTCTGCACGGCCTGGCAGGGACCTTTGCAGAGCTGTATCGAGGCCACGGGGCAGAGGCAAGCTGCCATCTGTCAGGGATCACTCAGGTGTCGCTCGGGGACTCACAGGATTGTAGAGTTGGAAGGAACCACGAGAGTCATCTAGCCCAACCCCCTGCAATGCAGGAATCTTTTGCCCAGCGTGGGGCTCGAACCCACGACCCTGAGGTTAAAAGTCTCGCACTCTACTGACTGAGCCTTGTTGGCAGGGCACCTGCCCTGCTTGCCAAATGTTCAATCCTCAATAGCATTTCCAGGTAGGGTTGGAAATGTTCCCTTCTCCGGAAACCTGAAGTACTGTTGCAAAGTGGACGTCAGTTTAATTAAATTAAATTAATTACTTCATTGCACATATACCTTTGTGAGGTAGGTTAGGCTGAGAGGCAGTGAATGGCCTGAGGTCACCCAGTGAGCTTTGTGGCCAGGCAGGGATTTGAACTCTGGTCTCCAAGGTTCTAGTCTGGTACTCTAACCACTACTAAACACTGTCATCTTCCTATGTGAATGACTCAGTAACCCTGGGCAAGGCCTGTTAGTGACCTGCCAAAGGAAGAGCTCCCGGCAAGTTTGGTCCAGAGTTTTTTCTGAGGGTGAACTGGGCTTTTTCCTTCCCCTGAGTTGGCCTCCCCTCTTCAAACTAGGGGTGGGGTGGGGCTGTTTTATTCTGCCCGGGACCCACGGTTTGCCTGTTGTGAAACAAAGATCCCAGTGTGTTCCAGGTCCTGATTTTATCCTGCCTGCTGATTTCACTTAACGGTATGCATGTTTGCTCTGTGCAAATATAAATAAATATTAAGTTCTGCATCAATTTAACCCTCCAAATTGTGCATCAAGAACAGCCTGTATTAAAAAACCCCATGAAACTCTTATTTCAAACAACATTATTGAGTTTACTAGTCCTGGGAAGGTTCTATTGTGGAGGAGAGCAACAGCTATCGAGCATGAGAGCCGAACAAAACCTCAGAGGCAGCAAGAACGTTGAGAGGAGCTTGATGGACCAGGCCAAAGGACGCATCTAGTCCAGCATCCTGTTCTCACAGTGGTCAACCAGATGCAAGCAGGACCTGAGCTCAACAACAACTCTCTCCTCTGGTGGTTTCCAGAAGCACACGGCTTCCAGCCAGAGAGGCAGGGCTGGGCCATTGTGGTTTGTAGCCACCATCCCATCTCACTTGTGCAGGGAGTAACAACTTGGGTGGGGCTGGAAGCATCTGGCCTGCAACTTAAGGAAACGGGATGCAAGACGAGATGGGATCTTGGACGTGGAATAAAGGTCTGCGCTGGGTACGCAGAACCTCTTCACCCAGAAATGGGAAATGCTAACTCAAGCTTCCGAGACAGGAGATGACAGGTTTTCAAGCACATTTCTGCAGCTGTTAAGAACTAGAAATGTGCGTGTTTAAACACACACACAAAACTCTCAATTTTACATTACATGCATTATCTAGTCTCCTTAAGAGTTGTGGCATACACACTGAACCCTATCTATAATTTAAGTATCACTTTCTTTACTAGTCCTAACCAGGAAATGCTATTCATATGAATGATGACCTTGCACCTGATCCTCTTTCCCCAGTATGTATAGCCCACACACTGTGTGCAGTTACTAAAAATGCACTAGCATTAAAAACAGGGCAGTGAGGGTTCTAGTCATCATGATCTTTGTAGGACTAAAAACTGAAATGGCACATTAGTCTGGTTTCTAAATGCTTAAATGAAGTTTGTTTCTCTACGCATTTCAAATCAACAACAGCTTTTGTTAATATCCAATGGACCTTCACCCTAATTCCATGGGACAGACATGTTTTGCAAGGCTATCCAGGACCAGATGCAAAGGGGATGGCTCTGCCTGTGCAGAAGAGAGGCACAACTTTTCACTCCTGCTAAACAAAGCCACAATTATGCGCACAATTTCTGCATACAATGACAACGGAAAGAGGAACCCTGCTCCTCCTTTGCTTCTAGTTAAATCTGATTCCCCTTTCCCAGCAAGTGACACAGCTTCCACCGTTCGATTTGGCATAAAAAATTATCCAAAGCAAAACAGACAAAGCATGCGGAATTCCACTCTTATGCTCATGGTTAATCTGCCCAATGAATTCAGATTGCAGAACTGTGGTTCCAAGTTGCAGAATCTGGGATATTTTAGTGGAATGCTGTAGAGGACCCTGAAGAGTGTGAGAGAGCCTCAGAAGAGAATTGTCCTGGGCCTTCTGTTCTGCCACTTGTCACAGGCAGGGCCAGATGTGAAGGCAGCACTGGCAGTCACTTGCCTTTAAAAATCCAGCTGAGCGGAATAAAGCCACATTTCAAGATGGCAGAGAGGGCGGCCACAGACTCTAGATCTTCCTCTCCATAGAGAGGCCTGGCGAAGGAGCCCGCTCTGTATAGCACCACCCCAGCAGAACCTGGGGATCGCGGGATTTCAAGGCACAGCAGTGAGATTTAAAAACAACAACAGAGTTTCCAACACCTCGCCCCTTTCCAGGGACGGGGTTCGCAGCTCCAAAGTGCAGGCACAAGAGAAGATGCAGAAAGGGGGAGGGAAATGTTCCTTTCTTACAAGAGATTTGGCTGCAGAAAACGTTCCCATCCAGTTCCATGGGGAATTGGCTCCCGTTGCCAACTGCAGCTTTCTTCCTTCTTTCTTTCTTAATTCAAAAAATGAATACTGTATGCAGGAAATTGCCCAAAATGACTTGGGAGAAAATGTTGACTCTGGCAGTTCAGCAGCAGCAGCAGGCAGATTGGCACGGGGTCACGAGAGCAGTTTTATGTGCCCCCTCTCACCACCCCACCCCATTCCTTGCCAGCCGCTCACAGGTCAATGGCAGAGAGAAAATTCTCACTGTCTGGGTCCTGGAGGTAGTGTACAGGGGGCGGAGTCTGGGGAGGCAGGTGCAGGCTCTGCCCCAGTGCTAAGTCGGAAGGGGACAGCTCCTCGCCCTTCCGCATGACGTAGATGAAGTAGTGGAATCCGCTCCCGTATGTGGTGTGGCGGACGGACCATCCGTAGGCCGGCTGGGCGTAGTGGCGCTTACGGAAGTGCGGCTGAGCAAAGGTGATGGAGATGAACCGGCCACCAGGGCGTAAGACTCTGCTCACCTGGGAGGAAAAGAGGGACAACATTTCAGAGGACTCATTGCAAGCTGCTGGGATCTCCTTTCCTCCTCTGCCCTTGCCTCACACCACAGAGCAGAACTGTGTCACTTGGCACACCTATCTCCCACTCACCATTCTGTTCTGGCATGCAGCTTGCAAGTTTCTAGACCTCATGACAGAAAGTCTTAAACATGCATAAATCATGGAAGCATCTGCCTTTGGCTTGAACGTCAGTGACCGTGTGCAGCAAGGGCCCCTGAATACCAACACCACCAATCTTCCCCGCTACTCAAATGTGGGGAAACACAGGGAAAGGTCATTGCCTTTGTGATTTCTTATAAATGCCCATCTCTATCTAACAGACTGCTGGGGGGGGAGGGGGGCTTGTGCTGATGCAGCAAGGCAGTTATTACTTCTCTTGGTCAGAGAACCCTCCCCATTTGGGCCACAGCTCCTACAAGCACCAGCCTTGGAGAAGAGCCGCCGATGGCCTACCTGGCTGGCAACGGCCACTTGGGAAAGTCGCTGGGGATTTAACCTGTGGCCTTCTAGATGCAACACAGATGCTCTGCTCCTGAGCTCTGGTCCTACTGCACAGGTAGTATGTAGTAATAACGGCAACATAATGTCTTGCCTTTGGGGGGCATTTAAACCAGTGGCGTGGAGCCGAGAACAAGGCACCCTGCTTCCATCCTTGCTTCATGAGCATCCACTCTCCTCCTCCTCTTCCTGCTCCCCACCGTCTCCCCAGAACATTCCTGAGCCAAGATTTTAAAGAGACACTGTGTCCAAGGTACGTCTTGTTTGAAGCCGAGTGGACTTGACCCTTTTAATCATCATTTTCTCCTCGTTGGAACTAAGCTCCTGCTAATAGGATGGAAAAGAACATCAATTTTCTTGCTTGGCTTTATCCAAAGTCAAAGGCATTTACGGCCAGCGACGGCGTGATCGGCATGCTAAACTCTGCTGTTGGCGCTCGGCCGCCAGCACTTTGCCTGCCCGGCTGCTTCCTCCCCCTCTCCCCCCTCCCCGCCCTGCACTGTGCTGCGCAGCTCTTGCCGGTGGTGCGCACCCAGCGGAGCCCAGGAAACACCCCCGCCCTCTGCTGCCCGGACCCCCTCCTCCCCATGACAGGTGGGGATTGAATGCCCTTCATCTCTCATGACTCACCAGTTAACCGGAACAGCCTGTAGCAGGAGGCTGCAAGAGTCCTCTTAGAATGGAGCAAAGGGGATTGTAAGAAAGACACAGAAAGAGGGAGAGACAGGAGGGTGTTTTTTCTGCAGCTCGGGGGGGGGGGGGGAAGAGGATTATGGGGAGAAGAAGGAGCTCGCCGTTGCAGAAGGGGGGACAGGCAGGCGTCCGAAACCGCTGCAGCACATAAATCCATGCTGGATTTCGAGGGTTGGATTAAGCAAAAAAGGAACTCGGAAGTCCTTGTGTTTTGACGTTTCCCGGTCCCCAAGTGGGATATACTTTTGCTCGTGTGGCCAGGAAGAATTGCACTCAGCCACAAGCATGCTTTGAGGGTCATCTGTTTCCCTGTGTGCTGTCCCGTCTTCCAGAGTGCTGTTTATCAGCATTTTATATCTTCTTCATTTGGACGATTCAAGGGCCATCCAAAAAACATTTCAACATTTCAGTGCATTGTAGTATAGCACCAAAATAGTATATTTTTATTTGCAGAATGTGGATAGGTATCTTTTCAAAACAAGGGCAAGAGCATCAAGAGATACTTAGGACAATCCTGGTTGTGTTGTATTTCTTATCAATAAAAGAATTTGGTGTGGCGCAATGATATTTCTATTCTGAAAGTGTGTCCCAGAGGAAAGAGTGTTTGAGAACCACTGCTTTAAAGCACTATGAGCAGTATCTGGCAAAATCACAGAAGAGGGTGCTGAGCAGTGTCCCCAATGCTCAAGGGGACGAGGGCTGGAGGTCCTCATCACTCCCCACCCTCCCCTCTATGAGAACACCACAAGAAATATACATCCTGCAACCTCAGGAATAAATGTGCAATGCTGCATAATTTAGACAGGTTGCAGGATTCAAGTCACCTTGACCGAAGAAGACACCCAGGCATTGCACACAGCTGAATGCCTTCGTGGTCCTCATGGTGAAGAAATCGGCCTCTTGGCGCAGGAGGAGCGTGCGCCAAGTTTTCACGACTGGGAAGAAGTTTGTCAAAAAGCTTTGGAAACTCAGGCTGCCTTGGGCAGTGCTTGAAATGGTCCAACAAAGTCCCTTCACTCTCACTTTCTAGCCCGGAGAAGCCTGCTTTGGTTTAATCCTGCGATTTGCTTAATTACTAGGCAGATCTGGGAAAGAGCCAGGCTCTACATTGCTTCTTTATCCGAGAGTCATAGATATAACTGCTGGCTAGGCTGCCTGAGGCCGAAAGGGACTGAAGTGCAAAATAGTTGCAGGGTCCGATGTTGGGGAAGTCCAGGCTAGCCCCCAAAAGCCTAAACGCAGGAGGTCTGTTGAGAATCCACATGTAAGTAACAGAAGGCGAATTATTGTTACACAATGTGGGGCTTCCTTCAACATGGCATGCCGCCGTGCCTAAATGGTTTGGCACCAGCACACCTCCAGGAGAGGGAAGGACAACCTGGGGTCTTCCAGATGTTGCCAGACTCATTCCCCCCACCACTGGGCCTTGCTGGCTAGGGCTGATGGGAACTGGAGTCCAACAACACCTGGAGAAGCTCAGGTCCCCCGTCCCTGTCCTTGTCTCAAGATCTTCCTTGGTGGACCTTCTGTGCCAAAGGAGGAGGCAGGGCCTTTTCGGTGGCAGCACCTGTGGCAGGAAGGCTCAACTGGCAGCGTATACTTAAAGTATGGAACTCGCTCCCACAGGAGCCCATGATGGCCCCACCCTAGAGGGCTTTAAAGGAGAATTAGACAAATCCAGTCAGACGCAATAATTCTTCTGCGTAACAGTTGAAGAATGGGAGAGTGCTCTTGTGCACCATCCCAATTATGGGTTTCCCACAGGGACCCTGTGAGAACAGGATGCTAGACTAGATGGGTGTTATGTTCTTATTTATCTAGACCTGGATTTCAATATTGCAGGTCAAGTCTACCCTAAAAAAATTGCCCTGTGGATTTCCTAGCAGGCCACCTCCAGTTTACACAACCACTGGCTCTCAGAGAAGGGAATTCTAATTCACCTCGTTGGTCCCATATAGGAACTGGGATTAGACTGGAATTAAGGGCTGTGTTCTTCCAATGTAAACTGGTGTCAAGGGATAGCAAGCAGTGCGGATGAGGTGTGTGTGTCTATGTGTCTATGTGCAGAAGATGCACCCAAGTCCACCTGAATGGAAGGAGGGAGAGGGAAGAGAGATGTTCTGCTCCAGCTCCTGAACCAAGTTTCTAACACAAGTGAGGCACAGAGAGAGGGAGAGAGGAAAAGATTCCAAGTGGGCCCATCATATTCGCTGAATGAGATCCAGTAAGCTTTCCCCTTTGCCAGGGCAGCCTGCAGTTATCAGAACAGGAAATGCTGTTGCTTAGAGACAGCTGCATGGACTTTGGCCAACTGGCAGCTATTGCAGAGTCTCTGGGGGGCTGTTAAACTGAAGAGGGGAGAGAAGCAGGGAAGTATTGTTTCTAGGACTGCAGATCCAGACTTTGGACCCTATCTCTGCAACACTTTGGAGCTGCAATGCATTGGGCGAAGGAGCCAAGATCCATACACCACGAATCCGTTTAGCTCTGAGGCTGGCTATCTAACCCTTACAAGCAGTGTGCACCACTAGCGCTCACGAGGAGCTTCGATGGCGCCTGAATCAACAGCGCATTGTTTGCTCGTCCTCTTCAGTTCCTGTTTGCGCAAGCACAGTCTCTCCTCCATCGAACACACCAGCTTGAGCATGTCCACATCTCACAGGCTTCCAGGAGGAAGGAGGCTTCCTGATCAAATTTGCAGATGACACCAAACTGGGAGGGGTGGCTAACACCCCAGAGGACAGGATCACACTTCAAAATGACCTTGACAGATTAGAGAACTGGGCAAAAACAAACAAGATGAATTTTAACAGGGAGAAATGTAAAGTATTGCACTTGGGCAAAAAAATGAGAGGCACAAATACAAGATGGGTGACACCTGGCTTGAGAGCAGTACATGTGAAAAGGATCTAGGAGTCTTGGTTGACCACAAACTTGATATGAGCCAACAGTGTGACGCGGCAGCTAAAAAAGCCAATGCAATTCTGGGCCTCATCAATAGGAGTATAGCATCTAGATCAAGGGAAGTAATAGTGCCACTGTATTCTGCTCTGGTCAGACCTCACCTGGAGTACTGTGTCCAGTTCTGGGCACCACAGTTCAAGAAGGACACTGACAAACTGGAACGTGTCCAGAGGAGGGCAACCAAAATGGTCAAAGGCCTGGAAACGATGCCTTATGAGGAACGGCTAAGGGAGCTGGGCATGTTTAGCCTGCAGAAGAGGAAGTTAAGGGGTGATATGATAGCCATGTTCAAATATATAAAAGGATGTCACCTAGAGGAGGGAGAAAGGTTGTTTTCTGCTGCTCCAGAGAAGCGGACACGGAGCAATGGATCCAAACTACAAGAAAGAAGATTCCTCCTAAACATTAGGAAGAACTTCCTGACAGTAAGAGCTGTTCGACAGTGGAATTTGCTGCCAAGGAGTGTGGTGGAGTCTCCTTCTTTGGAGGTCTTTAAGCAGAGGCTTGACAACCATATGTCAGGAGTGCTCTGATGGTGTTTCCTGCTTGGCAGGGGGTTGGACTCGATGGCCCTTGTGGTCTCTTCCAACTCTATGATTCTATGATTCTATTGTTCTAGGAGAGGACATGCAGCCTCCCTTCCATTCTGAGTAGAGGAGAGGCGCAAAGAGCTTTTCTCTGTGATGGAGTGCAGCGCCCCATGGACGGGGTAGCGGATAAGCTAACATGTCCACACCCTTTTATGGCCCTGACTCTTTTTTCTGCTCATAAAGACATGGCAGCCATTGTGCCATGCCCCCACGGCAGCCATTTTGTGAGTGGTAGCCAGGGCACTTTCTCAAAATTACAAATATGCCCTACTTGCCCCCTTCCCAAAAAGGCTGGTGCCCCCTGCCTTGCCTAGTTCTCAATTCAGATGGTAAACCTATACTTGGAATAAACCAATTCAGAACGTAGCAGGTGAAAGCTCACAAAAACATTCCCTGAAGACTAGCATGAAAGGGCAAAGGGTGCTGTAGCCTGACTTCCTACACATCACACTGGTTTGTTGTGTGGAGGGGCATTCAATCATGTGAATCCCCACCTTCAGCCTGAAATGGTACAGTCCAGGCACAAGTTTGCAACCTCCTTTGTGCACTAGAGTAGAAGATGCTAAACTTTTGGATCATGCCACTTCATACTGCAGGTGGGGGGGGGGTTACCATTGTGTGTGCGTGTTTTACTGCTTCTCAACATAACAAGGCTTCCCACATGCAGCAAGGTGTGATGGTGACACAAAACCCCTCTTTCTGATGTCAAAGACTGCCACTTGTGTAGCGAACCTTTTCCACGTTCAGCACAATAACATGCAGCAGGAGGGAGGCTCTTTGTCACCTGCCAGAAGCCCGGCTGCAGAAGAAGAGGGAACAGGTAGGATACAAGGCCACTCCACTAGCAACAGCCAAAAGACTGGCAGCCTTTGGAGCATCCTCTCCTTGAACTTTTCTTTCCATCAGAACAACTAGCAATCAAGACCTTGAACCTGAGCTTGCTTATTTCCTCCTCCCTCCCTGCGCATTTTCCTTTGGTCCTGTGCCCTGTTAAGATCGAAAGCCTGAGGGGAGAGACGTTCTCATTTTTATCGATCTGGAAACTACTCTGGAAGTTGGCTATAGCGTGGGATTGTGTTGGGTTGTTTTTTTTAAGCACCAAACTTTAAATAAATATATGAGGCGATAGAATTCTTGACTAGAACTTTATCACACCTTTGACAGCTCACCTTTGTAAAGACAGCACAGAGAAAACCCTTTTACTCTGATGTGCCAGATTTAACAAAATGAGTCAATCATCCGTCTGCCTCCTCTCTCTCTCTCCAACCCCCCCCCCAAACATTTTTCTCTGGAAATGGCTGAAATGAAGTGGAGATTCTGGAGTCACTTTAAACGGCTCTGTCGCTACAGCCTGGCTTGCTAGGTCCAAGGGAAATGGGAGATCACTCCAAAGCACCCAGCCCCTCGCCAGGAGACCTTGCACAGATGTTGCCTCTCTGCTCAACAGCAAAGGTCATCTGAGGATGCCGGCCAGAGAGTCTCCCGGTTCCTCAGGAGGGCTGGGGAGTTTGTGGGGCAGGAAGCCTCTCTGTGGGGAGGGGGGGTGCAGGCAGGGGAGGATTGATCCCCTCGCCTGCCTCTGCCAGAGAGACACAAGGGACCTACATGGCAGGATCCCTCAAGGGCAGCAGCAGAGAGGAGAGGGACTGACCCATGGAATCACCCAGTGAAAGCACTCAAGCAGGAGATTGGTTGGGTGGGAAATCAGACGGGGAAAAATGAGAGGCAGAGGCAGAACGGGAGGCAAAGCGACTCCAGCTGCTCTAGAGCTACTGTGGGGGTTATCCAACATTAACCCTACTCAGAGTAGGTCCACTGAAATTAATGGCTCAGTGGTAGAGCACTTGCCTTGACATACAGAAGGATACAAAGCCTCCACAGGTATATCTGAGAATGGCTCCCTGTCTGAATCTCTCGAGAGCTGCTGGAAGTCAGTGTTGGAGATACAGAGCTGGTTGGATCAGCAGCCTGCCTCAGCAGACAGCAGCTTCCTGCATCCCTGCGTATTCATTCCAGTGGGTCTACTCGTGAGTGGAGCTAGGCTAGATACCACCCACTAGCCACCCGTGGGCATTCGTCCCAAGCAAGTGAAGACATTCCCCCCCCCTCCATCTCCTTTGGTGGAAACTCAGCAAAGATCTTTCACCACTTTACACCCCACATGCATGCAAAAAGAGCCCTGAAAATACAGAGCCAGGAGGGAGAAATGCAGGAGGAGAAGACTGTAGGGAAAGACTTGAGATTGGAGGAGAGAGCGAGAATAAGCGTAGAAGCATCCACGATTTCCAATCCTGTACTTTCCTAACGCCCCCCCCGCAAAAAAATAAAAATAAAACACACACAGCCAAATTCAATATGGTTCCCGCTGCTATGGACACATCAGACCAATTAATAACAGCCTGGAGGCATTGCCTGTCCCTATTGCAATGGCATGGCCTAGTCAATAGGGATGAGGGTTTCCATGGAAACAGGGAGAACCAGCTGACCATTTTTTTGGGGGGTGGGGGGATTTAAGGAGAAAAGAGAGATCCTTGAAGCAAATAAGAGGGGAAGACAGGCAAAATGGGGTTGGGGGGCACTGGATATCAACACATTCTGTCCCCCCCCCACTTTCTTAGCCCAAGACGCCAGAGGCCTATTGGCAACAACAGTGCACCCTCTCCCCAGGGGTGAAGATGCTCAGCCTGCTGTGAGCTGTTCCCCCACATCCCCGTGCTGCCGCTACCAACCCGCCCCCCAAAATGCAAGTCCCACGGAAATGCTGCAAACAGGACACTTCCCTGGGGCTACCCCTTTAGCCAGAAAAACATGAAAAAGAAGTTCTCTCCTCCCGACTCAAACCCTGCCATCTGCAAGCAGCCATTGATGACAGAGCGGCATTGCCATGGCAACCGGGGAGATTCAAGCTGGGCCTTCTCTCTCTTTTTGTGGTGGAGAAAGAGGGAAGAGATCCCCCCCCCAATACATTAATGTGCAAGATACTAAAAGGTTGGGAGTGGGGGGGGGGTGCGGCGGAAGAAAAACTGATGGGGGTGAGGAGAAGCCACACTCTTCCGCCATCAGAGCCCCAACAAGTGCTGTTTGTTTTTATTTATTAAACTTGTATGCCGGCCTTCATCTGCAACATAAAAATTAAAAAACCCCCACAAAATACAAGATAAAAGCAAGAACGAAAACAAACTATAACGCCCCCCCCTTTGTTGGCGCAGGGTGCTGTTGACTCTGCTTTCTTGTTATCATCCCCAAAATAAGCTTGCTTGGGAAATTGTTCGTCCCCCCCCCCCCCGCCAATGAATCCTATCCTTCCCCGCCCAACCCCTTCCCCCCTCCCTCTGGCAGCAAATGCTTTGGGTGCATCTTCACAACTGTCCCCCCCCCCCCCATTGCAGAATGGTATCAAACCCCTAGGGGAACAAGGAGCTACAGGCTGATTATCAAACACCATAATGGGAGGGAGATTTTTTTTGGGGGGGGGAGAGGCATGCTGCCCTTTATCTGACTGTCATTTACCATCTTGACTTGGCTGAGGACTGCTGTCAATTTTTTTTAAAAAAATATTTTTAAAATTAAATTTTACATATATTTTCCAAAAATCATATAACATATATTCTTATCTTACACAATGTTTTGGACTTCCATCAGCTACTTCTGTAGATTTTTCGCTCTTTATCACTTAATCTGCATTTCATTAATTTCACTATTACTTTTAATAATCCTTAACTAGTAATTCTATTCATAAATTTTCTCTGCAATATTTCGCATAGTCTTCCTTACAAAACTTCTTGCAGGAGGACTGCTGCCAATTTTAGGAAGCCATGGAAGGGGCGTCGTGGTCAGGATCAGTCGTGAAACACAGGTAGAACGTAGGACAAGACAGGGTCCCCCACTCCAACAACCCCGTTTAAAGGGAAAAGTTTTTTGGGTGATTCAATGTGTTATATATATGAGCCCAATCCACACTTTTTCTAGAAGTAGTCAGGGGGGAATATGTTGGAAAATGGAGGGGGAAGACAAGATTTCTAGGGCTGCCTAAGCTGTGTTTGCAATCTACATTTTGTATCTCGTGAACTCAATATCACACATTCAGATTCATTTGCGAGGATCAGTTTTTATATATATTGCTTGTTTGTTTATTATATTATGCATTTTGTGTTTTTCTACTGTAAATTGCCCTGTGATCTTTGAATGAAGGGCAGCATATAAATTTAATAAATAAAATATTTTGAATGGGCTTTGGCAGTTTGCTTCCTTGCTCTGGATCCAATATTTCAGCCTTTGCAGATCTTGGGGTTTGTGGAATGCCCCCCACCCCCACCCGGAAAGGAGCTGTGTGATAGCAGCATGACGGAAGGCCAGACTATGGGACAGAGATAGAGATCAGATACTTTGCAGTCATGAACATGAGGACTAGAATCATAAGCCAGGATAGATTTTTCCCATCAGAGATGTGTGATTCTGCAGCACTGAACAGCAAGCAAGAAAAAAACAAATGTAGTGATGCTTGTCTAATGTCCTTAAAGTTTGGTAACAGGCCAAGATTCAAGAAGCCACACATGGAAATGGCTGAAGATGGTGCCATCCAGCCCAGGTACCAACAGGAATTCTTGCCGCTCACCTCAGTTAACACTTGATCCAGAAGCATCCTAGCCTCAGAGGAGACATTCCATGGGTCTGTTTCTTCCACCATCATGGAATCCAGAGTGCCCTTCTCCAACACCACATCAAAGCTCCCATCCACAAAGGTCAAGGCCCGGGCGTCCATCACTGCCCAGTGCAGGCCTGGGCAATGGGCATAGCGGTCTTGCACGCTTGCAATGCATATGGGTGAGTAGTCAATGCTGGTGATGTCTGTATAGCCCAGCTGGAAGAGGTTGTAGCTCAGAGCACTGTTCCCGCAGCCTGCAAAAGAGATGGGATTGGACTAGTTAGGCTGAAGAATTTCACGTATTGGCCAATTGTAAACAAAGGATCACCCACGGTGAACCAACTATCCTGGAAGACGGAGACCGTCTGCTGCGGTTGCTCTTTCCCTGCAGCTCCCTTTGGTGAGTGCTGGATGTGTTCTAGGATTATGAAGGCTTGGTCAAGGATCCATCAGTCAGACCAAAGGCCCATCAAGTCACAGAATCATAGAACTGTAGGAATCCAAAGGGTCATTTAGCCCAACCTCCTGCAAGCCCAAAAACTTTTTTTTTTTTTTTTTAACTTTACAGGGAATCATCCTTAGCTTTTGCCAAGACAGTCAACATGGGCCCAGACTGTGCCTGGCGTGTCTCATGTCTTTGGGGCTGACGGTGGTAAGTGTTTAGAAGCTCCAGCTGGTCCAAAATGGCCTGGGCAGACTGGTGACTGGGGCTGGTTACAGGGAGAATGTTACTCTCCTGATAAAGAGAGCAGATGTCTTTAAAACTTGTGGCTAACCTTGAGCCTTGATGCTTCTCTTTCAAAAAAACAAAACAAAACAAACCCTGCGCCCAGTAACAAGACACTTGGTTTTTCCAACTCCAGATACAGGCAATTCTAAGAAGACCCCACCCCGCCTGCAAACTGTTCCCCTTTGGTAGCTTACTGAACCTGGAAAGCCACAGGTGGCTGCGGAGGGCAAAAAGAGAGAAAAGCAGGACCGTGTGGGTGCTGCGGATCACAATTAGATTAATTAGAGATGAAGCAGCACTTAATGAGCGGGTTGCAAAAGGCGCTTTAATTACTTCTGCATTGGGCTTGGCATTTGTACGCCTGGCATTTACACTTACACCCAGAGGAAGGCTCAAGGATCTCAACACTCAATCTACATAAGCTACCCTACTAGGCTCTCACCTGCACAGTCCCCAGCCCCTGGGATTTAAAATCCAGCCTCCCTGCCTCTCCCCTCAGTCTACAATATATTAAATAGACTGCAGGTAGAGTAACCATGCATTACACAAGCCAGGCATCCAATGAAGACTCTGGCTCCAAGACTTCCTACTAGTTACTGCACACACTCAGACATCTCCATCTCTATCCTCCATTGGCTGGGGGGGGGTTGCATATTCCAGCCAGGCCAAAATGCTCAAAGGGAGCCAGAAGGGAGAGCGGTAAAATGGCAAAATTGGGAGGGCAAAATTGAAGGGAAAAGACGAACATGTCCACCTTGGAGGGAGGGATTAAAAATTTTTTAATAAATATAAATAAAATAAAGATGAATCAGACATGTTTCACAGGATTTCTATGCCTATCTAAGATAGGATTTGGTTTTGTACCATTGTGCATGAGGTTCTCCATGCTACTGAAGTCTAGACAACATGGTGCCCCCGAAGTGTCGCTGGACGCCAGCACCCATCAGCCCCACTAGCACGGACAATGGGGGATGGTGGGAACTGTAGTATGACAACATTTGAAAGGCCACCGGCTCCACATTCCAGGTCTAGATCCTCCCACAAAAAAGTTACAGAATGATCTCCACACCCGCAGAAACCTAGGAACCAGCCTTCTCCCAAGTCTATCATGGGTCTATCTAGCTCAGAACTGTCTGCGCTGACAGGCAGTGGCTCTATGAGGCTTCAGGTGGGAAGCCCTGACCAGCCTCACCTGAAGGGCACCAAACCTGGGACCTTCTGCATGCAAAGTATATGCTCTGCTATGGAGTTATGATCTCTCCCTTAGAATCATAGAATCATAGAATCATAGAGTTGGAAGAGACCACAAGGGCCATCGAGTCCAACCCCCTGCCAAGCAGGAAACACCATCAGAGCACTCCTGACATATGGTTGTCAAGCCTCTGCTTAAAGACCTCCAAAGAAGGAGACTCCACCACACTCCTTGGCAGCAAATTCCACTGTCGAACAGCTCTTACTGTCAGGAAGTTCTTCCTAATGTTTAGGTGGAATCTTCTTTCTTGTAGTTTGGATCCATTGCTCCGTGTCCGCTTCTCTGGAGCAGCAGAAAACAACCTTTCTCCCTCCTCTATGTGACATCCTTTTATATATTTGAACATGGCTATCATATCACCCCTTAACCTCCTCTTCTCCAGGCTAAACATGCCCAGCTCTCTTAGCCGTTCCTCATAAGGCATCGTTTCCAGGCCTTTGACCATTTTGGTTGCCCTCCTCGGGACACGTTCCAGTTTGTCAATGTCCTTCTTGAACTGTGGTGCCCAGAACTGGACACAGTACTCCAGGTGAGGTCTGACCAGAGCAGAATACAGTGGCACTATTACTTCCCTTGATCTAGATGCTATACTCCTATTGATGCAGCCCAGAATTGCATTGGCTTTTTTAGCTGCCGCATCACACTGTTGGCTCATGTCAAGTTTGTGGTCAACCAAGACTCCTAGATCCTTTTCACATGTACTGCGCAGAATGATCTCTGTGCCCCACAATGGCACTTCCAGAAAGAATGAGAAGTGTTGTAGATTTAGGATGCTGGAGGCAGAACCCCACCCATCCTGATACAAAACAGGGGCTTCGCCACTGGAAACTCAACCCCAAGTGGACTGCACGATTTGCAGGTTCGATGCCTGCCACCTCAAACTCAGACACACCTTCCATTTTGTCCTTCACCCCCTGTGTGTTCCAGCACGGCAAGGATCCCGCGACTGTTAATCACACATCCAGCAGACGGGCCCTCTAACAGGCTCAGGCGATTAGACCCAGTTAATCCCAACCTGCTTGGAAACTCCAGCCTCCCTCCCTATATCAGATTAAGGAGCCACCATGTTAAAAGCCACCGCAGCAGCAATCAGATCAAAGAGATAAACCATCAGGTAGGATTAATGGAGGCTTAGAGCCCTCTCCTTCCCAGTCGGGACTTTTGTAAATGGTAAGCCAGGATTCTGTTAATTTGCTGGCTGTGATTAGGGCGCAGGGGCACAGGGTGCCCAGCGTGGCAGAGCCTTTGGGAGAGGTTCAAAGAAGAAGCCAACGAACGAAGGCACATCAAGATCCCCAAGCAAGAGAGAAAAACAGGGAGTCTAACTTGCTAGCCAGGCTTGCATAACTAGTTGGGGCATTTTCTCCCCCAGTGAAAGAGCTGTTGCCTGAAATTTCATCAGCTTTTAAGGTGAAGGTATCCCAGATTCAGCACAGTAGAGATGAGGCTGGCGCTGTCACTTGCCACACTGAAAACTCTTGCACAGATGCAGGCTTATTTCTGCGTTTGGTACTCTGCGGAGATTTTATTTTAATCTAATTGGTTCTGAAATGCCATTTGACAGCACAGGCATTAAGGGAAGGGCTGCAGCTCCCTGGCAGAGCATCTGACTTACACGCGGACGGCCGCAGGTTCAATCCCCGCCATCTCCACGTAGGGCTGGCACGCTCCCTGTCTGAAACCCTGGAGAGCAACTGTCAGTCAACTGAGACCACACTGAGCAGGATGGAAAAGGTTCTAAATCAGCACAAGGCAGCTGCTGGTGCTTCTGAAGGCGCAGAATTGCTGGGAGAAGCCAAGAGGCCGCAAAGATGCAGCCTTTCCTGCAAAGCCAGCCCGCCCACCTGCCAATCCCGCCTCTCTCCCATCAACTTCCACCACTCAGATTACCGCGTGCCATAAACAGACAGCAGATGTGCTGCCGAGAGATTAGCTCCGCAGCTGGCTCAAGTGAGCAAGCCAAGCCACGTGCTACGGAGGGAATCATTTCGAATGCATGAGCAAGCAAAGGGCGACATCAGCAAGTGGGGCACGACTGGTGACCAAAAGCAGTATTAGAAACTCAGATGTATAAGCTAGGTGCCAAATGGCCCCTTAAAGCAAGGTTACAGTCACCAAAATGGAACGTCCAGTTGCCATTTTGGGGCAAGGTGGCTCTAAAGTCTTATTTTACAAATGATGCACTGACTGTGATTGATTCTCAGTTAAACACCTTGCGAGTGGCGCTGTGGGTTAAATCACAGAGCCTAGGACTTGCTGATCAGAAGGTCAGCGGTTCGAATCCCTGCAACGGGGTGAGCTCCCGTTGCTTGGTCCCTACTCCTGCCAACCTAGCAGTTCAAAAGCACGTCAAGTCCAAGTAGATAAATAGGTACCGCTCCTGTGGGAAGGTAAACGGTGTTTCCGTGCATTGCTCTGGTTCACCAGAAGCGGCTTAGTCATGCTGGCCACATGCCCCGGAAGCTGTACGCCGGCTCCCTCGGCCAATAAAGCGAGATGAGCGCTGCAACCCCAGAGTCGGCCACGACTGGACCTAATGGTCAGGGGTCCCTTTACCTTTTAGTTCAGAAAACTAACCTGAGCTACTTTAAGAATTTAAAGAAGAAAAGTCACTTGATCCCGGGACAGTCCACATATCTATTGGCCTATTCCAACCTCTTTTTCTTAATGGTGACATGGGCCATTCCAAACGTTGGAATATTCTTCACAACTGTGAGTGGGATGGGGTAAGCGAAAAAAGCCACAACAATTAACTATAGCATGGGCAGTGGTCAGAGATTGTGGGAGCTGTGGCCCAACAACAGCTGCTAAGCTTTTTTCTTTCTTTTTTAAAGAAACCCAGGCATTAATAAGGCATGTGAAAATTCCGTAAGATTTCGTACTGTCAGTCAGTTTTTGTAGACAGGATAGTGTCATAGGACTGTTCCCTACCAGCTACATATTATAAAATGTGTTCCAAAAAGACCATTTCCCAAATATCAAATGATCTACATCTCGTTTGGGGGAGTGGGAAGAAAGAGGTGAGATTTTCATAAAATCACTATATATTTTTAGGTTGCAGGGACATCCTCACCAGATTAATCTGCCTTGAGGATCCTGGCTAAGCCCATAAGGCAGGATATAAATGTGAAAGATAAATGTATAAACAGATACCCCGTTTGTAGATAAATATTAAAATAGTTATATTTTTATACCTGAGACAGACAGCCAAAGACAACTTGAATATTTAAGGTTTGTGCAATTAACAATCTGCATATCATTTCCATGGCAGATGCCAAATTAGACTTGGCGGGCAAGTTGCTCGTGTTCTACGATATTCTTACTATTAACCATCAGTGTGAAAAGCCTGAGTCAGCCTTCGAAAAATCCTGACAGATGGGCTCAAGTCACAAGAGAGGGAAAAAAAGGAAAGCATTCAGGCACACTATAATTTGCCTCTTGGTTTTCACATCTTCCTGCCTTTCTCACGGTTAGATTTTCAGCCTCAGCTGCTGCAGTCATGATGGCTAGAAGTCTAACTTTTAAGCAAATAAGCACTGGGGCTTTGAAGGATTCTGAAAAGGGCATCGACAAATATATACGGTCTCCTTTTTCATCTAGCAGCAATAGGATCAGGAAGGTATATTTTATTTTATTTTAAAGGGTAAAAAACAGAAAAGCAAATTCCTAACTCTCATGGTGACACTTCAGAGATACAGAAGGAATCGGATGGATTTGCTGAGGGAACAGGGCTTTCCTGAAAAGTCTCCTATAAGGATGGGTTCTCAGTTGCCGACCAGACCAACGCTCACATCCACTATTCACCTGTGCTCCACCAAGAATGGCCCTTCAAAAGGGGAAGAGCATCACTCAGGTTCTGAACAGTGGCACAGAAGGCCATTGAAGCATCTATTCACACTGCCCTCTGGTGGTAGCCAGGAGGAACCGGGATACTGCTTGTTTACAAAATGTCACCCCTGCAGCAGAAATACAAAGGTTTCCATTGCACTCCCTTCCCTCTGTAGGAAAACTGGGTACTCCAAGACCTCAAGAGATGTGAAGCCCCTTCCCTCCAGGTGTGAGATGGGAGCAACTTCTTTTGTGAAGATGGATGTAATAATTACAGTACATTGCCACAGATTCCCTGGAAAGAGCTGCACCTTCAATTGCAACCCTTTCAACTTTCCCTCCTCTCCTAGCTTCTAGCCCAAGACTGCGAGGGGAAAGCCTGACAGCGGCCTGCCTTTCTCTCCCACTTTACTCCATCACTTCTTTCTTTGCCAAAAGAACAAACACATTTCGTTAAAATCTGAAGCAGGGAAGGCACAACCCTGCCGAATTAAGCACCGCAACGCATGAAAAATACACCAAATTTGCAGGAACCACCCTATCAGCAGAAACTGTGTTTGCTAGGTATAACAGAATTCACCTGAGTCCCCAATACAGGCTTCTCTGAGCCACTTGCAATGCTAGCTTCCTCCTGAAGCTCAGCTGCATCATGGAAACCCAACAATTGCCTAAATTGTTGCTGGGGAAACCAAGTCAGATGGGCAGGGTAATAATAATAATAATAAGCTGATAGGATGGCAAGGTCTTCTGCTCTCCCCCACTCCACAAGGCTGCTATCCAGTGTGAACTCCACCAGCTGCATACTTAGGGGGCAGTCCTAAGTCTAGATCTATTGGGATGAGATGAGTTTTGATCTGGCAGTTTTTGTGGCTGAGCGTAACTCCCTTATCCTGGCTCAGCTGGAGATAGGCTAGCATATCCCACCCAGCTGGCTGAGTAGAGATTGGCAGATCTTAAGCCCTGAAAAAGAGGTGTTGCAGGTGGGGGAGACTTAGGCTGGATCCTAGGTAAAGGGGACCCCTGACCATTAGGTCCAGTTGTGGACAACTCTGGGGTTGCGGCGCTCATCTCGCTTTACTGGCTGAGGGAGCCAGCGTACAGCTTCTGGGTCATGTGGCCAGCATGACTAGGCTGCTTCTGCAGCGCACGGATCCTAAGCCAGTTCAAATCAGTCACACACCAACTGGCAACGTGGTATAAATTAACCTGGCAAAAAGGGTGGTGCAACTCAACTCAGGTGACACACATAGGATTGCATGAACATTTTGCCCCTTTGCCTCAACTGAAGCAACTGTTTACACACACACACACACACACACACACACACACCAGTGACCAGTGTCAAACAAACAGGCACAGACTTCAGGGAAGAGCTGAGCAACAAACTTCATAACGACTGGCCAGAGACCACTGCCTGTAACAGACTGATGGATCAACTGTGTGCTGCTGCTTCCCCCTAGTGGCTCATAGGAGCAACAGCCTAAGAACATTTTTATAACTCAAAAGAATTCTGAATCCTCCTGCAAAAAGTAAAAGGTAGTGAAGAAAGTGGGTCCTTGAGAAAGGCTGTCCAAATCCATAGCAGGGTAATATTTTTATTTATAGGAAAGGGCAGAAGTTGGTTGGCAGAGCAATGGCTTCAATCGCAGGTTCAGTCCTTGGCATCTCCATGGGAAGGATCACCAGCCCAAAATGCAGGAGAAGCAAAGTTAATAATAACATTAGGAACCTTTTGGGTCAGGCCCATGGCCCATCTTGCCCAGCATCCTGTTCTCACAGTGGCCAACCAGATCACAGAATCGTAGAACTGCATGTTCGGAAGGGACCCACAAGGGCCCTCTGGCGCAACCCCCTGCAATGCAGGAGACACAGCTAAATAATCCCTGACAGATGATCATCTAAGCTGTGCTTGAAAACCCCCAATGAAGGAGAGGCCACCACTTTTTGTGGTAGATGCCTGCCGGAAACCCACAATCAGGCCCTGAGCACAAGAGCACTCTTCTGGAATCTAGTGAGAGGTGTGTTTCGCTATTTTGTGCACACATACAGCCTTGACGAACCTGGCACCCTTCAGAGGTTTCAGATTATAACTCCTTGCCTTGACTTCTACTCTTTTCAGTGCCTTCTGAAAACATCCCTCTTTAGACAAGCCTACCCAGATGCTTTGAAAGTTGAGGTAATTCTAATCTGCTTTAGCATTGTAACCTTTTAAAGTGGGGTTGCAATTTTTTTCTTGATTTTATTGCTTTCTCGTTTCATAAACCCCTTTGAGGTTTTGTTTTGTTTTTACAGCCAAGCAGCCCATGAAGTTTTATGAAACAAACAAGTAAACGAAGAAACTCACTCCCAGCAGCCCAAGCTAGCTGGCTGAGGTTGCTGGAAGTTCAAAACACCTGAAGGGTGCCATGTTGGCAAAGGGCCCCAGGGTCTTACTCCAAGTCTGAATGCTATGTGTCACACTGTGCTACAAAGATGTCTGCAAACGTGACGTGAAGACTGGCAACATCCAGCCCGCAGTGTGAGAATGACCGTAGTGCCTGGAGACATGGAATGACAGCTGGGAGGAGCGCAGAGAGAAGAAATGCCACAGAGGATCTGTAGCAGCACAACCAGACGCCTTCATCTGCCCCAGCTGCAACAAAACATGTCTCTTCTGCATCAGTTTCCACAGCCACAAGCAGGCTATGCAACCTTCCAAGAGTTTGACCTCACCCCCAAAGGTGCACACATCCATTGTCTCCTGAAACTGACTGATGCCAATAGCAATTGTCTGGTTGGTTGCTTTGGACTGCTCTGAGGAAGGTAAAGCATGTAACAAATTTAATAATAACAATAAGAGTCAGTGTGATGTAGTGGTTAGAGCAGGGGTTGACAAGGTTTACCTTGCCTGGGCCGGTTCACTCCAGCAGAGATCCCTCCGTGGGCCGGAGCGCATGCGCCCGCAATTTCCGGCACCACGAAAGCGAGTCCCTGCATCGCGTTGCACCGGTTTAGTACAGTGCACGGGGACTTGCCAAGTGGGTGGCTCGTAGGCTGGTTAAACAACCCCTGTGGGCCGCTTGTGGCCCATGGGCCTTAGGTTGCCGACCCCTGGATTAGAGTGTTGGACTAGCACCTGGGAGAAACCAGTGTTGAAATTCCTGCTCGGCAATGAAGCTCACAAGGAACCTCGGATCGGTCACTGCCTGCCTCTCCGCCTAACCTATCAAGGATATTGACAAGCTGGAAGGTGTGCAGAGGAGGGTGACCAAGATGATCAAGGGACTGGAAACCAAGCCTGATGAGGAACGGTTGAAAGAGTTGGGTATGCTTAGCCTGGAAAAGAAGAGACAGAGAGATGATAGCCATCTTCAATTATCTCAAGTGCTGTCACATGGAATATGGAGCAAGTTTGTTTTCTCCTGCTACGGAGGGTAGGACACAAACCAAGATACAAGATACAAGAAAGGAGATTCTGACTAAACATTAGGAAGAACTTTCTGATAGTAAGAGCCGTTCAACAGTGGAACTGTCTCCCTCAGGAAGCGATGGACTCTCCTTACCAGAAGGTTTTTAAGCAGACGCCGGATGGCCACCTGTAATGGATCCTTTAGTTTAAGGTTACCAGACATCCCCGTTTCCCGGGGACAGTCCCCAGATTTACAAATCAGTCCTCACAGAACTCTAGCCCGATGGCTGCCATTAATTTGATTTTGAATTGATTTTAGAATGAATTGATTTTAGAATGCTGTGTTACTTTTATTGTTGTTAGCTGCTCTGAGCCTGGCTTCAGCTGGGGAGGGTGGGATATAATTTTATCATTTTATTATCATTTTATTAATTTTATATTATTATTATTATTATTTTATTATTATTATTATTATAATACAAAATCCATTGAAGCTGAACAGTGTCCCCGGATTCGTTGAAAAAAATCTGGTAACTTTACTTTAATTGAGATTCCTGCATTGCAGGGGGTTGGACTAGATGACCCTAGGAGGGCCCTTCCAACTCTACGAACCTACCTCACAGGGTTGTGGCAGGGATTAAATGAGGATGGGGAGAACCACGGACACCACCTTGAGCTCTTTGGTGAAAAGGGTGGGATATAAAACGCAACAAAGAATATGAGATCAATAATAATGTGACAGACCATACCACGCTTCCAGGCAGGCAGGCAACTCACCCAGAACCAGGATCCGATCACCGGGGCTCAGCTCCGCCTCCAGCTGCTCTCGGAATCGCTCCAAGCCCCCGAACCATTCGGCCGGAGCCGCCCCTTCGTCCTGGTACCGCGAGTCCCAGAATCTCCTGTCCCGGTACCGGGCGTTGGAATCCGGCAGCTGCCGCCTTCGCGGAGCCGCCTCCTCCTCCTCCTCCTCCATGTCGCTTCCCCCGGGAAGGGCGGCCAAGCGAGGGCAGGGCTGGCACGGAGGGGGGGGGGGAGCCTTCCGAATCCAGCCTCCGCCCACGTGGCGCCCTGAAAACCACGTGCAGCTTCCGCTTGCCACTTCCTGGTCGGTGGTGGAGAGCTTTGCTTCCGTCTGTTGGGTCTTGCGGGTGGTGGGGTGGGAGACTGGGGGGCGCTAGTCCTCACCGAGGTGGGGCTAGCCCATGCCTGGGGTCTTTGCTACCACGTATGAATGATTCTCTGTGCAAAACCCAGGGAGGCAGTAAACCCGTTAGCTTGCTGCAGAGATAACCCAGGAAAGAGTCTTGCACGGCATCTTAGCAATGCAGTCCTAAGCCGTGTCTACTCGGAAGTAAGTCCCATTGAACTGAACGGGGCTTACTCCCAGGTAAGCGGCGTGAGGACTGCAGCCTTGAAGGGCTCACAAGTTTATTGCCCATGTATGCTTAGCCTGGTAAAGAAAAGACTTGAGAGGAGATTTGATAATAATCTTCAAATATCTAAAGGGCCGTTGGTGGAAGATGGAGCAGTCTTGTTTTCTCTTGCTCTGGAGGGACACGATCCAGTGAATTCAAGTTACAAGAAAGGAGATTCTGACTAAACATCAGGAAGAAGTTTCTGACAGGAAGAGGGGGTAGAGTCTCCTTCCTTGAAGGTTTTTAAGCAGAGTTCGGATGGCCATCTGTCTTGGTTGCAGGGGGTGGGACTAGATACAGTAACTCAGTGTCCCTTCCAGCTCTGATTCTAAGATACAAATTTGCACTTTTTGTAGTGTTTTCACAATGACTTGTTCCTCATATGATATTGGGCTGGTCATTGGCTATGTGGGACATACTGGGGCGGTTATATGCTATCAGTACTCCTTGCACCTGCAAAATTTTGGGGGCAGACATACTGTTTTGTTTCCATGGCCTGTAACGCTATGCTGAGTTCTTGTTAACTTTCTATGCCACAAATGTTATGGGGGTCTTTTTTTTGTCTTGCTTTTGTTGCACTATAGTGCAAGAGTGCCTCTCCAGATAGCAATAATGTGATCCACTTTGTGGGAGCAGCACAGAACAACTCATAACATGGAATGGTATGTGAATGGCCCAGAATAAATGCATGCGGCACTGTGGGTTAAACCACAGAGCCTAGAATCCCTGCGACGGGGTGAGCTCCCATTGCTCGGTCCCTGCTCCTGCCAACCTAGTAGTTCGAAAGCACGAAGTGCAAGTAGATAAATAGGTACTGCTCCGGTGGAAAGGTAAACAGCGTTTCCGTGCGCTGCTCTGGTTCGCCAGAAGCGGCTTAGTCATGCTGTACTCCGGCTCCCTCAGCCAGTAAAGTGAGATGAGCGCCACAACCCCAGAGTCGGTCACGACTGGACCTAATGGTCAGGGGTCCCTTTACCTTTTTAATACACTATTATTGCGTCAATAACATGTTGCAGACTACAGCCTAACAGGATGGCCCCTCTGGCATTTGTCACACATACACATGAATTTGTAAATCTGTGCTTTGAACCCAGAGCTTAAAATACATGACCTTTCACACACATGTATTTGGAGAGGATCCCTAACTTAGCAGAGAGAGAGAGAGAAGTGGATAAACTCTGCCTTGCATTGAATCCAACTGAAATACTGGCGGATCCTGATTTATACCAGAACGGATGGCAACCCTATTCTCTTTTCTCCCTGCATGATGCTTGAATATTTGTTTCCCCTAGAAAGCACATCTTGCGTTTTCTGAGCATAAGAAAGCAAGAAGATCCCTGCTGGATCCGACAAAATGCCCACGGGAGGGTTGCACTACTTAGGAGGATCCTGTCCAGCTCTGCAGTTCTGAGATTCTATGAAGTGCCAGCTCAGGACGGCTCACCAAAACTTTAAAATAAAATAAAAACCCTCTTGACAATCACAGCACCAAAAAAATAAAAAATAAATAAATGCAATGGGAAAGCAAAACAGAGACAGCAAAAACTGAAAAGCCTCCCAGGGCTTCGTGGCGTGAGGCTGCTGATGCTCCGCCGCCACCGGGAAGGAGGAGGAAGAGAGCGAAGAGGAGGGAACCTTCCGAGCGCCGGAACTGCCTGCTCCGGGCGGCGGCGGGGCGCGTTTCGCGGTGGCACCACCTGGCTGGGCCGCCAGCAGCCGTAGCAGCCGTAGCAGCTGCCCGAGGGGAGCGTGGCCGGAGCTGGGCGGGCGGCGGGGCGGGATGGCTCCGGGTCCCGCTTCGAGGAGGAAAGGGGCCGCGGGGCCTGCGGGCGGGCTGCCCTCCGTGCGCCAGAGCCTGCGCCGGGCCTGGCAAGACAAGCACCTGGTGCTCTTCGAGCCCCACTACACCCCGCTGGTGGCCGCCTGCCTCTGCCTGGCCGAAGTGGGGGTCAACCAGTGGGTCATACACAGGGTGGCATGTGAGTGGGGGCCCGGGACGGGGGGCCGGGAGAGTGGCGCTGGTGGTGTGGATAAGGGGCAAGGCTTAGGTGGGGTTAGGACCTTCGCCGGGAGGGAGGAATATAGCTCCCGTCTGCAGCTCTTCTGGTAATAATAATAATAATAATAATAATAATAATAATAATAATATACTTATACCACGCCCATCGGGCTGGGTTTCCCCAGCCACTCTGGGCGGCTTCCAACAAAAATTAAAAATACATTAAAATGGCACATATTAAAAACTTCCCTGAACAGGGCTGCCTCCAGATGTCTTCCAAATGTCAGCTAGTTGTTTATCTCTTTGACATCTGATGGGAGGGCTAGCGTGCTGGGCAGAGGGAACCCTGTGGGATTGGGTTAAGGAGGCAACAGCAGCCCTGCTGGCTGGGTCAAGCAAAAGGTCTCCCTGCAGTGGCCAAGCAGGTGGGAAGACCATGGGAAGGACGTGAGCATAGGAGCCAGCTCCTAGGGGTTGAGGTCCATTTGCTCCCCCTAAAATATTTGAGGGCTCCCCTCCCAAATATTGCCATTCAAATGGTGTGTGCATGCCACGCTATGTGATTGATTATGCAGGGTGAGGCTTGCCTGCCCCCGCATATGTTATTCAAGTTGGCACCTCTGTATGTGAGGGCAACAACACGTCCCTCAGTTGTGTCCCACAACTCCTACCTTCAACTGGTAGTCGGAGTCAGGTCTCCATAGATGCTGGAGGCAGTATGCAGTGCAGCCATCAGGGGCAGCAGGCATTGCTGGATTCATCGTCCACAGATCTGTCCACCCCCTTTTCAAAACTGCCCCAATTGGCAGCCGTTGCTACGTCTTATGGCAGTGAATTCTGTAGCTGAACGATGCACAGTGGGGCATCATTAACAGGACTACGTGGAGGGTTCCATACATTGTGTAGTCTGGGGTAGTTTTGACGAAGGGCTGGGGCTTCATTTGAGCCAGGGCGTAGTGTGAGAACTGTTCTCGATGCTTGTTGTCCTGGCTGCTAGAGCCCAGCCTAAATAAAAATCTGGCCCAGCCCTTCAAAAACAGGTCATGGCTAAATGCCTTACACAGAGGAACAGCCACCAGGCACGGCTTTGCATGTGTTCTTGTAGACTCGGATAATTTTAGAGCCCTTCTTTTAGATGCAGGCCGTTTTCAGCAGTTGAACTGAGCTCCTGTTCGTACTTGATGGTACAGCTTCTGTGCTTTCCCCAAAGATACAGAGATCGACTGGAAAGCCTATATGGATGAGGTGGAGGGTGTTGTCAATGGGACTCTGGATTACACCCAGCTAAAGGGGGACACCGGCCCTCTTGTGTGAGTAACACTGAGCTTGCAATTATAATGCGGGTTTCAGGAGTGGTAGGGTGGGTACATCTCTTAAAGATGGAGTCTGGGAGGCAATAGGGCAGTTTCTCTTGCCTTCCTCTGTAGTTGATCCATTTACCCACTCTCTCTCTCTACAGGTATCCTGCTGGCTTTGTTTACATCTTCCTGGGCCTGTATTATGCAACTGGCCGTGGCACCAACATCCGTCTGGCTCAATATCTTTTTGCTGCCCTTTACATTGCCACACTGCTGCTTGTTTTCCGCATCTACAGCCGAACGAGTAAGGTCAGTAGCTCCTACAGCACCTCAAGGAGCACTAAAGACTGTTATTTTTCCTATCACACAGTAGATATGAACCCTTATCCAAACACAGTGCTCATGTGCAATACATGTGGGACCTGAAAATTAAAGGCCAGGAGGAGGATAGCAAGGTTTGGGTGGGTGCAGGTTAAGGTGGAATTCTATGGAGCTGCACTGCTGAACTCTTTATATAGACTGAGACTTCCATGTTCATGATACTGTACACAGCAACCGTAAAAAAATGCAACCTCATATTCCAGTTCTACCACTGAGATCTTCTGTAGGAGCATCGCTGTAGGAGCATTCACCCCAGGTTGGTGAGGCTCATTTGATTTCAACACAAAGCTGAGCTTTTATTGTTATTGGGCCAAGCCCTGTGAAATGATCTTCCAAAATATATTCAGCAGGCTTCCGAATCTGTATTGACCTTTAAATGATTGCTGAAAACTTTTCTTTGCTGCCAGGCTTGTGCAAACAATTAAGACAAAATTTAGTTAGTGTTTTTTTAATAATAAAAAATTATGTGGTCTTTATTTTGTACGTATTCCTGTTGTAAACTGCTTTGATTTTTTAAAATGATGCTTTTGTAGTAAAGGTTCATATAAAACGTGTTCATATGCTGTGAATGAGAGAACACAGCTACAAGTTTTCGGTTCAGCAGTTCTCCCTCTCTTGCACAAGGAGGAAGAGGATCCTGGGAACCTGACCTTACAATTTGAGAAAAAAGCAACTGAGCATGCAGTTGTAGGGAAAAACTTAGGCACTTTCTGCTGAATGCTTGTCTGTTAGTATTATTACAACTATTATTTCACCTTCCACGCATTTCTCAAGGCGATGCACAAAATACAATAAAAACAGTTAAAAACAATACAGAAAGCAGCAGCAGTTAAAACTAAAAACCAATGTGAATTGGGCACCCATTGCAGGGACGTATTCACCCAGCTGAGAAATCTTGCCAGAACAAAGCTTTTCAGAAAGTACAGATTGTGGGTGCCTGTCGTATCTCACCAGGAATTTCATTCCACAGAAAAGGGCCGGCCACACTAAAAGCCAGGAGTTAAAGAAGGGGCAAAGTAGCTTCAGTCAGCACAGCTGTCAGCCACTGCCTCTAGGAGGTGCTGGGAGCCCAGTGGGCACACACAGGCTGCATGTTGTTGGAAGACTCCCATCTGTAAAATGGGAACAGTGGCAGCTTGAGTCATTTGAAGCCGCCCCAATGATTTTCCTCATTGACACCTCTGCTGCAGGTCCCGCCCTATGTTTTCTTCTTCATGTGCTGCGCCTCCTATCGCATCCACTCCATCTTTGTCCTGCGCCTCTTCAATGACCCGGTGGCCATGGCGATCCTTTTCCTGGCTGTCAACCTCTTCCTGGAGGAGCAGTGGTCCTGGGGATGCTTCTGCTTCAGGTGAGAGCCCCTTTAGAGCCAATCCATCCAATGGGAGGGTATTTTAAACAAACGAGTGGTTCTTGCAGAAGCACAAATAACGGGCACGCCTGATTTTTCTGCTTGCAAAGTGGGAACTTTCAGAGCCAGCTCATTGCTTCCTGTGGTCCATCTAAAACGGCCTTTGCCAGCCTGAGCACCTCCAGATGTTTTGGACTACAACTCCCATCAGCCATCTTGCTGTAGTTCTGTGTAAACTGTAAACCTTGTGGGCAAGCAGGACAGACTCTTGCTCTCTGTGAAAGTCTGCTGCTACTGTAGTTCTTAGTCAATGTCAGATGGCAAAAGCAAGGTGCATGGGGACTGGAATGGGCCTTGTATTAACCACAAGGATCAGTGGCACCTTTTATTCTCTCTCCTCCAGCCTGGCGGTGTCTGTGAAGATGAATATCCTGCTCTTTGCACCGGGTCTCCTTTTCCTCCTCCTGCAGCGCTTTGGCCTGCTAGGAGCCATTCCCAAGCTCGCTATCTGTGCAGCCCTGCAGGTAAGGAATGGGAAGATTTGCCATGTCCAGATTCAACCCCTGGTATCTCCAGCCAAAAGGAATGGTGGGCCTAGGAAAGGCCACACGGCATGTCAGAACAGACAACACTTAGTCTACAGTGCCTGGTATTCCCAGGGGGTCTCCCATCCAAATAGTAACCAGGCCTGACCCTGCTTAGCTTTTAGGAGATCAGGCATGACCATAGGTGGTATGACCATGTTGGTTTGCAAGCCCCCTCCATAGAGGCTGGCCCCTCTCACTGTCCTCGGAGCTTGCTTACCGGTAACCTCCTCTGGCTGATATCCAGACAGACCAGGGAGATTTTGATAGGAGACATTTTCCCAAGCGTGGGTAAAATGCACAACCCCTCTCTCCTGCTTCCGCAGGGGAAAGAAAATAAGTCAGAAATCTATTTACATGATGTTTATTTCTGACATTACAGCACTAGAGAAAAACACGTCCTTTCAGTTCAGTTCTTCTAGCAAGTCTGACAAACTTCCTGAACATGCGCAGTCGGAAGGTTTCAAATTACACTCTTCACAAAGACTTATCCAGCCTGTGAACGTCCGGGGAAATTCTTCTTTCCCACAGATAGGCGCATCATGTGATGTCAACAATCTGGCTGTCTGCAGCTGTGATGTTTCAATATACTGACAGACCATAGGCCAATACTTGTCTGATTCAGTTACTACCTAGTGACAGCAGAGCTAGGTCAAGGTGAAATACTTTGAAAATATACATAGCTGTGATCCTGTCCATTGGATCATCAGGTTTTAGTTTTTAAAAAGTTTCTAGCTCTCGTTGTTTCTGCAAATATGCAGGCAGAAACAAAGAAAGTATGGATGAGGCTTCCAGTGATCATGGTGAGACTCCTGTCCAAATATATATACAGTGGTACCTCGGGTTACATACGCTTCAGGTTACATACGCTTCAGGTTACAGACTCCGCTAACCCAGAAATACTGCTTCAGGTTAAGAACTTTGCTTCAGGATAAGAACAGAAATCGTGCTCTGGCGGCGCAGCAGCAGTGGGAGGCCCCATTTGCTAAAGTGGTGCTTCAGGTTAAGAACAGTTTCAGGTTAAGAACAGACCTCTGGAACGAATTAAGTACTTAACCAAGGTACCACTGTATATCCATATCACCCTGCTCCATCTCTAGCATTTTCTCTCCTTGTCCTTGTATTTGTGAATTTGTTTTGTGTGGTTGCACATCATTCCATGAGTTCAGTGCATGTGAGCGGTTACACTATACTCAGTGCATAACACTCAATTGCACAAAGCAAATAGTGGGTGTTTCCCCTGGTGTTTTATTTCTTAAATGGAAGGGAGAAATGCAATTTATGAAGGATGCAGGCAAGTATGTTTCCCCTCAAGCAAACATTAGAGAAGGTAGTTAATGTTGGCCAAGCTCACAGAGAGCTTTTTTGGCAAGGGAAACCTCATCGCTAGGTGCACATGAGGTTCAATTACTGTCCAACAGCCATTAAGAGGAGGCTGCCCAAAATAAATGCAGCAGGTCTTTTGGAACTGATGCCGGGAAAGAAGCTGAACTGCAGCAAGAGGACCCCATAGATGAAAGGAAGAAGGGAAGCAGAGATGGGAGGGGTGGGCCAAGCAGTATTTTCACACCTGCATGCCTTCCTCACAGCTGCATTGCATCATGAGTTTTGTAGGTTTAAAGCAGCAGAAGTAACTAGTAGCTTGTGTACCTGATGCTCCAGCATTTTGCTAAAAATAATAAAGCACTTCCTGGGTGAATGTGCAGCAGAGCCTATGAAGCAACACGACATGTCTCTAATTTTGGAACACAGAGTTGTATTAGCAGAACCTGAACCTAATTTCTGGCTTAGGTGGCAATATCAATCAGCAGTGACACTGGCTCATCTGCTGCTGCAGCTGCAACAAAACATGTCTTTCCTGTTTTACTTCACCCCCTCAGGCGCACACCGTCATTGTCTTCCAAGAGAGACAGATACCTACAAGTGCAGCTGGCAGACTGAAGAATTGCAGTGACCTCAGCTTCCACAATTTGCTGCATGTTCATGTTCTTTGTGGGAGAATTTTAAGGCACAGTTGTTTCTTGCAGGTTGTTTTGGGGTTGCCCTTCCTGGTGGTGAATCCTGTTGGGTACGTGTCCCGTTCCTTTGATCTGGGCCGACAGTTCCTCTTCAAGTGGACAGTAAACTGGCGATTCTTGCCAGAAGAGGTTTTCCAGCACCGAACATTCCACCTGGCATTGCTGGCCGCCCATTTGGCTGCCCTGGGGCTCTTTGCACTGAAGAGGTGGCACAGGTGAGATGGTGGCGTTGTCACTGTGCTCGGGGGGCAGTACGTGTGAAACTCAAATCTGGGAGAATCAGGCTCACAATTTATGGGCTCTCCGAGAGAAAGAGATTTGGTTGTTGTTATAGCTTGTCAAGGAGCGAGCTTCTAATTCCCCAGCACTGGCCTGATACAAAGCAAGAGAGAAAACGGGACTTTGGGGGCACATACACAACCCACACAAGATTAGCCTTTGCAGGATTCTGCTTCAGTTCAGTGCAAGGGTGCAGAAACCACTTGCACTGAAAGTCAGTGTCATGTAGTGCACAGAATGTGAAAGCTGGGGCAAGTTCTGGGTTCGCATCCCTACTCACCCATTTGAAGCTTAGTCATAAGAACAGCCCCACCTGATCTCAGCAGAGGTCCACATGTCCTAGGATCCTGTTTCCAACAGGGTGAGCAGATGCTTGCAGGCATCTTATATGTGGAAAGCAGCAGCTGTTGTCTGTTTTTTGCCCCAGCACCTAGTTTTAAGAGAGAAACTGCCTAGTTGGAGATCTCCTCTGTCACTCTCTCAGCCTAACCTGTCTCACAGATTAAGAAGAGGTTATGCTGAACTGCCCTGAATAAGAGCTTACACTCCCAGAAGGAAGGGGTCCGCTTTCTTATGGATCACAACAGTTCTGCTTCTCTCCTCTCCCCCCACCCTGCCCCCAAACTGCAGGTGTGATGAAAGCATCCTGTCACTGCTGAAGGATCCAGCTGAGAGGAAGAACCCTCCGCAGCCCCTCTCAGCCAATCATATCCTTTTGCCAGAGTGGTGGGGATGGTTTGCCACATGGTAGATGATTTGTGTGATGGTACAAGAACGGCCCTTTTCTGTGGTGGGCCCCCACTTGTGGAATGCTCTCCCTGGCGAAGCTTTCTTGGTACCAAAGTTACTTATCTTTAGGCCCCAGGTAAAAACTTCCCTCTTCTCCTAGGCCTTTGGATAATTAAACAATTAACTGCAGGGTGGTGGTGGTATAGTTTTCATTATGGTATGTGTGTTTGTGTTTTTAATATTGTAAATTGCCCCATGATCCTCCAATGGAGCGTGGTATAAAAGTTTAATGAATAGTAATTTATAAAAGGGTGGGACGCGGGTGGCGCTGTGGTCTAAACCACTGAGCCTAGGGCTTCATGATCGGAAGGTCAGCGGTTCGAATCCCTGTGACGGGGTGAGCTCCCGTTTTTCGGTCCCAGCTCCTGCCAACCTAGCAGTTCAAAAGCACATCAAAGTGTAAGTAGATAAATAGGTACCACTCCAGCGGGAAGGTAAACGGCATTTCTGTGTGCTGCTCTGGTTTCGCCAGAAGCGGCTTAGTCATTCTGGCCACATGACCCAGAAAAACTGTCCATGGACAAATGTCGACTCCCTTGGCCAGTAAAGCGAGATGAGCTCCGCAACCCCCGAGTCGTTTGGAACTGGACTTAACTGTCAGGGGTCCTTTACCTTTACCTTTAATTTATAAAGGGGCATGGAAAGAGCCGAGCTTCCACAATCTTGATGCTCCTCCATTCCAGAGCTGCAGTGGATTTGAACTTTCAACTTTGCGCATTGCAACCTTCCCTTAACCAAAGGCCACAGGTAGTCTTTGCTCTCTTCACTTCCAACTTCATCGGCGTTTGCTTCAGCCGCTCCTTGCACTACCAGTTCTACGTCTGGTATTTCCACACTCTGCCCTACTTGCTCTGGTGCACGCCTCCCAAGAAGCTTGCTCATCTGCTAAAGTGCGTAGTGGCAGGGGGCGGGGAAGGGAGACGAGTCAAGGGGACTCAGGGTCATGCCAGCTATATGCCTATTTTCTCTGTGCAGTCAGATCCATGTAGTTTGTAGGAACTGCATTGCAATTTTACAGAATTTACAGCATACATGCCTGTGATTCCAGCACATGCTCACTTGATCATGATTACAAAGAGAACATCAAAACAAGTGAGTGGGGTGGGACTAGTGGGAGTTAAGCAATGTGCCGTAAAATTACATTTCAAATAATTTGCACATCTTAGACACCAAAAAAAATCTGGATGAAGAGGGAAGCTGCCACGTGGTGCCTGGAATAAAGACATTTTTAAAAATAGCTCAGCTTGCTGCAGAATTTTGATGGATTAGGGATGAAGCAGGGAGTTCAGCTTTCCACCTCCACTTATGAAAACCTTGATGCAGGTGTCACTGTAACATAATTCATGTAGGAATCTAATCAAAACTTTTTATAAAAAGGCCCGTATATTTAGGGGGAGGTTCAGAACTCTTTATTGGCACATCTATTTGTTTTAAGAATGTATAAACAGTTTCCTAATCAATGTTTTCCAAAGCAGAATGCAGAATATGTACACAAATCCGAAAAACAAACTTTGAAATCATTGAATTATCCAAACTCTGTATACATTATAAAATGGCCAAGTCACACTTCAGAGAAGGCTGTCTTAAAAAGAAAGTTTTCAATAGCTACCTATATTTCAGTTGGATGCCGGTTCCAGAAGGCTGGAGCTGCAGCTTTAAAGGCCTGATATATTTAGTGATATCAGGTGTACTTCTGGGGCATACAGAACTCTTAATGATGTCCTGTGAGAAGAATGCAATTGCCAGAGAGGAGCATGTGGGGCAAGGCTTAAGTTTCTCAAATCTCCTAGCCCTAACTTGTATCACTTTAAATGCTAGAAGCGAAACTTTTAACTGAGCCACATAATGTATTAGAATCATAGAATCATAGAGTTGGAATAGACCACAAGGGCCATCGAGTCCAACCCCCTGCCAAGCAGGAAACACCATCAGAGCACTCCTGACATATGGTTGTCAAGCCTCTGCTTAAAGACCTCCAAAGAAGGAGACTCCACCACACTCCTTGGCAGCAAATTCCACTGTCAAACAGCTCTTACTGTCAGGAAGTTCTTCCTAATGTTTAGGTGGAATCTTCTTTCTTGTAGTTTGGATCCATTGCTCCGTGTCCGCTTCTCTGGAGCAGCAGAAAACAACCTTTCTCCCTCCTCTATGTGACATCCTTTATATATTTGAACATGGCTATTATATCACCCCTTAACCTCCTCTTCTCCAGGCTAAACATGCCCAGCTCCCTTAGCCATTCCTCATAAGGCATCATTTCCAGACCTTTGACCATTTTGGTTGCCCTCCTCTGGACACGTTCCAGTTTGGCAGCCAAATGCAGTTTCTTAGCAGAGGTGTTATATATTGTTGGTGGGATGCCCCAGCCAACAGCCTAGCTGCATTATTGTAAGCTAGCTGCAGTTTCTGGATTGCTCAAGAGAAGCCCCACATAGAGGGCACTGCAGTAATCCCGTCTTGAGAGTTCCTGATGCCTGGATCACAATAGTCATAGCTGTCTCGCCAGATGAAGCTGATAAAAGGTGCTCTTAGACACTGAGGTTACCTGTGCCTCCAGCGACATATATGGATCTAGGAGTACCTTTGCTGAACCAGAACTGAGGGCAGGGTGGGGGGTGGCAAAGAAGTGAGTGCTAAGTTCAAGATCCTGGTTCTGGTGTAGAAAGCCCTCTACATTGTGGTACCAGGATACCTGAAAGATCATCTCATTTCTTACATACACAATTGATCACTGCTCTGCAGGTGAGGGCCTCCCACAAATAGCCTCTTATCAGGTCTGTTCTGCACAATAGCTGAATTGTGCTTCTAGCATTGTGGCACCTCCCCTTTGGAATGCCTTCCCCTTGAATATTGGGTAACATCTCTGTTGTTGTTTTTATGGCGCCTACTGAAGACCTTCCTTTTTCAACGAGCCTTTTAAGTTGAGCTCTTTCCGAGTCTGCATCTGTGCTGGAGTAGTTTTAAATAAGTTTTGTATTGTTTTATCTCTTGTTTGCTGCCCTGGGCTCCTTTGGGAGGAAAGACTGAATATAAATGTAATAAACGAACAAACAATTTTTAAGAGTAAAAGTGAGGGAAGGAGAAAAACCCACTCCTCCTGCTACGACAGCCTTATGTGACTTCTTGAACAATGTCCTATTTGTTTTTTCCTCTCCCTTCAGGGTGCTCATTCTAGGTTTGATCGAGCTTTCTTGGAACACGTACCCGTCAACAGTTTACAGCTCCGCTGCCCTCCATGTTTGCCACGCCATCATTCTTCTCCAGCTCTGGTATGGGACGGAGCCCTCCATGACCCCCCAGGAAGTAAAGAAACAGCCTTTGAAAAAGGCGGAGTGAAAACTGCACAAGAGGAGCTTCCCACAGTGAGAGCATGAACAAGATGGTCCAGGCATGGATGTTGCTCTGGGTCAGATGCTGACGGACCACTTCCATTCCCTCCTGGGAGGACCTCTTGCTCAAGTGTAGGCACTGCCTCCTAGCCCAGAAGGTGTGTGGTGGTGTGTGGATGGGAAAGAGTACAATCTGCATACCTGCTGGTGGTAATGTGGAACAGCTTAAATAAAATCAGCCAGGGCTTGGCGTGAGGCCTCTTGCCTCTGTATTTTGACTTTTGTCTCGTGGCTGCACTTCATTTGCTTTTAAAGCAAGCTTCTTGGCCTTTTAAATGTGGATAACACTTGAGAACAGGTGGACTTAAGGTTGTATCCAACACCGTCCCATTAGTGCAAGGACTTCCGCTCGCACAATGGAACTGCCCCTCCCTCTGCTCCCCCCATGCACCCACTAAAGCTGTTCTGTAGATTTTTCCCAACTCTCCTGAACAAATTAGCGGGCAAGGGGTGCACAGAGACAGGAGAGGGAGGGGAAGTTCGGTTCTGCAAGTGGAAATCTGTGCACCAATGGGATGACTTCATCTGATACAACCCTAAGTAGCACAGTCTTGGTATGAGGGTGAGCTGTGGGCAGGAATAGGAGTGTTGCTTTTTACTGGGAATAAGCTAATTTTCTGCTGTGGTGGAAGGAGAGCCTTTCCCACTCATTTCAGGAGTCAAGGCTGTGCAAAACAGGCTTGCAACACTCCCTGTGGGGGACCTCTCTCTTCCCTTTTTTGGACATACGGTAATCAGGCCAACCCAACAGACGAGGGTAATCAAGAGACTAGCCCTGGCTCTCTATAGCAACTCAAGTGTCAGTAATTTTGGAGGTATCTGGAAAAAGCATTGCTGGTGTGGACACAGTGTTGCCCAAAGACCTGGGCAATGAAAGAACACGCTGCTGCTCTAGACTCTGATCGCGTCTCTTTATTGGCACCTGCAACCAACGGCCTGGTCTGCTCACTACTCCTTCACACGTTGTTTGGGTTGTAACACAGCATGTTTAGCTTGATGTTCTCATCCCAGTGGCGGAGCAGCAGGAAGAGTTGACGTGCTGCCCCTTTGAGAGCGGCGACATCCACACCTTCTGGCAGCTGCTGTGCCCGCAGCCAGGAATCGGCCTTGGCTGCCAGCAACTCCCACTCCACAAAGAACCCGGCACAGCGGTGCTCCAGCCAGGCCAAAGCCACAGCTGTGGCCCAGCTCATGCTCTCCAGGTCCCCTTCCTCTGCATCTGGGCACATCTCCTGCAAGCTGATGCTCACTTCAGAGGCATCCGGTGAATGGTCGCAGGCATCTGTCTCGGAGCCACGCCCGCTGTCTGCCTGTGCCCACACAGCAGCGCTCAGCACATCTGAGCAGGTGCTGTGTGAGTGTGGCGATCCTGGCTCCACCGCTCCCTCCTTGCTTGTTCCAACTCCTTCACCGCCATCCGGGGAAGGCTGGTTTGCTGTTAGCCTTGGGCTGGCCTTGGCTATGAGTGCCCAAGGGGAGGTGCTGGAGGCAGGGCTGAGGCTGGCACGGTGGGAGGCATAGGGAGAGGCCCGGCGCAAGCGGTCCAGTGGGATCTGAACGACCTCCGAGAAACACTCGGTCAGCTGGAACATGCCGGGGGCCTGCTGCAGCCGCACCTGTTACAAGGGAGAAGTTGGATGTGCATTTAAGCCAAGCTTCTGAGTCCCTTAACAGTTCAGTGGGAAGTGCTTCTGTGCAAGTTCAAAGCTGTTTTGCAACTCCCTTTCATTTGAGAAGGTTTGTGCAGCAGAGATTTTTGTGGGTTGTGCCAAGGCTAGGGAACCTTTAGCCCTCCAGATACTGCTGGACTACAACTCCCATCATCCCTGATCATACACACTGCTGGCTGAGGGCGATGGGAAGTGTAGTTGGGAACTACAGTGTGGTGTAGTGGTTAAGGGTGGTGGCCTTCCACCCTCCTGTGTAGTGGCCAGTGTGGTGTAGTGGTTAAGGGTGGTGGACTTGTAATCTGGGGAACCGGGTTCGTGTCTCCGCTCCTCCACATGCAGCAGCTGGGTGACCTTGGGCTAGTCATACTTCTTTGAAGTCTCTCAGCCCCACTCACCTCACAGAGTGCTTGTTGTGGGGGAGGAAGGGAAAGGAGAATGTTAGCCGCTTTGAGACTCCTTAAAGGGAGTGAAAGGCGGGATATCAAATCCAAACTCTTCTTCTTCTACATACTCTTCTGGTTCATTCAGAACAGTCTTATTTGTTCTATAATAGCAATGATTTTATCTGTTATATAATTGCATATTAAACTGTTGAAACCTGCCCTGGGGCCTTATAGTGAAGGGCAGGGAAGAAACCTTATAAATATAATTAAAAGTCCAGCAGAAATCACATAAGATGGGCAACCAATGTGGGATAAAACGATGCTGCAGTGATCTAGGCAGTGGAAATGGAGAGGGGAAGAGAGGCTTACCAGTGGGAGATAGTCCTGAATGGCACTGTCACAAGAGGAGAGTTCGCTTTCAGGGGTCAGACACTGGGGACGCAGTGCCAGGCCTTGACCCCGTCGCCGGCTGATGCTGAATCTGCAGAGACCAGAGTCACCCAGGTGAAATGTCATGGTGATGTCACCAGTTTGTTCGATCAGGCTAGGGGCTCTTATAGTGCAGCCTTCTGTTTCTTACAGTGGCCAAGCAAAGCTGGATGGGCCAAGCAAAGCATCTGGTATACTGCCTCCATTCATAGGGGTAGTTCTCAATGGCTCTTAACCTTGATAAGGCTGGGTCCTGCATGCACTGAGAAAGATGGACTGCAGGCCAGCTTCCTCTAGCCCATGCCAGGTTAACTGTAGCAGAGTACAAAACTGTCCTTTTTGGTGGAGCCTTCCACCCTCCCGTGTGGGGCTCTATATATAATGGAGGTGCTCAAGCATGTTTATATTAGCAGGTACAGGGTGGGTTGGAGGGTGTGGTTTTCCTCTCTAGGAAGGATTATCTTTTGAAGCTTTAACAGGCTTCAAAATGTGTTGTAAAACCCCAAATGCTGGGTGGAAGACAATAACATTACTCATAGAAAATAGAGCTTCAGCATCTCTGTTGCTCCACAAAGATCTAGTAGTGGAAGCAACTGTGTCTTCTGTCCTGATCCTTCCCTGCTCTTTCCACCTTATCAAAGACCACAAAACGCTCTGGACTGGGTCTTTCTCAGTTACGTATTTTGTACAGCACCTAGTATGTAGATGGTGCTAATATTTTAGACGATAAGGGAGAGTTTCCAGAGCTAACTCAGCTGGGAACTTGTAGAGAATACCTACAGTGAATTCTCTGTTGATCCTAAAAAAGATGATAAACTCTTAAGGATTACAATTGGTGTTGCATGATATTGTGAACACTCTCAGAATGGTTGGTCAAAAGAACAACCTTCCTGCAAAATAGCCTGTTGCATCTCCCAGCCTTAGAAGACTCACCTGGAGCCCACGAAGTTCTCCATTGATTTCTGGGAGCCCACAGAGACAGGAGAGGGACTGGAATCGACACCTAGACCAGAAAGGAAGCAACTGGTTAGGAGCTGCAAAATAGCAAACAGAGATGGAGACCAGTCGTGCCCATGGGGACTGGTGGGGGTGGAAGGCATGGTGACTGAGAGAATGTGGAGCCACGGCCAATGCCAGGCAAAGCCAGCCAATTCTAGGTTTGTCCAAATCCTCCTCTGAGTTTTATAAAGGCAACACTGACTCGAAGGAGGAAGAGCCAGTGCTCTAGACTGTAAGTCAGAAGTCAGGCAGGTGGGGACTGGTTAAGGGCAGGCTGAGGTTGGTGTGGCAGTGCCCCATTTGTTCTAATAGACCAGCCTTCACTGATTGAGACCACACAGCTTTACTTCCACAGGGCTGGCTATGGTAGCTGCAGCTTTATTGGCAGGGCTGCATCTTAATGCCATTTGCTTAGGGTCTCCCAGTTGATGCACAGCAAAGCTCTTTATTCTCTCCCTATAGCAAAAGCAAAATAAGTTACAGAAGGAAAGCAAAAGTACACAGAGCACAAAACCCCACTTTTAGTGCTGTAGAACTTGATTTTGCCAATGTGGTGCAGTGGTTAGAGAGTTCGACTAGGACTTGGGAGATCAGGGTTCAAGTCCTCAGCCATGAAGCTTGTGGAGTGACCGTGGGCCAGTCACTATCTCTCAGCCTAACCTATCCCACAGGATTGCTGTAAGGATGAAATGGGGAATGGAAACACTCTGTGTGCTGCCTAGAGCTCCTAGAAGGGAAGGTGGGAGAGAAATGTTATAAATAAATAGGGGTAGAGTTTGTGGGCTCTTGCAGATGATGTGGGCTCTTGCGTTCATCCTTTCTCTCCTGCAGATTAAATTATATCTGGTTTTCTGATTTCTGAGCAGAGCAGTTATATGACAAGGAGTACTTGTCTTGCATTTGTCCTGATTTGCTGGTGAAGCATTTATATATCTTCCTGTTAGGCATTAGTTCATCCCACTCAATTCAATGCATTTCTCCACTTTCCAAACTGCATAAAAACTTGTTTTTTAAAAAGTGGATTTGTTGCACTAGGGTGACAGAGCCCTTTAATCCACTTTAATTGCACAAACCTAAGTTTGTGGTGTGTGCTTGATAGATTTAGGCACCCTAAATCTATTAAAGCACATGGTTTAATGCAGCCTCTCCAGATCCTTCACCCTCCAAACTCTGCTGTAAGACTTACCATCATGACAGTTCTGCTTTTCTTGGTTGACAGAACTGACACTAACAGGAAAAGAAGGAATCTCTTCTCGTTCTAGGAAGTAAAGAAAATTCCTGACATCAGACTAACAACTGATACAACCTGCAGAGAACTGGAGGGACGTCGGGGGCATTCAATCTATTATTTTGTCAGCTCGCTATTTTATCCATGTATATACTGCTTCATTGTAATAAAACCTCTAAGCGGTTTACAAGAAACAACAACAGTATCTAACTAGTTAATGGCAGCTGTACAAGATCAAAACAGACTCCCAGAATATGACAGAAAGAAACTGCTGCAAATCAGAAGCTGAAATTGGGTTGCTCAAAGCTCATGCTGATCCAAAAGAGCAGGGATGGGGAACTTCCAGCTTAACAAGGCCTGCCAGACCTCCCCATGTGGCCCAAGAGAATATTTTGGCTAAACCATGCCCACCGGTGCAGAACTTTGCAAGTCCTGGGAATCAGCTGCAAAAGCAGGTTACCTGATGTCACTGGTGCCATTATACCTAAGAGGAAGACTTCTGGTCTTTTGTTAAACATTATCTTGAACAATTTTTAAAATTCATTATATATGAGGTCACAAAAGTTTTTTATTTTCTTGCAACTCCACCACTTGTCAAACTTGGCCCACAGCGGGTAGGGGAAGTAAGAATCCGGCCCACCAGCCATATTCCATTTCCCACCCCTGCAAAAGAGAGTTCTGTGATCAGTCAATAGTGGCAGGGTGGGACTGATACTGCTATATCAAGAAGTGTGTTAAAAGGACCTGTCCACAGGAAGACAGGAGGCTGCATTAAGCTGAGTCAGATTGTTCCTACACCTAACTCAGTACCATCTAGACCAGGGGTTCCCAAACTTGGGTCTCCAGCTGTTGTTGGACTACAACTCCCATCATCCCTAGTTGGCAGGACCAGTGGTCAGGGATGCTGAGAGTGGCAGTGGATCTCCAGGGTTTCAGGCAGGGGAATCATCAGTCTTCCAATGCCCTAACTAGAGATGCCAGGACTGAACCTGGGACCTTCTTCATAGAAATCAGAGGGGCCACCACTGAGCTATGGCCCTTCCCCAGCTCTGATGCCTCCAAATGATCAGGCACTGCTCATGATTCATCTTCAAAAAGGAGCGACATGCTATGTTGGATTGCTGCAGAGCAGGGAGATGTCAAAGGGCTGACCCTACCCTATAGAACACATTTTTAACAGGGAGGCTGTACAGCTCTCACTAATCTTTCACAACAAAATCACCCAAGCGCTCTCATTGTTAGCAGGTCAGTTTCCTAACGTTCAAACCGCTATCTGCCGTTGCTGGGAAGCAGAGCTATTTTTGCTTTTCTTTTTAAAGGCATATTCACCTCTCCTGCATCACATATAGCTTGGGTTCATCTAGCATTTTTTCCCCCTATGGTGATGCAAATTACACTGCTTCCACTGCTACAACTGATCACTCAATTGGTGTTTAAAGCCTTCTAAAAAGACCTAGGCCCCAAATATTGGAAAGGCCTCCTCCTTCCCTAAAGACCTTCTCAACTCTTAAGGATGGCAGCAGGGGGCCTCTTGGTAGCTTCTCCACTGTCAGAAATTGGGGGATGGAGATGGCCGCCCAGGAGACGGCATTCTCTGTGGCCACCTCTAAATCATGGAACTCCCTCCCCACGGAGGTACGTTGGTACCTTCGCTAAAAAAGCTTTTGCTGAATGCTGAAGACGTACCTCTTTACCCTGGGCCTTTGACACAGGAGAAGTATAGCGTTATGAGTTTGGGGTGTTAAGTGGTATGTCAGACCCCACTAACCCCTGGATCCAGCAAGTGTTAAAATTTAATCAAGTCTTCTAATTCCTGAAATAGCCAGGTTAGCCTCCTGGTGAGGCATAAGGAGAACAAAGGAAGGGCCTCTGTGGGAGATGGCAAATGGGTGCAGCCTCTCCCTCAACTCGTGGATAGTTAGAAAGACAGAGCTGGAATTTAGAGCTGAAAAAGTTGCAGTGATATGGGCAGATGTAACGCAGCAAGCTGGGAGAAGACAGAGAAGCAGAGCAATGTTGGATGTCTGTTTGAATCCAGGGCTGTGGCTGTGGGAGAAGAAAGACCCTTTTGGGATGCTAATGCTGTGGATTCCTCCATTGTAGGCTCAGGTTGTATATATGTGTAAATAAACCATATATCCTAAAGACACCACAGTCTCTGCTGTGCTTCATTACCAAAGGAAACACAAACCCTGGGTAAGCACCTGGAACCCCTGAAATCTTGCACTGATCGGAGATTGGAGTGCAAATATTTTTAGGGCCCTATTCTTTTGGTTTAATTTGTTTTAAACTGATTTTAATGTTGTATCTTTAAATTGCTATAACCTGACCCAGGATCTTGTGGTGGAGGGAGGGTAAGAAATTGAATACTACTACTACTACTACTAGTAGTAGTAGTACTAAATTCATTGATTTGTATTTGTTTCTCTGCTTCTTCCCCATCTACTGCCTCCCGGGGGTCCTTGTGTCATGTAGATAAAGGGCTCCTTAGACAGGTGAAGTGACACTAGTACCCGCAGAAACAGGAGCATCATCCAGGTCCTCTGAGTCCTGCCTCCGTCCCAGACCTGCTGAGCAACTGTGCTGACGTCGGCTGCCAGAATAGGATCCTTGCTGGTGGCTGAAGAGGCCCACTGGAAGAAAGCATATTTCATTGGGGTGTTTAGAGATAGTTGTGGGGCCAGCACTGTGCATATTCAGTTGCAGAACAATCTCATTTTCTCTGCATGGATTTTATTGAGCTAATAATAAATACAGCCTGCATTCTGCAGACAGATATATTCCTGGCTGCCACTGGAAAATATCCCCTCACTCAGCAGCTAGTTCAAGTTGATGCAGTCATCTGCAGCAGGAAAACATGCCACCCTAGATACCTGATGAAACCTGGAATGTACCAAAATTGTATGGTGGAAATGTCTGTAAATATTTGGGCTGCTCTCAGCAGTTTGCTAACAAAAGAAGCTGGTGAAAGCAGCCAGTTTTGTTCTGCAATCCTGCAGTGGAGTCTAATTGCTGCTCACTATCATTCCTTCTCAATCCTGATATGTTTAAACAGGCAGGTTAGATGCTGTAAGCAGCTGGACTCCTTTCTCTTCCAAGGGAAAACAAATGAAGACAGGCTGCTCCAGATTTTGAGCACTTCAGGAAGGAACAGTGGAAGAACATGATTGTGCAATCTGTTGGACAACTGAATTTTTAAAAAAAGTTTCTAGCTCTCATGATAGAATTTGTTCTCAAAACTAGATCCCGGATGAATCCTGGGGATTCAGATTCTGACCTAAGAAGCAGAGCTCTGCACATGCACTCCAAGCAGCCCTACCTGTGCTTCGAACCTCAAGGGCAGAGGGCAAGATCTCCTGGGTGGAAGCATCAACAGGCACCACAGAGGTATATATTGAAGGTGTGTTGCAAGCTTTGCTGGACTGGACTGCCTTAATGCGGAATCTTCGTGAGAAACCTTTGGAGGGGCAGAATCACAGTGCTGGTTACAGTTAAGAGGGAAGGTGGATTTGAGATACAGGGTAGGCAAAGTTATGTATGCTTGTCTTTAAGCAAGTCCATATTCTTTGCGGCTTCAGAAATGAGCTTTGCAACAAGACCCAAGCCCACATTTAATAATCTGATTAATACTCATCATCTGTTTAAGTAGTCAAATTTGAGGCAGAATGGGCAAGTGAAGGGAAGGGCAGGCTTACCATGTTCAATCTCAGCTTCCCTTTGAGACACATTCTCATTATCCCGGATGACGGAGCCAGCAGTCAAGTGGTGAAGCAGTTTGTCCCAGCCCTTACTCTGCTGCTGCCACTGAGAAGGCTCCTCCTTGGCCTGGCTGTCTTTGGCAAGAAGCAGGGAATCCAGGGCAGCTGTCACTTCCCAAGAGACCGGTTTCCCTGCACTGAGTCCATGGATCACAACTTGGCACCGGAGAGGCGGCCAGGCACTGTTGTCACACTCTCCTCGCTCAGTTGCTGGTGATGGGCTGAAAAGGTATGGGGGTTCCAATAGCGTGTCCCAGTCTAGGTGGGCTGGTGACAGTAGGTTGCCTAGGAGAGAGCAAGGCGTGGGAATGCACACACGAGGCTCATCAGGTTTTGCAACAGGATAGAGTCTCCCGCAGGCAGACATCTCTGGAAGCTCACAAACACCCAGTTAGGAGTGTACACATCCCCAAGTTTGGCACTCAGAGACTTTCACTTGCCCTGCTGCTTTCCCCCTGGGGAAACCCAATCTTCACTGATGAATTGGAGCAGATGATATCAGTCGGGTTTTCTCCAGATTGACGTTTGCTCTGATTTGGCACTGAAGATTGGGTTTCTGGGGGAAAGCGATAGGGCAAAGGTAAAACTGCTCAGACAAGTGGAAAACCACCTCAATCCCTGTTTTCTAGGCATGGGACAAGTGTGGAAGAGCCACAACAGCTGGTATGACAGGAACCTTTGCAAGTGAAGGATCCAAGAGGACTGCAAGTACCTTCAATGGTTATTTACAGCAGGGATGGGGCCCTTCAGATGTTGCTGGACACCAACTCCCATCAGCCCCAACCAGCATAGCCAAAGGCCGGGGGTGATGGGAGCTAAAGTCCAAGAGCATCCAGAGGATTGCAGGGTCCCTATCCATGGATTATAGCAAGGCAGTTGCTTGCAGACTGAGCATGAGGCATTTGCAACCATATGGGACTCTGCTTCAACGATGGGAAGGTTTTAGTAGCTAATCTCTGGTCCCAAAGTCAGCAGGAAAGGTGCATTTTCCCCTGCCAACAGAAATGGCACCTGAGCCTGCCAGGATTAGTCTGGCACCTACTGGCTCCAAATCCTGCAAAGTACTCTCCCCAGACTTGGAAGGCTTACAATCTGACCATAATCCCCTTCCTGATAGACGAGGCCTGCAGTCTTCGCTCTTCTGGACAGCCATCTGCACTCTACACAATACTGGCCAACTCAGTTCCTAGTCACAAAAACCTTGACATTCAGTTTGTTCTGAGACAGGCTTTGGGCTTGCCCTGGCCCAGGTAACTCCCCAGTCAAAGGTGGGTATGGAGGGAAAAATTGAGCAACACCGTTCACCACAAAAACAAACAAACCGCTCTACAGATGGACGAGAGCTTCTTCTAAGTCCTGCCAAGTCTTGGAGCAGGGAGGGCATGATACAGATATATCAAGATGGGTTTCAGGCAGAGGACATCCCCAGCTCTACCTGGTGATGTTATGGGGTTGAACCTGGGACCTTCTGTCACTGAGCTACAGTGCAGAACTGGAGTGGGGGATAAACTAACAGGAATGTTATTTGCACAAGACTTAAGTGGGAAGAATAACAGACACCAAGATGCCCCCCCCCCTGCAGATGGCCCACATGCAAGTCTCAGCCACTCTTGCTTTCTCTCATCTTGCGTGGGGCTTCTTGCCCCCTCTGCTCTCCCAACAGGAGACTTCCACGTTCTTCTTCCCCACCACTCACTGGAATCAGCAATGCTTCTGCGCATCTTCTGCAACTCCGGCCCAATCTCATCCAGTTTCCCTTCCAGGGAACGGTTCCGCTTCTGGGACACCTTTTCTAGGGCTCGGCGCAGCCGATGGGCATCCAGCTCACCATGTGGGGAGGAGAAGCTACGTCCAGACAGAGCAGCTCGGGCCAAGGCCTTCTTCCTTCGCACCAGCTCCTCGGAGCTCAGGGCCGCAGACACCTTAAGAGAAAGGGAGGGCGAGAAGGTCAATGCTGGGAAAACTCTAAGGAAGCATGTCAAAGATCACTGTAAGAAAGCAAATGCCCTTCCCTTGTGCAGATCTAATGCTGGGCCTACTGCATCTCTACACCTGAGGAATAGTCTTCCGTTCTCTCCCTCACACACAAAGCTCTTCCAAACAACCAGTTTATGGAACATTCATCCTCATTTTCTTGCAAGGCAGTTTGAAAACATGGGCTATTGAATAAGCATTCATTCTGATTTGTCTGCAGGCAGGTGAGACAACATTGCATCAAGGAAATGTTACTCCAGCCTTTCAATTTCACGTTGCCATTACTTTCCTTATCACAAAAAGTCTGTGTGCGTTTTTGGCGGGGGGAGAGGGGGGAGTGGGTTTGTTGCACAAGAGCTCCCAATCAATTATAATTGCACGACCGGAATGTGTCAATATATGGTTGAATCCCACCTGAAAATAGCAACAGTCTGGAAGGACCCATAATTATGAAGGACTTTTCAAATTACACCAAAGGATATTCAGAAAGGCTGAGACCTTGGTTCTGGGGTTTTATCATGGGAGGCCTAAGTTGTCCAGTGCAGATTCGACACTTACATTACAAAGCCAACTGAATTTACGTAAGAACATAAGAAGAACCTGGCCCATCGAGTCCAGCATCTTGTTCTTGCAGTGGCCAACCAGATGCCCCTAGGAATCCCACAAGCAGAAGCGCACTCTCCCCTTCCTGTGGTTTCCAGCAACTGGTATTCAGAAGAATGGCTTCCTTTGAGTGCGCCAAAAAGACTCATGTCTGAAAATATTTGTGAATTTGTTTTGTGTTAAAAGGCTGCAGAATAGCCTTTAAACTAACCCCTGGGGGAAAGGGGAAAGGAACTGGGAGGGTGTCTGGGTCAGGACGACTCATTGTTTCAAGTGACTGGGAGCCTTTCTAAAGAGGTGGCAAATGTGCTATAAATAAGCTAATAGAGGATGAGGGTGAAAATGTTTCTGACCACCCAGCTGGGAATACCTCCACCTAAAAATAGGAAGAATGGGAAATCTCCCTTTACATTTCCAATAGAAGATTTGATCCTAGAAAAAAAGACCCAAAGTAGTATAAAGCAGCAGGCATCTTTCAAAGCCTGCTGGGTGCTGTGGAGTGGAGGGGATCTGAAATGCCTCACCTTAGGAGGAGCACCAGACGGAGCCTGGGAGACGGGGGCAGACTTGGTGGAGGAATTGCACAGGGAGACACTCTTCTGGCCTTGCTGTGAGCTGCCTTCGAGAGCCTGGGCTAAGGACCCTCCCTCTGGAGGGACATCTCTGGAGCCCGTGGACTCGCTGCTGGTGGAACTGTGGGAGAGCAAGCCGTGGCTGTGGTCGGTGCTGACTGAGCAGTGAGTGAGCACATACTGTTCCTTGATGTAGGAGGGCTGGTAAATCCGCTTCCAGATGTCTCCTCCGGACACAGGATCCCCACCTGCCAGGGAGAAGAACGCAGAGGCACTGGCATGGAGAGTTCCATAATATACAGAGGCACAATTATTATTGTTGCTGGTTACATTTGCATACTGCAGATCGCAGGGTGGTTCACACCATAAAATCACAATATAGAAACCACAAAATACATAGTAAAAATAAGAACAAACTAATAACTCCCCTCTCTAACAACACATTTAAATGGGCATCGAATGTCAATTGGCCAAAGGCCTGGTTGAAAAGGAAAATTTTAGCCTGGCATCCACTGGAGATGCCAAAGAGTGAACCTGGGACCTCCTACATGCAAAGCAGTGCTGTGGCAAAGAGCTCTGGCCTCTCATCACTCCTCAACTGACCTCCGCCATTCAAAAAGGAACAGTGGTCAGGGCCAGTCAGGGCTGATAGGGTGGAAGGGAGCGAGTCCAACAGTAGGCAGAGACACAGCCAGGACAGGTGGAGCCAACTCTATTTTATTTCCACTTTCCCACCACTGTCTTTCCCAGCTGAGTTCTACGAGGGTCAAACTGAGACTAAGGAGGAGGAAGCAGACACCCAGGACTGGTTACGTGTAAAAAAGCCAGTGGGATTGGAGGAATCAAGACACAGGTCACACCCACAGCACACATTTAAAGCACCTTCAAGTACATGGCTTCCATCACAGAATTCTGGGGATGTAGTTTAGCTTCACAGAGCTACAGGTCTCAGCACCCTTAACAAACTACAGTTCCCAGGATTCTTTGCAGGAAGTCATGTGCTTTAAATGTACGGTGTAGATGTGACCTTGGGTTGTTGGGGCTGAAGTGTAGAGTGCCCTATTCCCCCCTGTGGACCAGACTGCAGAGAATGGGAGGAGGGGATCACTGCTTAGTGGGTCTGGAGCAAAGATTGTTGCTCCATTCCCAGACAGTCCTAGAGGAAAGAACTGAAAACAAACGCCATCCCACAAAGTTCTACTTACTTTTCATAGACTCCTCAGTGCCCCCAGCAGAAAACTCCAGAGATATCTCACGGGAAATCTCATGAAGGGCTCGGCAAATTTCTTGACTCTCTGGGTGTGGATGGGCTCCTTCCAAACCAGTTGCCTCCTCCTGGGACTGGAACACTGAACCCGCAGAGCCCCTAGATAGACTCCGGCACAACGGCTCTCTGCCCTGGGGAAACAAGGCAGCCAAACTTTAAGGCGAGTAGATGACTGAAGGCATATTTTAAAAGGCTCTGCTCTGAGGGGAACGAAGGAAACAAGGCAAAAAGGCACCTTCTCCAGGCAAGGCTTTCTGCAAGTGGCTACTGGAGCCAGGCACAAAATAAACGCAGGCCTTGTTTCCCACAGCAGGGGGAGCCACACTTTTTCGGACAGGGCTGGGGAATGTTTTTCAGCCTGTGAGCCATATTCCCTCTGGAGGGCTGCCTGTCGGTGTTACTACATCACAGCCAGGCAAAAATTCTCTCAAGAGGGTATGCAGCAGGGCCTGGGGAGAGTCCCAAGTGCCAGAAAAAGGCCTGCCAGGCCACATTCCGCCCCCAAGCCCACGTTTTAAGGGAATGGGTGCTCAACTGTTGCCTTCTTGTCCCGGAAACTGGCAATGTGGTAAAGAGTGCAGTAGCTGATGAGCCGGTCTCCTGGATACAGGGCTGCGATCTCATTGGGCGATAGCAGGGCCTCCATGGTGTCTGGCACATACCAGTCTATCGTGATGTCACTCACAGCCGGCTCAATTGCTTTTTTCAAAGACTTTATCAGCTGGGGGAAAAACCAGAGATATTCAGCAGCCCTCGTATGTCTAACAGCTAGTTGCCATATTCTAAGGACAGGTGAGAAATTGGATCAAGTTTGTATTTAAAGGCCAATCTATCAAATTTGTACTTTCCAGAACAATACGCAAATGGAAACAGCCATCCTTTGACATGTGCACTTATCTGAACTTTGCAATGCAGTTCTTCCATCAACCAGTATTTACCAAACTGCAAATGTTAGGAGAAAGTGTGCATAAAAAGATATTGGTGAATATAACGTACAATAATGTATTGTATGAGGAGAAATTACTTGCAGAAATAAGTGCAGGAGTCAAGACTGCACATAAAAAAGGTGTTTATCAGGAGAAATTCACACAAAACAGGGGTGAATTTTCAAGAGGTTTTTTTTAAAAAATAAATAAATTAAAAAGTCTGGAAATTTCTGCAGAAATGTGAAGACTGGAAAAACAAGGAAGTGAAAGAACAGAGAGTGACAGACCCTCCATCCCTACCTCCTTGAGCCTCTTTCAGGTGGCAATATCCTGAAAGATGGCTTGGCTGCCAACACTGTCTCTGCATGGATTCTTGAACAGAAGGATGATAATACTACACTGCTGTCTGGATCCTTCATAGCTGACGCACGCCTGTGTTAAATTGTGATTGTATAGTGTGGACATGGCACATAACTACTGAGCACAGGTGACCGCCCAAGTCAAAAATACCAACAATGAAGCAGGACAGCACGTACCTTGGGCTGCAGCCTTTCACTTGGGCTTAGGAATTCAGCCCGACCTCTGCTCACCTTTGCCAGTCCGCGCAGGAGCCTACGGCAGGCACCAGAGCCCAGGCCAAAGGTAAAACACCTGTGGGAAAGAAGTCCTTGAATCTCAGACCACCCAGCCTGCTTCATTCTGTTCCACACTCTTATTAGGATGTGCACTGCCAAGCCATGGCAAGCACTCTGAGCTCAGCAGACTGCACTGAAGTCTTCATCTCATTCATACTTTTTTAAAGCACATTACTTCCCATAAAGTATTGTGGGAATTGCAGTTTGTTATGGATTCTGGAAACTGTAGCTCTGAGTAGTAAACTACAGTTCCCATGATTCTTTGGGGGAAAGTCATGTGCTTTAAATGTATGGTGTGTGTGCGCAGCCTGTGTAAGAGGTTTGGCTGCTAGAGAGCCAAGGCTGAGAGGCAGAGGCTTGCTTAGGGTCACCCAGATAATTAATGGCTGGGAAGCAATTTGAACACACAAATCCAGTTATGACTACAGGTGTAAATACATTTGCAACATCCTAACATCAGTGAGGGTGGCCTGGAAGTGCCCTCTACTGCATTCAGCACAAACACACCTTTCTTCTGTACCAGACTGAGTTTGGCAAATGATTCTGCAAGTTTACAGTGCAAATTCAGTGTGTGATAGGGAAACATTGGCTGTAGAGGGTGCTTATTGGCTAGTTCTCATAATAGATGGCTGACCAGGGCTGGTTATAGGGAGCAGATGGCTCCCTTATTAGAACATCTTCACTGGCTACCCGTCTGTTTCTGGGCACAATTCAAAGTGCTGGTTATGACATATACCGTATTTTTCGCCCTATAGGATGCACTTTTTCCCCTCCAAAGGGAAAATGTGTGTGCGTCCTATGGGGCGAATGCAGGCTTTCGCTGAAGCCTGGAGAGCGAGAGGGGTCAGTGCGCACCGACCCCTCTCGCTCTCCAGGCTTCGCGCAGCTCTCCGCAAGCCGTGGGAGCCCGGCGCTGGGCTCCCACCGCTTGTGGAGAGCTGCCTGTTCTGGGGGCTGGGGTCGGGGGAAGCCCCGCGCCTGGGGGGGGGGAAATAAAAATTTTCCCCTTTATTTCCCCCCCAAAAAACTAGGTGCGCCTTATGGGCCAGTGCGTCCTATGGGGCGAAAAATACGGTACGTAGGAACTTTTTTATAGTCAAACCTAACTATGCATATCTACGCTGGTTAGCAATCAATCCTAGTTTGTGGAACGCCCCCTACAATGATAGATTCGAGCTAACTCTACTGTACATACATTTTAAAGAGCTTGTAGGGGCAGAAGCTCTAGGTCCTCAATAGCTGCATGGCAGGCAGAAATCAACAGGTGAAACCATAACGGAGGAGCAATCGGCTAGCGTGCATAGAAGTTAACAGCATGAGCAGGAAAGGATAGGAATACGGATCAATGTTATAGTGTTGCTGCAAAGATTACTGAAATAATGTATGTGAAGTTCTTTGAACGCTTGAAAGTGCTATTTAAATGCTAAGTAATATTGATTATTGCAAATCATGAGGCTATTAGTGGCACAGAGCTTCTGTGCATAATAAAGACCGACCCAGATCCAGCTCTCTTTATTTAGTGGATGATACTGCCTCTCCACTTTTCAACATACAGCAGAGTACTTTACTCTATCCAGGTCTCTTGCACACCAAGGTAGAATTGGAGACCTATGAAAGGCCAGTTCACCCCACTCCATACCTGACACTGCTCGCGTGTCTCCTGACCAGCTCGATGACCTTGCCTGTGTTTCCAACACTGGCATCCGTAAATATAAAGAGCTGCCGAGGATACCCACGGTGAAGAGGGAGCCCCAAGATCCAGGTCAGAGCAGCCAGGAGGTTGGCTCCACCCATGTCAGACCGCAGCTTCTGAATGTATTCACAGGCCAGCCTGAGGGTTTCCTGTACACAGGAGAGATGAGTGGATTATGGAGACAGCAAATAGACTGAACCAGACTTCTTGCCATAAAGCAAGCTCTCCACCACCCCAGAACATTACGACTTCTGCCTCTGTGGCTCACTGACTCTAATTCTGCATTCCAGAAAGTGAGATCCTGTGGCCTGAACATGTTGTGGAAATAGTGTGCCAATCAACTCCTGCTACTTACATGCATGAAGGATAAGGGACTATAAGGCACAGTACTGATGACAACTAGAAGTCCTTGCTTACTTGCTGCCTGTCTTCTGACATTTTGTCAGGCATTTTCTACACATATGCAAGTTTCTCTCCATATGCAAGTTCTTCTCCATAGCCGTAAACCTATTTTAAAAACTAGCCAAATCTCCCAGGCAAACGACAAATTTTGCTTTTGTGAACCCTGTTGATCTCTCTGCACCCTGCACTCCAACCATAAAACCAATGGCATTTTCAGTTGCCATGAATCCAGAATGCCCTTCCCAGGGAAGCTTGCATGGCACCCCGTCTGATATCTTTGGGCACCAGGCTTTTTATTTGCTTAAGCCTTTCAGCACGTCAGCTACCTGGTTTCAATCTGTGTACTTTTATTGCGTCTGTTGATTTTTACTGTTTTATTGCCCTGCTGAATTATTTTATATAATTATGAACGTTATCATTTTATTAATTTTTTAGCTGTTCTGAGAATTGCCATCTAAAAAATACTGTGTGTTTTATTCAATAAATAATCCACTGATCTCATTTGTCCCTTTCTAAGCCATGCTCCTGGACATACCAAGGAGGAATCTGGGAACTTTTTTGGATAAAACTTGTACTCTACCATTGAGTTACAGCCCTCCCTAATCTTCTTGCCTTCCTGTTTGTGAGTCAGACAGACACACAATTCTGGGAGTCATAAGTACAGCGATATTAATTCTGCTATTTCACAATCACGCTTCACAAGCTGGCATTTGAAATTGGGGGTGGGCAGAATTCAGCTTCCTGAAAAGATGTGGCCCCTTAAATAAATTTAATGTGGCATAAGGTTTTGTGGACTTCAGCATCTGCTTTAAAAAGGAAAAAAGCCTCTAGCATTTATGGTTGGGAAGACAAATCTGAAAATATGTATGAAATGACTGGTATCATCTCATAAGTGGAGGGGTGAGATGCAAAGGAGGATTTCAAGTGAATATGGGACAGATCCGCAGAACCTGCACAGCTGCTGGACTCTGGCCAACCCAGAATAAACTGGACATAAAAAGCCAGTATAGCAAGTCTGCATGCTTTGCATAACATACACAGATCACTGAACTCAACTTCTCTTGGCACAGAATTTGGGTCACCTGAGCACAGCAGTTTTATCACAAGGACTGAAGATGACGCAACATGTTCCTCCAAGCACAGAATCAACCCAGCAACCTTCATCTTAAGTAATGGCACACAGGTCAAACGTCTTCAGTCCACTAAAGGTTGCATCTCTTCCAACAAAAGTTAATATTCTGGATTTAAGGTGATTCAGATGGAGGTCCTGTATTGCATATAGGCTGCTCAGGTCTGATTTTGGTCTGTTTTGGACACATTCTCCCTTTTCAGTCATGGCTACTCATTGCTATTCTGCAATGCCATCCACAGCAGTGGGTGGAGCTTGGTGGAATTTTTTGGAGGTGGTTTTATTTGTTTGTTCATCCATTCAATCATTCCTCCCTTCTTCTACTACCTTCTTATGTTCTAGAAATGCATATAGGTACTTCTGTACTTGGGCATGCAAACCTTTTGTTTTTCTTGGGGGGGGGAATCCCAGGAAACGAGCAAGACTGCAAAAACAATGGATCAAGGATTGTCCCTATTTGAACAGTTTTATTTTATTACTATCAATCTGAACAGTCATCAGTTGAGTGTAGATTGTTTCTTACATTTTGTGTGCTTGAAACGTCACAACACCTTCCTTCCTTTCCTTGTAGTGCCATCATTGCTTTCCCCACCCCACCCTTGGTATGTTATTATATTCCTTTTCATTATATTCATGTAGGGATTTCCCGTCCTACATTTTCCCTATTCATGATTAACTGGGAAAAAATGCAATTAAAGAAATAAATGTTAGAATGATGATGACAACTCATGGCACCATACCTGCACATTCACAGAGTTCTCGTCGGATCCAGTTAATTGCCAGTTAATAGCTTTGGGGTCAGAGGGGTGGACAAGAAGCCACAATGGTCAGAATACTCACACTATTGCAGGGCTTGCTGGTGGTGAAGACTGGCTTGATGCTGGAGCCAAAGCCAGCCACATTCAACAAGGTGCTGGGAGGAAGGCTCTTCACAGCTACCAACAGAGCATCCTGGGCAGAGAGAGAGAGAGAATGAGGTGTCCATCCATATTTACCCTTTGCCCTGCTGCTTTCCCCAGGAAAACACTCTCTTTAACACTGAATCAGAAGAAATGGCAATGGGAGGTCCAGAGGGTGGCAAAATGAGAACACGATTTTTCTGTGGTGGCTCCCCATTTCTGGACTGGTATCCCCATGGAGGCACATCTGGCACCTTCATTACATATTGTTATGTGCCAGGCAAAAACATTCTGCATTTTAGGAGGCAAGATGGAAAGGAGTTTCAATAGGTGCAGAGAGCCTTTCTTTCTTGGCAGCGAAGAGAACACAACACTCAATTCAATGTTCTATTCTTATTTTCCTACAAGTGTAGTTCAAGTTTGCTTGGGACACAGACCAGTCTTGGGGTAGTTAGTGGGAATTTTGCTGGGGAGAGGAAAAACTTGGAGGACCTTGGAGCTGTGTTTGGTTGGAGCAGCACTGTTGGTTAGAGTTGTCTGCCTTGGCATCTTAATTATAGTACTTAACATTTCTGGATTGTTGTGTCTTGAACAGCATCTCCTAATTAACATTCATTATCATCTTTGTGAAAGCTCCATAAGAAAATCGAACAACATTGTACAAAGTATGCAGGTTATATTGAATATATTAGCAGTAGGGAATGCTTTTGTGGGAGAAGTGTTGGAGCTTGTGGGCAAGCTTGCTGTCAATCAGGGCTCAAAATGCACTTTTAATGAGTTTCTATGTGAGTGGTTGGCTGTATGCACTGATGTTAACATTGTCTAATCCACTTTTGGAAGGTTTTTGTGGTGTCCAAAATTTACAGCAAATGTTCATGGCAAACTGGTTTGCAACAGACACACAAAGAAGGGCCTCAGATGGTGATTGCAGGGTCCAGGTTGGTTCATATCCCACACTTTCTTCATCCATAATGCAAAAAGTCTCATCTTTGGGGAAGCAGGTTTGTTGTGCAAGACCTCACAATCAACTATAACTGTGCAACCTGAATTTGCCGGATTGTGACCAAATCCTACCCAAAAACAGTATCAATCTGGAAGCATCCTTAGCAAGAGGACAAGCCTTTCCTTGCTCAGGCTACACTAACAGGAAGGAATAAAATCTGAGTCCTGCGAGGAATTCTGAGCATCTTCCCATTAAAGCTGGGAAAACATACATTGTTAAGGATGCCCCAGAGAGGCATCATAATGTGGGAAGATGCTACTTATCTGCATAATAATCAATATAATATCTCATATAATTTTTGAAAACTTGGCAGATGCTGAAAAAACAATTGTGCATATTCTGCAAATATTCTGGAACTGTTACTCATCAGGTCTGCAAAAATTAGTTTTATTTTACACACACACACAAGGCATCAGGAGCATATACCTTGATGCCCATTCAGTAAATATGTCAGGTTCGGTCCTTGGCATCTTCAGGCAGGGCTGGTGGAAAACCCCTGTCTGAACCCCAGGCAAGCTGCTGTCAGCCCGTATGGACACTGCTGACCTAGTAATAGCACCAATGGCCCGACTTTCTAAAAGACAGCTTCCCATTTCCCAATGCTCTGTTTACCTTGATCCCATCAACGCCAGGGCCACTCATGCTTGTACTCTGGTCAATGAGGAAGAGCATTTCGCGAGTGATGGTCTGGAAATCAGTGGAAACACAGCTGGCCTCAGGGCAGAAATTCAGCATCAGGACAGGATTGTGAAAAATGTCTTTGTGGAACCTCTTCTGGACAAAGGCAACCTAGGAGCAAAGAAAATATGTTGTGGCTTCAACCTTTCCTTCCCGATATCATTGTATATTATCATGCAATGTGGAGGTTGGCACAGTGCAAATGCACTGGCAGGAGCACCAGAATTTCTCCAGCAGTGTGCACGCACTGCACTGACTTCACGGTCGCCTTGCCCCATCCCTTCTCTCTCCCATCCCCTCTACCTTCCAGTAAGCAGCAGCAATGTGACCAACCAGAGTTCAGCTGAGCAGCAGCATCCCTACCACACCATGTGCTTCTTGCTCAGCCATCAGGCCAGAGAATTTACAGTTAGAGGTGACAAAAAGCAAGGTATTAAGGTGCTACTGTCTAGGTCCTAGTCATTTCAATCCAACTTGAGACCATCCTTAGACAACCAAGGAAAAAAATTCTCTTCCTAGATGGTTACCTGTCTCTCCCAATCATCTTTTTTGGCAATACGAGCATAATCACGGCGGCTCCTTATTTGTGCCTCGTAGTCCTGATATGAGATAGCACCATCTTCTATGATGAGGTGTGGATGATGAGGTTCTTAGGGGAGGAAAATGTAAAGCTGCATGAGAGTCAGAATGATCCAGTGCACAGACAGCTGGGCTGTTTGGACCTAGGTTCAAAACCAGGTATGGACTCAAAACTGGTGGCCTCAGGCAACTCCCAGTCTCATTTCCACACCTGTAAAATAGGAATAAGAATAACCTCCTTCTTTATGTAGAGGGTCACCAGGAACAGCCCATCAGGTGGCAACTGACACCACATGGAGCAGGTTAAAGTAGCTTCATTATGATAGATGATTGACATGCACCAATCCTAAAATAAGTATATCTGTGGGTTGCACTTTGAGGGCCCCTTCTGATGCTACACGAGCAGCATGGATATTGCTGCAGGGAGTATCTTCTCTCCAGAGGTCACAGAAATAAGAGAATCAGCTCTTTAAACACTACGCAGGTGGTATCTTACCCCACATAATTTGCTATATAGTTGTCTGAATAATCTGCCTAGCTTCATATTTATACTAATTCTTAAACACATCATCTGGGCTAGTCTGGTTGTTCTTGCTTGAGATTTTGGGTTTAGTCCATAACTACCTAAATAAAAATGTCATGATAAAAATAATATATTAAAAAGTCCACTGTTCCCATAAAGCAGACACACAATAGCAGCTCCTATGCCAGGTTTGGCCAAACTTGGCCCTCCAGCTGTTTTGGGACTACAACTCCCATCATCCTTAGCTAACAGGACCAGTGGTCAGGGATGATGGGAATTGTAATCCCAAAACAGCTGGAGCGCCAAGTTTGGCCATGCCTGTCCTATGCCACCTCAGAAAGGACCCCAAGAGGCATTACAGTAGCTGTGTGTGTGTGCTATAAAATAAAAGTTCAGAAATTAATGTCTCTCAGTCGCAATATATTGTTGGTATCTGGGTACAGAGCTAAAGACCTGGAAGATTAAATGGTTCAGTCCTAAGGCTCCCCAATCGGATATCACCCCTACATTCCCCCCTGCAGTGTGTATTATACATTAGCAGAAGGTTCCATTGCTGTAGTGATTGCAGAACTCCTTGACTTCAAAGTGTTCTCTTACCACAAGGATACAAGATAATCTCCAGGTTCCTGTCACATCTGTGCTTCTCTGCCAAGGTGATGCATATAGTTGAGGCAGAGCTGGCAAAAGGATTAGCATCAGCCCGAAGAGCGTGGGATGGGCTCTCCAATCCTGCAATAACGAGAGGGTTTTATTGCCTGATGTAATGTAATAACCTCTAAAGCAGGGGTGGGGGACATTTGGCCCTCCAGATGTTGCTGAGCGACAACTCCCATCAGCCTCGCAAATGTGGTCAATGGCCAGGGATCATGGGAGTTGTAGTTCATCAGCATCTGCAGGGCCAAAGGTTTCCCACTCCTGCTTGAAGGTGTGTCAGATGGAAATAGCTGCATTTGTTTTACAGCACCAAGCAAGGCCTCATTCCCACGCACTTGTGCTCACTTGAAGACTTGGCATCAAGTGATGACCGACATGTGTGGATGAACGAACTTGTACATCAATTAGATCTCATACATAAACAGAGTAGATTTAAATGGAAACAGCTCACATGTTTGACAGAGAATAATTGATCGCTGAGTAATGGAATGAACACACACACAAATCTGCCCTTGGAGATTAGATAACAGCAATGCAATAGAGGCATTCTTCTTCCATGCCTCTTCAAAGAATAAGAATTGGGTAAGGTGGCTAACACAGTGATTTTTTTAAAAAAAATCTTTAAAATAAAAACTATATGTGGGGGGGGGGGGAACCAAACCTAATCTAACAGCAGCAAAACAGTGACAAAAAACTTCATCCTCCTCCATCTCCAGATATTTATCGAAATAATACTTGTTTAAAAAGAAGTTTCAGTATTCAGCATCTTTACAATCTGTTTTCACTAAGAAGAAATTGCTGGTCCCTATGGCTGCAAAGTCAAAGCACTGAGTTACACTGAGTGTAACTCAGGAGCCAGAAGAGGGCTGTAAGATTTCTAGTGCTGAGGGTGTGCCCTCTGAGTTGCAGAAGAATGAGAAAAAAGCAAGCAAATGTGTAAATCTGCAGAACTGATAAAGGCCCTTTCCTCAGCACAAACTTGTTTGGAATTGTGTGTTTTTAAAAGCCACACAGGAAACACACAGCCCAGGGACTCTCACTCCCGACCTGAAGGTCCCGCCAATTCGCCCTCTCTTATCTACAGCTCTTACAGAATTCAAACCGCTCTTTGGCAAACCGTTCCAAAATGTATAAAGGTTTTAATACTGTGGTCACAACACTAATCCAGCACAGACTTATTTAAAAGAATATACAGTTAGGGCTCACCCACACTTTCTGCTTGTCCCGTGCCTAGAAAGCAAAGGTCTAAGCAGTTTAATGTATGGAAGTGAGAGCTGGACCATAAAGAAGGCTGATCGCCGAAGAATTGATTCTTTTGAATTATGGTGCTGGAGGAGACTCTTGAGAGTCCCATGGACTGCAAGAAGAAGAAGAAGAAGAAGAAGAAGAGTTTGGATTTGATATCCCGCCTTTCACTCCCCTTCAGGAGTCTCAAAGCGGCTAACATTCTCCCTTCCCTTCCTCCCCCACAACAAACACTCTGTGAGGTGAGTGGGGCTGAGAGACTTCAAAGAAGTGTGACTGGCCCAAGGTCACCCAGCAGCTGCATGTAGATCAAACGTATCCATTCTTAAGGAAATCAGCCCTGAGTGCTCACTGGAAGGACAGATCGTGAAGCTGAGGCTCCAATACTTTGCCCACCTCATGAGAAGACTCCCTGGAAAAGACCCTGATGTTGAGAAAGATGGAGGGCACAAAGAGAAGGGGACGACAGAGGACGAGATGGTTGGACAGTGTTCTCGAAGCCACAAACATGAGTCTGACCAAACTGTGGGAGGCAGTGGAAGACAGGAGTGCCTGGCGTGCTCTGGTCCATGGGGTCACGAAGAGTCGGACACGACTAAACAACAACAAGCAGTTTTCTGCTTGACCTGAGCTTTCTAGGCATGGGTCTAAGCAACTTTGCCTTTGACCTGCTGCTTTCCCCCAGAAAACTCACTAATTAGTGGTAGATCGGAACAAATGGCAATCTGCGGGAAAACCTGATTGTCATTTGTTCCGATTCAGCGCTAAAGAACAGATTTCTTGTGAGGTGGGGAAGCAAAAGAAGGTGTGGATAAGCCTTTATATAGCTTACACTAAGGTACATACCTGCCAGCTTATCTGCACTGCTAGATAAATGGAGCTAGATAATTTTTCAGCACACAACTCCCCCCCCCTTTTTTTACCTTTCTGCACAGACCACAATGAAGTCATTCGTCAGCAGCGAAAGACATTTTTACTAGACTGAAGCCCAGCAAGGCCACGAGTGCAGCATTTCTCGGAGGCATGGGACTTGAGCCAACTCCTAATGGGATTAATTCCTTCGTCTGTCTCAAGCATATGCTCCAGGGCTCTCTGAAGTTGCTTCCGTCTCCCTCCCTCCCCCCACGACACACACTTTCACTTGCTTCCTTTCTTCCCACAGCCATCATTTTTTCATGAGAGAAAAAGAGTGTAGACTCAGCACTAAAGCATGCGCAATATAGATGGTTTAAAAACCAGAGACTTTATTCATGTGGTGAAAATCTCTGCTTTGTTAACCACAGTAGCGCATATATTATTTTAGTGATTAACCAATTCCTAAAAGAGGTTCAGGACAAGCATTTATGAAGTGCTCTTCTGACGCCTTTATAACGAAAGATTCCACCTCCTCTTCTGGGGCTGCTTCATAAATCCTTCACGATGCCACTAACCAGACAGCACTTCTGGAATGGCTTCATTCACTGTCACTTCCCCACAGTCCTCCTTAGAGCAAGACATCTTTGAAACCCAAGCATTCAGTCTTCTGAGATCATGAGATCTATCTATCTATATCATCTATCTATCATCTATCATCTATCTATCTATCTATCTATCTATCTATCTATCACCTATCTATCTCTATCTATCTATCTATCTATCTATCTATCTATCTATCTATCTACCTATCTATCTATCTATCATCTATCTATCTCTGTCTATCCATCTATCTGGAGCAAAAGCAAAAGTGAATCACCTGCATTTCCCATAGTCCTGGATAATGGAAGGAATGAAAGGGCATTGCAGCCATTGCACTTACTTCTGGATCAAGAGCGGACTGTAGAGTGGGCAGAAGGAATCTGCTCCCTGTCACTGCTGGCATTTTGGTTTCTATCAGATTCTCACTTTTCCAATCTTAGGTTCAGTTCTCCACATTTCTGCATGTGTTTGTGATATATATATATATATATATATATATATATATATATTTAAGTCCCCCATGTGGTTTACTTGGGGCTTTCCTTGGCTTGATCTGGAAGCTGCAGTTAGTGCAGAATGAGACCCTGGCATCATAGAACACCTGTGCTCACAGCTCTGCACTGGTTGTCAATCAGCTACCAGGCAAAGTTCAGAGTGTTGTTGCTGGCATCTATCTGTCTCGAGGGACAATAGAGAGCGCCTCCCGGGGTGAAGTCAAACCGCTGCGTTAGTGGCACCAAAGAGACCTCCCTGGGGTGCAAGCCTCGGCAGTGTGTATGGAGGACCTGGGCTGCCCAGAGGACAAGACCCCCGTCTCACTGATTGGATCCAAAGGAAAGAAGAGCAATATGTTTGGCAGCAGCTTGGCTGCAGGAGTTGTTGTAAGGAGGTGTCCAACCATCTTAGGGACTCCACTCTGGATTTGTGTAGGGTTTACTCCTTAGCCCTTTCTTCTCCCAAAGATATCCCACAAGGCAGTGGAGGTTTAGAATCAGAGTTTTCCTTCTCTTAGATGGGCTACCTTCCCAGGTTGATGAGCTCCATCTGCCCCTTTAATGTGTTACTGTTAGAATATAAAGCCCTTAACAGCTAAGGACCAGTTTACATGTGAGATTGCCTTAACCCACATGTGCCCACTTGAGCACTTTGATTGGTAGAACTGGCACTGCTACAGGTGCCACAAAATATTCATTCCGCATTTGTTTAGTGTGGCAGCACATACACTTCGGAACTCCCTGCCTATTGAGATCCAGCAGGCACTTTCAGCGTACTCTTTTTAGCGTCTGCTAAAAACATTCTTGTTTAGACAATCCTATCAATGCTTAGAAAGTTGATGTGAATTTTAAACTGTTTTAGTGTTTTAACTTTTTGTCTGTTTTAAAGTATTGCATTTTTTCTTGATTTTCTTGTTTTATCTTTTTGTAAACCATTTTGGGGGTTTTGTTTTGTTTTCACAATCAAGTAGCGTATGAATTAAATAAAGAAATAAGCCTATCTAGATACGTAGAGTGTTAATATGTGTTTTAATCTGGTTTTAAACTTATCAATTTAAATTATTCTTTGAATGTTTTAAATAGTTGTTTCTAACTGTTTTTGCTGATAATTTCAATTTCATTGTTTTATTCTTTTTGTAAACCACTTTGGATTTTGGTGTTTTTTTAAAAAAAACAACAACACACAACAACAACCAAGTCATAGAGAATTCTCAAAAAATGTAGTTACGGGCTTTGGGAACTATAGCTCTGTGAAGTCAGCACCATGAACAAACTACAGTCCCCATGATTTTTTGGGAGAAGCTGTGACTGTTAAAATTGTATGCTTTAAATGCAATGGTGTGCATGCGACCGCAAATGCAAGACACACTGAAATTGGATACTAAATCATACCTGCCAGCAAACAGGGTCCTTTAACAAGCATCTCAAAGCTGAACTCGTAGGGAAAGGCATTGTAAACCTCACCCCTGAAGATGTCTGCATCCTGGGGAGGCACAAGGAAAGACTGCTCACTCTTCAGAGTAGTGGATCCAAAACAACTGGCAGAGCTGATGAAGAAGGAGGAAGAGAGAGAAAAGTCACAAACTAGAGCTGTCTGGCATGCATCAGGGCAGCACGGCAGTTGACTTTATTGTGGGAGTTCTTGGGCAAGGTATACATTTGCTAATCACCACAACACAGCCCAAGACCTGCAAAGAGGCCTCCTGCGGGCAGGGAAATGCAACTACAGCCTAAAGTGAATTTGGAATACAACTTATTTATTTTTAAAGACAATCTGCCCAGGAGATTTTAAAATCACATAGCTCCATATAGACATTTTCCAAAAGAGACAGACAGATGCGGGAAAAAAGACACTTTGTTTTCTGCAGGAGAAAGTCCACGGCTGGACCTCTGTTCCAACACATGGGGGCATATTTACAAGAGCAACTAATCAGAATCAGGGAAGTTTTTGGAAACTTTCACCTCAGTGGGAGGGGCCTATTTTTGGCAGCTATGTTTATATAGGTTGAGGTGTGAATTTGGTGTGCTGCTATCATAGCTTAGTTGGATCTGTGCAGATGAGGTGAAAACAATATATATATATATATATATATATATATATATATATATACATGGGAAGCACAGTAGTTTTACCATATTCTTGTGGGAAATTGCAGTCAAATACAGCTAGCAAGCATAGGGCTAGTTGGTGTATGAGGAGGTTAAGATAATAAAGCTGTGTTTCCTAGACTCAGTTAAGTCACACCCCCTCTTCTCTGATGAGGGAGGAAGTGAAGCCTTCTTTTCCTGTTCCTTCTCTCTCCTCGCCATGTAACTGATCAAAGAAGAAGCGTCTTAAGCTTTGCTTCAAGCTTAGATGTTTGAAGCTATCTCTCTCTATTTTTTTTCTTTGAATCTGTAAGTAAAGCATTTTGAACTTCCTTAGGAGTGTGTGGCCTGTTCCTTGCAAGAGGAGTAGAAAGAAGGAAGCGCTTTGCAAGTGGACTAAATGGGATATGCAAAAGGTTTAGGAGCCTACATTCCTAACACTTTACTGTGCTGCTTAATGTTTGTGACTTTAAATGCTCCTACTGGGGGCTCTCTCCTGCTGGAGAGTGAGTTTAGCCCTGCATTTTGAATCCAGGCAACCAACTGATTCTTTTGTTCTTTACCCGACACACACATGGGTCACAGGGAGTCATATTTTTCCTCCCACAATGCTGAACTCTGCACAGTTGCAACCAAGCTATGTTTTCAACACATCAGTTTGTAAAGGGGTTCTGAGAGAAGACTGCTAGACTTGAACACTAGCCTGTACATTTAAATTTCCATTCTCCCACTGTGGCAAAAGGTCATAAGTTGCTATTCTAAAACCATCAATCCAGCCTTTGTGCAATGCTCCACTGAAGGACACAAGAGGGACCTCAACAAAATATTGCACAGTGGAGTGCCCTCCTGTACCATACTCCATTCTATTCCACCTCCCATCCAGTTTGCATTTTTTGATCCAATGTTAGTTAGTATTCTGGGCCCACAAAACATTCTCAGTCCTTCCTTGGCTGTTTTAGGGATCCCTCCTTTCCACTTGGGTTTCCTCTGGGCATGCTGATGATTCCCTCTTATGAGTGAGTGGTGTCATTTTGGTTCAATAAGCAAAGGCACTCATAACCTTAACCTTGGATATAAAAGGGATGCTGCTGCTGCTGCTGAGTCATGTGACTCCCAGCCAGTTTCTAATTGGCACAGGCTCCCATTATCAATTATTTGTGCCACACTCCCATTTGCTAGAGAACCCATATGAGTCAGCAGGAAAGCTCTGATTCCTGCGACCTGCACTTGCCAGCTGTCAGTGGTCCCTATAACCTCCTCCAGTCCCTACCCTTTGCATAGCATAGACTCTGAGAAAGCCATGAAAATCACCATAGGGCCAACCTGTCGTCGCATAAGCCTCTCGCCTCACTTTCACTTTCGGGGATGGATACAACGAAGGGCGTGAGCACAGAGGGGAAGAGGACACGTAGGGCGCCGTTTGCCAGGGTTGCCAGTTCCCGACTGCTGCTGAAGACTACAGTCAAGGTTTCCGAAGGCCCAACGGGGCCTGTGCTGATGATGAACGTGGAACATGCTAAGTCTTCGTCAAGGATCAAGTGACCTGGGCAGAAGGCAGAGAGGAGGTAGCTAGGATGGTGCCTCCTACACACTCATGCGGGAAGCTAATGCCTTTACTTTATCACTGTCTTGGAGCCACACTTCTCACTGAGTTACCCATACAGCAAGGTGAAGACTGGAGTCATTGCACAGCCCTCCTTTCCTGTTCTGATTTGAAAGTTACCATTGGAATGGCAGCACCTCAGTGCGGGTGGGGGAGCCCCAAATACCCTTAATGATTATCTCACTTAAGTTTCTTGGCACTGTATCGATTGGCAAACTGTGAGAACGGTTAGGTCAAAAGCCACAGATTTACCTGTGGCTACCTAGTTCTCTTCATGGAAAACTCAACCCATCCACTGTTGCACACATCAGCCGAGGCATCCCCTTGGGATTTAATTTAATGAACAGCTCAACAGTGGGAAATTTACTGAGCGGCTTCATACGCATTATTTGTTTGACTTATAGAAAAACACCCTGTTGGGTAGTCCAGTATTATTATTCCGTATAGTACAGAAGGAGTGATGACCAATAGTACAGAAGGCTTGACCGAAACCAACTAGTGCTAGATCGTGGTTACTAGATGTGTTCACAGCAGAGCTGAGATTTGGGGCATGACTCATAGCTCATGCCTTTAAGCAGCTTTCTAATGGATCATTGTAGCCTGCCTTGAGTTCTAGCCTAGGAATAGTGCTCTTGGGATGGAAAGCTGAACTATTTATTGCATGAAAGCAGAAGACAAATCACCTTTGACTAACTCTTCCATAACCCCCAAAATGTGAAACTGTCCTGAATTGATGTCTTTGCTTCAAGTCCCACCTTGCTATTCATTTCAGCAGTGCCAGAGGCAGAGCACTGCAAGGAGATGTTACCACAACCAACCATTGGTGCAGCAGAGTGGCTGGTTCCAGCTTGCATTACAGTCAATGCAGCAGTCCTCCACACTGGGCCGGTTCTGGATCTGGAACGTGGAGGTTCTGTTTCCTGTTATAGCTTCAAAGCTTGAGACCACCTCTGACTCCTCCAGGGGATAAATGAAGACTCCTGTGCATAGAAAGCCAGATTGTCCATTGGTAATCAGTCCACCCCTTGCAACCAAACAAATCTCTCTCTCTCTCTCTCTCTCTTTCTCTCTCTCACACACACACACACACACATGCACAACCCCCCATCCCTCTTCACCTGAACCGTGCAGATCAGCAGAGGAGTGAGGGGTGGTATTTTCTTCCCATCACAGCACTGGGCAAGGTGGAAGCTCTCCAATCTACCCAGTGCTTCAACAGAGAAGAAAATTGTCCTCTCTGCTCTTCAGATATTTATAGGACTTACACCTATACCATATGTAACATCTCTGTCAATGGGGAATCATGCATCTGAAGCAGCAGAAAGAGCCAAGAGTCATCTACATTCCTGATAGATCTAGAACAGCATCTACCACCTGTGCAGTTATAACCTACCACTGTAGCTGCAAAAAGCTCTTACCCTCTATAGGCTCTTCCTCCAAGTTGATGTAAGTAAGGTGGGCAGTGACTCCCAGGGAATACCCATTGGCACAGGCTTTCACACAAGAGCTTTTTAGAGGGAGGGCTGTCCAGGCTGGCCGGCAGTACAAGCCTGGCATGATCTTCAGGTGAAACTAAAAAGCCCCACCGACTGCAGCTATGAAGATAAGAAAAGACAAGGACATGCCAATAGAGAAGGCCCTGCACTGGCTCTGCTCCAAAAGCCTCCAGAGATGAAGTTCTCTAGCAGCAGCAGCTCACAGGAGAAGTCATCCACGCTCGCTGGTTCTTCCTGACTAGGGGCCTCCACCCTGGATCCTCACCCATCCTTGAGAACCCAGGGAAATACCACTGTCCTCTGACACTGAGGTTCTCTTGTGGATCAAGAATTGGTTAAGTAGAAGGAAGCAGAGAGTATAAATGAACGGACAATTCTATGGAGAGATGTAGAAAGTGGAGTCCCCCAAGGACTGGTATTGAGACCTGTGTTTTTTTCACTTATTCATAAATGCTCTAGAGTTAGGAGTGAGCAGTCAGGTGGCCAAGTTTGTTAATTAAAATTGCTCATGGTCATTAAAATAAAAGGTGAAGAGCTCCAAAAGGGCCTCTCCAAACTGAGAGTGGGCAGGAAAATGGCAAATGCAATTCAATGTAAACAGGTGTAAACTGATGCATAGAGGGGCAAAAAAAATCTTATTTTCACTCATGGGGTTTGAACTGGTGGTGACTGACTAGGAATGAGACCTTGGGGTCATAGTGGATAGTCCAATGATAATGTTGCCCTAGGGCTCATTCAGACTTCCTTTGTGCCATGTTTTTAGGCACAGGTCTATGCTTTAAAGCTGGGTGTCCGATTATATCTATATCTATATCTATATCTATATCTATATCCCCTCAGCACTTTCCTGCTCAAGTCTACTCTTTACTGCTGAATTGGAGCAAATGGGACTCTGCAGAAAACCCAAAATGCAGTTTATTCTGATGCAGCATTAAAGAGTGGGTTTTCCTGGGGGAAGTAGTGGGGGGGTGGAGAGCTTGAAAGTGCTGACATTCACCTTGAAAGTGTAGGGCAAAAGGTAAGTGTGGATGAGACCCTAGTGTGCAGCAGCAGCTGAGAAAAAGGCAAATTCCATGGAAAGGAACTGAAAAAACCTGTGAATAACATTGTGCTGTTACACAAACCAATGGTACAACTACACTTGGAACAACGTGTGAACTCTTGTGGATAAAATTTAAGGTTGTGTATGCACTACACCTTCAAAGCACATTCGAAGCACATCCCCCCCCTCAAATAAAAGAATTTATACAAAGGAAAAACCTCCCCTTGAAGCAGTTTTACAAAAGGAAACAAGACTCATAAGACGGGTGACGTATTAGCCTGTAAGTCATTGCATAAATCTATGCTCAAAAACAGTTGCAAGGAAAACATGGGCAAAGATTATACACCTATGATCAGAACTAGGCAGTCTTGCATGATATAAGCTGTGTAAACACCACACATTTAAAGTACATGACCTCCACCAAAGTATCCTTGGAACTGAAGTTCACCACACATGGACATGCAATTCCTGGCAATCTTAAGAAACTACTCTTCCCAGGAGTCTTTCAGAGGACTCATGTGCTTTAAATGTATGGTGTGTACACAGCCTTTGAAAGCTGCCCGTTGCTTGGAGTTTTCCACTTTCCCCTACTTCATGATCTCTCAAATTTATTGTTGTTAATAATTAATGCCCTGGCAAATATTGCAAGTATCTTTTAACATCCCAGCTACTCTCTACTCTTTTCCCTTCCACATGTGTGAATTGGTCACCCAGGTAACCTCCGTAGGTGGAGTATGGGATGGGGCGAACAGATGCTGCCCTCTCTCATTGGTCCGTTGGAAAGTCTGGGCCCCACTGAGGGCTCAAGCAAACTGGAAGATGATCCGTATTCTGAAAATAAACCTTTGTTTCCAGGTGACCTTGTAGATGCAGCACTGGCTACACTGGAGAGGTTCTGGCCAGCTGCTGCTCATGAAAAAGATGGCATGGAAAAACAAACAGAGGTGCTATGCAAAGCAGCTAATCAACCCTGAACATGTGTCGATTCAGTGCTTGCATTTCTCTTTGCAACGTAAGCAGTGACCTGTTGAAACAGATGGGGGTGGAAGGGAGTTGCTGGTTTCTTAAAGCTGCTGTTATGGTTAGAGTGGTTAGCTGCTGTACTCTCCAGAACAGCAACAATCAAAACAGTAATAAGACAGGAGATTGACGACAGGGTGCGTATTTCCCCAAACCCTGAGAACTGCCACTGACCACTAGGTTTTGGCTGAGCCTACTCATTCTCAGAGCTCACCACCAGCTACATCAAACCATTTGAATCCGCAGGAAGCCATGGAATATGGATCATGACTCAAAGCCTCTCCTTGCCTACTCAAGACCTTATGGTTTCATGCGCAATGCATGTGTTATTTCTGTCTGCCATGACACTGATTGGCTGCAGCTTCATGTTTACCAATGACTTCTCACTGCCTGCTTTTTTCTTCTTTTAAATCATCAGTAACCTTTATATTTATCTTACCAAAGTAAACAAGACCCATCTGGTCTTTATGTTTTATGCAGGTAGCTGTGAGGCAGTCTGTAATGAATAAACACAGATCCACAGGTTAGCACCCTGTGATCCCCCCCCCCATCCTTTCTTAGTTTCTGGGAATGCAGCAGCCTACAATCTTATTAATATTATAAGAACAAACAACCCTGGATTTCTGCTACTTTCTCCCTAGCAAAAGATCCTCTTCCCATTGTATCCAGGGGTGGTGGCTGTGTGTGTTCATGTGTGTGTGTACATGTGAACAGGGTAGAAAATAAGTGTCCCATTCTTAAAAACTGACACCTTCTCCAATTGTGTGTACAGTGTCTCTCAAAAACAACAACAAACTAGCCTATGGTCACGTAAAGCATACTCAATAAACACACAAGACATAACTGGCTGTGTTCTTAGATAAATAAGGTATACTATTCATGTATCAAATCATAAATTTCAATATAAAGTTCCACAAACTAACAAAGCAGAAGACCCAGTGGATCAGATCATTCTCTAATCAGTTCATGCATAAGGTCCATGCATGTAAGTGTCTATTCCACCTGTCTGTTCATAAGGTCCAAAAAATCCACATGAAAGGTTGTTGCAGTTCCACAGAATCCTTTCATAGTAGTAGCAGCTACTACTATGCCATAAGAGCCACTGTCCTGTAATATCACATATGAACTTTAACTACTGATGATGGCGAAACAAGGCCAATATTCTGGAAATCCTTGTCTTAGACTCTGTGAAAGGATTCTGTGGAACAGCAACAACCTTTCATGTGGATTGTTTAGACCTTATGAACAGACAGGTGGAATAGACACTATTACACAGATGGACCTTATGCATGAACTGATTAGAGAATGATCTGATCCACTGGGTCTTCTGCTTTGTTCGTTTGTTGAACTTTATGAGTTACTTCGGTTGAAATTTATGATTTGATACATGAACAGTATACCTTATTTATCTAAGAACACAGCCGGTTACGTCTCGTGTGTTTATTGATTATACAGCGGTACCTTGGGTTACATACGCTTCAGGTTACATACACTTCAGGTTACAGACTCCGCTAACCCAGAAATAGTACCTCGAGTTAAGAACTTTGCTTCAGGATGAGAACAGAAATCGCGCGGCAGTGGTGTGGCGGCAGTGGGAGGCCCCATTACCTAAAGTGGTGCTTCAGGTTAAGAACAGTTTCAGGTTAAGAACGGACCTCCTGAAAGAATTAAGTACTTAACCCGAGGTACCACTGTACAGTGTCTCTCAAGCATTTCAGGCAGGGCACAATTCCCAACATTGCTTGGGGATCCTTGGAATTGAATCCAGGATCTTTTGTATGAGTTTGCCACAACGGAATAGCATGGCTGTAGCAATATAGAAGAATTGCTGCAACTAAACTAAGGACTTTTCTGCACCTAGCTTCCTCTGCTCTTTCTAGGCTCTGTCTGCACTTTAAAGCTCCATGTCAGACTACCTCCCCTCCCCCCTTTTTTCTCTCTGGAGCTATCCCTGTGAAAACCTGCTCTCTTAAGTTTTATTGGAGCAAATGGTAATATGTGGAAAACCGAAATTACTGTTTACACTGATTCAGCATTAAAGAGCAGTTTTTTGTAGGGAAAGATCCAGAGTAGAGCAAAAGGTAAGTGTGGATAAGCCCTGTGTTGGGAACATAATCACCTGTACAGTTCTCTTTAAAATCTTTGGTCTTTTTAATGACTCTTTTTTGTCTGTATGCAGTAGCTAAAAGAGATCCATAGCAAAGGTTTTTGACAGTAAATCTGTTATTTAAACAATAGTTCCCCCTCATCTTTGAGATATTCTGTAGAGGCGTTACACCAGGTACCTTCATTCGAAAAGATCTAGCAGTGCCCAGAACAGGACTTTGTTGTAGTGGCCCCACAGCCTGCCATACACAGACATCATGATTGTTTAGTGGAGCCTTATCCAAGAGTGACACTGGCTCTTTCATATCATCTACTGCTTCTGCTATTTGTTTTCATACATTTCTGAATCATTTTATAGTGCACTGACACATATGTTAGGTAAGAAACCTGGCTGTATTTGTGAACAAATAATAGTAATATAATAAGAATAAGAATTTATTATTTATACCCCACCCATCTGGCTGGGTTTCCCCGGCCACTCTGGGTGGCTTCCAACAAAGTATTAAAATACAGTGGTACCTTGGGTTACATACGCTTCAGGTTACAGACTCCGCTAACCCAGAAATAATACCTCAGGTTAAGAACTTTGCTTCAGGATGAGAACAGAAATTGTGCTCCGGCGCCATGGCAGCAGCAGGAGGCCCCATTAGCTAAAGTGGTGCTTCAGGTTAAAAACAGTTTCAGGTTAAGAATGGACCTCCGGAACGAATTAGGTACCTAACCAGAGGTACCACTGTACAGTGGTCTGTTAAACATTAAAGGCTTCCCTAAAAAGGAAGTGGTGGGGAACCTGTGGCCCTATAGATGTCAACTCCCATCAGCCCCAGCTAACATGACCAATGATCAAAGATGACTTTTGGGGTGTATTGTTTAGGGGGGTTTGTTGAGGAGGGGTTGTTGCTGTTATTGATATTAGTTTGTTGTATCTTTATTTTAGATCATCTTTAGATTTATGTGGAAATTGTTCAGTTTGGTTGTATACCTTTTGATGTTTTACTTATTGTTTATGACTGCCTTTGTTGTGGTTGTAATTAATTTTCATGCTGTAAGCCGCCTTGAGCTTCTAACTTTGGAAAGGAGGCCTACAAATAAAATGATTTATTGATGATGGGAATTGTAGTCCAGCAAATGCCACAGGTTCTCCATCCCTGCTCCAAGGAGCTGATCACAGCATGCATAGGATACCAGGCAGCTTCCCATCTACTGCTAACCAGATCTACTTCTGCTTAGCTGCAGAAGCCTAACACACAGAATCATGGAGTTCAAAGGGACCATGACATGCTCAGACCATTCTCTTTGCTGCAAATGTTTAAACTTTCATAAACCACCACCTACCCAAGACAAGACAAAAGCAGAAGCATGGACAGTAGAGGTTAGTACCTGCAGGCAAACCTGGAGAAGTTGTGAAAAGCTCACAGAGATGTGACAAACATTCTCACCCAACTTCCTGGTAGCTGAAAGCTGGAGCAGAGTCAGAAATAATGAGCCAACAGAGCAAACTGAATGGAGTTGTATTTTCAGAACTGGAATATAAGGACATTATTCTAAATAGGATTATCTGAGATACTTCACTAGCTGTCCGGAGACTGCCCTTATTACACTAAGCTACCCCCCTCTCATGTCACACCCCTTCCCACAACTTCTGAGGTTATGCCAACTGAATTATTACACGCACTCTTGAGATCCTCTCTCCGGTCCAGGACAAGAGGTCTAAAATGGGAAAACAGATTACTGGTGCAAATGACATAAATAATTATAATAGGTATTAAGATGAAGCCTCCTGCTGGGGTTCACTGCCTACAATAGTCTTAGTCTTGCCATGCAGACAAGAAATTTAAATTTTGATCTAGAACCCACAAACCTAATGAAATGCCCAAACTCACTCTGGGCTGTGATGCTATGAGAAAGCTGGTTAATATCTTATAAACTGCTGTTCTGTGACAAATTTTTCATTGATTAAAATGTTTTTACTGTATGCTACTGTTTTGGTCAATTGTATTTTATACTTTTACCGTTTTGTTTTTATGGCAAACCATCCAGAGCGGGCTTCTTTGTCTTGAAAAGAAATATATTAAATAAAATAGACAAAAGTTCAGAGAATGAAATAAAGGAGAGACTCCTTTCACTCACCTTCTTGGAGCAATTTGATAGACGCTCACCTTTACTAAGACTACAATGTATTTGATCACATGAAAAATTCAGCCTAATATATCAGTTGTCCCCAAAACTGGGAAAACCCCTATAGTCAAGTGAAACCTCCAATCCAATAGCTTGTGGGGGGGGGGTGAGACCTCCAGCACTCCTTACCCCTACTTCTTTTCAAAAACAGTGGAGCAGAATTAAAACTAAACCAGTCCTGTTTGCCCCCAGGTGAATACTTTTAACAACAGAGGGTTGGGAACATTTGCTAATATACCATGATGAGTTACAGTAAATAATTAATATGATACATGTTCAATACATAAGTGCAGGTCTGTTAGTGATGCAGCAGGAGCAGGAGTCAAGACAGCTGAAAGGTTTGGTGTGCCATGTTCTGTTTGCTCCCTTTCACATTCACAAAATGTGGGTCACATACCTGCAATATGGGTTTCTCGGTCATCAAGACAAATAAGCAAGATCTGCTTTATAACAAAGCAAAAGATTTTGTCCATTTGTTCATTTAAGAGAAAATATGGGAAACAGTAGCAGGCTAAAGTTATTCCTTGCTCAGGGATTGGCTGGGCACATCTTATACTCAAGGGGTGCCTGCCCCCCCCTAAAGAGCCAGGGTCCCATACAGTCACTGCCTCCAATGCTACTCGGCCTCACCCAATCTCCCACTCTTTTCTTGCCCTATAAAGTTACCCAACACACAACTGAGCATTAAGGGCTTACCTGGAGAATGACACACCGTCTGCTGTTTTAACCAGCTTGGTTTGGGATGAATTAATATGGATGAAAAATCAGCACATTTCTGGATGGGATCCTGGCATCCAGAGTTACCAGAAGCCTAGTTTCTCCAACCTCTCAGTCTCTGTCTTCTCCCTTTCGAGAGGGAAACTGTCAGATTCCCTGTGCGGTTGCTCACTCACACATACACACTCCCTCTCTGCTGCAGACTCTCTCTAGTACTGGCTGCCTCAATGCCGTAGTGGCTACATCTCTACTTCCTCAGTGCCAGCCAGATGCAAGGAAACGAAGCAGCTCCAAGCCTGGCCTAATTAAAGGGCCAGGCTGTCTGCACTGCTCTGACAGCACTGAGGAGAGAAAACAGCCAGTTCTGCAAGCATTGTCTTTGCCTTGTTCTCTGGATTATAAAGTCTGCCTGTCAGAGGTAATGAACGGATAGGAAAGAGGGGCAACTTTATTAGAGAAAGGACACTAGGTATAGTCTATAATCATCTATATCAGGGGTCAGCAACCTTTTCCAGCCGTGGGCCGGTCCACCATCCCTCAGACCATGGGCTGGACTATATTTTGAAAATAAAAATAAAAAATGAACGAATTCCTATGCCCCACAAATAACCCAGAGATGCATTTTAAACAAAAGGACACATTCTACTCATGTAAAAACACGCTGATTCCTGGACTGTATGTGGGCCGGACTGAGAAGGCGATTGGGCCGCATCCAGCCCCCGGGCCTTAGGTTGCCTACTCCTGATCTATATCTATATCTATTTCTCATTTTGGACAAAGTAACTCCATCTCTTGCACCAAAGAGGCACAAATCCTGCTATGGGATACATTGTTTACCATTACTAGAAGAATATGATTTTAACAGAATATTTTCACAAGGATTAGAGTAGTGGAAGACAGAGAAGGAGGTGGTATCTGCTGTGGCACACTGGGATAATGACTTGTTTCAGTGCTTTCAACACACACTTTCAGACGTTTGTCCAAAACCATGAGGCCTAGAAATGTCATGAAAAGTTTCAAATTCCCAAAAGCTATAATTCCCAAGCAAGCCCACAGATTCTTTACTGAGTGTAGCACACAAACAATTCTGGGGTGCACCCTGGATGTGCCCAGTTATAATAGAGAATACTGGGTTAGATGGACAGAAAGGCTGGCCTGGGTCATGAGAGACCCACTGTGGAGAGATCTTTTACATCACCTCAAACAATGTTTTTCAGTGGAAACAGTTTACACACTCGGGACCAAACCAGACATGATGGGTTATCATTAACGCACCCCCCCATACCCCATATAAATGTAAAGGTAAAGGTACCCCTGCCTGTATGGGCCAGTCGTGACAGACTCTGGGGTTGCATGCTCATCTCGCTTAAGAGGCCGGGAGCCAGCGCTGTCCGCAGACACTTCTGGGTCACGTGGCCAGCGTGACGAAGCTGCTCTGGCGAGCCAGCACCAGCGCAGGGCACGGAAACACCGTTTACCTTCCCGCTATAAAGTGGTACCTATTTATCTACTTGCACTTAGGGGTGCTTTTGAACTGCTAGGTGGGCAGGAGCTGGGACCGAACGACGGGAGCTCACCCCACCGCGGGGATTCGAACCGCCGACCATATGATCGGCAAGTCCTAGGCACTGAGGTTTTACCCACAGCGCCACCCGCGTCCCTATACCCCATATAACGCACCCCATATATTTGTTGGCATTCATCTGTCTCTGGAGACAATGGAAGAGCGTGCCATCAGGGATAAAGTCAAACTGTTGGAGACTTACAGCGCCTGCTGTGGCGGTATAGACCAATACAATAGAGATATATTTTATTGTAGGTGGGGCAGATGAAGGGGTCCGATTTTCCTGCTACAGGTGCACCATGGCATTTCTTCTCTGTATTCCTTTTGGCAGTCATGCCTCCTATGGTCCATGCTGAAGATACACAAACTGACTGTCTGTCTCCAGGAACTGTGATTGTCTGCCAGGGATTCCCATATGGCGGGGTTAATGTTGCCAGCCTTCATGTCATGCTTGTAGACATATTTGTAACACAGAGTTGGTCTGCCAACAGGTCTTGTCCTGAAGCCAGTACCCGCTGAGCACGTCTTGGGGGATCCTGCCATCTTCTATTCTGTGTACATGACCAAGTCGATTAAACACGAATCCTCACCCCAACCAGTACCTCACCTTCAATACTCCAGGCACTTTTCTCACTTCTTGGCTCCAGTATTGGGAACTGTGGAAAGTGTCTAAAACAACAGACTGATGGGAAGTAATGCATGGGAATGGGTAAAAGTCCAGCACACTATTCTACACACTCCTGTTATTGTTAAAGTAAGGCATACCACAACTTCCTCATTTATATGCGAAGAGGGCAGGCACATTAAAAGAAACCCATGGCAGCCACCATGTTCCATTTGACTCTCAGCTGCCTGCAATCAAGTGTAAATAAATCATGTGAATACATATGCCTGTGTGAACCACAGTATTGCTGCATGGATACTTTGAGGTTGATGTAATAAACATGGTTTGATAGAGTACACATGGAAAGATTTCACTCTTTTGATTTATTCAGTCTTACTACTAACCCATTGATCATGTAATGCAACAGAAGCATTTCTATTTTCCCCTTTCAGTAACTGGAAGGGCTTTATTTATTACATTTCTATACCACCTCTTTATGAAAGTCATGAGGCAGTGCATATCCTAAAAGACACAGTAATATGCAAAATAAATATTATTTAATATTAAATAAATATTATTAAATATTAACTAATATAATGTTGCATGTTGAATAATATGCAGAATAAATATTATTAAATATTAAAAACAGCAATGTGCAGCTGCAACAGGCTAGAAAAATAAGAAATAAAACTGGAATTACACTGGAATTACTGAGGCTGCAATCTTATCCACAGTGACTTTGGGGTATACATCACTGAACATTAGCTGCACCTCCCCTTTCTCCACACCCATCATGATGTTTCATCTTTAATTTACTTAGTTTCAGCCTGAGAGTTTTAGTCCATGGTATCAAAATCTAAAAACTGCTTCAAGGATATGTTTCAACTGTTGTTGTTTTTTAAGGTATTATTCTTGCACTCTTCAATTTTCTTAAACTAAGAGATTTTCCTAACTGGATATAATTTACTGCTCAGCAGAACTGCCCTGCTTGAACTGAAGCAAAGTTAGTCCAAATGACCCAAACTGAGTCCTGTTTTAGTTTCCTTCAGCCTTCCACAAGTCCCTCCAAAAGGAAGTAGGAACAAACCACTTGCAGGCTGGACAGTTCCTTTGTGAATCATATTAACTGTTATTTTTTCCTCTCTGAGCAAGCTCTAAATTCTTTATTCTTATCTTGTCCATTTGCCTGTTCTGAGATCCCAGCCTTCTTCCTGTTTGCCTATCCTGACTCCTTGGTACCGTGTCAGCTGTTATCTGCCAGGAGAAAGTCCTAGTGCTGACTCTGAAAAGACTTGTCCAGCATATTTTTAAGCATATTTAGTCAGAGGTATTTCCCAATGGGATTTATTCCCTAGTAACTGTGTTTAGGATTGCATCCTTTAACTATATGTTTACATTCCAGCTTTGTCCTGGTTTTCCCCATAGGATTCAGATTTGGCTTATAATGGCCCTGGTGACTGCCACCTGGTACTCTATACCAAAGGAGAACAAAGAAAGAAAATTCCATTGAAGGATCTACCCTTAGTAAATCCTGGTCAGGAATGAAGAAGGAAACAACTATTATTTAGTATCTGGAACATTTATTATTTGGATACCTAGAAATGTAGTCAATGCCATCACATGCACTTAAGGGGCGGGGAATAAATAATTAACACCAAAATCTTTTTGATTTGAATTGCACAAAGGTGAACTATTCAGAAAGGTGTGGCTGGAACCTTTGCAATTTTTTGCTTGATGAAGTAAAAGGCTGTTATTTCAGGATAACACACTTGCAATATCAACTTATACATTTTTGTTCAGAGCCTGTCATTGTTAGAGAATAGGGAGCAATTTCTGAACAATTTAAGCAGCTATTACTGTAACTACATAATGGTGGTGTTTTATAACTATATAATTACTGGAAAATATAAATATCTTTCTTGATGGGTACAGTATAATATGTTTCACAATATTTATGTTGTAAAATTCACTGATATAACTAGAATTTACTTGGAGCTATAGCAGGAAAAAGAATAACCTGCGGAAGTCAACCCCCATTCCAATTCAACTGATAATTTATTCTGATAAAAGTGAAAGTCCTGTATAGTGGTACCTTGGGATAAGTACTTAATTCGTTCCAGAGGTCTGTTCTTAACCTGAAACTGTTCTTAAGCTGAAGCACCACTTTAGCTAATGGGGCCTCCTGCTGCCGCTGTGCCGCCGGAACACAATTTCTGTTCTCATCCTGAAGCAAAGTTCGTGACCCGAGGTACTATTTCTGGGTTAGCGGAGTCTGTAACCTGAAGCATATGTAACCCGAGGTACCACTGTATTTACCCTACAATGTATTCCTGGGCAGCTCCCTGTGTGACTTTTGAAAAATGTTGTACCCTCTCATCAATTACACCTACCAAAGGATCCCCTTTTTATTTTATGGAGGCATGATGGGAAATGGCTTGCACTTTCCCCTTACACAAAGTGAAGCACAAGGCCCCTTTACATCAAAGTGCAGGGATTGATTCCAGAGAACTGGTGTAGCAACACTAAAAGTTTCTCGTACAGGCTAAGCATACCTCAGGGACATATAACCACAGCTGCTAGCAGTGAAGAAGTATCAGAGATTGCTTACTCATGAAAAGACATCTTCCTCATGAGTAGGCTTCTGACTCTAGGCCTGTAGATACACACTGTGCCATTGTTCTTCTGCTGGCACCAGCACTCTCAAGAACCTCCTCTGACACGCCCAGAGGTTCTTCCTCAGGTATCAACCCAGAAGTCCTATCAAGGGGATCTTCAGCACTGGACTCAGGGTGCCCTGCCTGGTCCTTCAGATGTGGGGTGTCCTGTTCCTCCTCTGAGGATTCGTTGTCTGGCACCAGATCAGGACTAGGCACACCACCACCTTGCCCAACCTGGCCCTCTGCTGCTGCTTCAGGACTACAATGACTTGCTGCCAAATAATTGCATTACCCACCTGTACAATTATGAATAAACAAATTAAAAAGATAAATAAATGTATCTTCAGCCTCTAGGACTCTGGGAGCACCACAGGTAAGTTGGGACCACAGCACTTGCCAACCTGTTAAACTGCATTACATGATCAAGCAACTCATCCTCCTGATGAGAAAACTGTGCTGAGCATGGCTGAAGCAGCACTTTTCCTTTCAGCTGCATGCCTAAAGAATACGCATTTCGTCTGCATGCAGCCCTGCAGCACTTGCATCAATCTCATTAGAGAAGCCAACATTAGCAAGCAGCAGGACTCCCTTGCATTTGCTGTAGGGGTGTGGCACACGGAGGAAACGATTGCACAAATGTTTCTTACTCCATGCTTTTATAAATGTAGTGAAGAAAAATACAGAAATTACATTGCTACATTCTGCTCCCCTGAACCTATACTGATATGCACTATAATATTTGTCCCTCCTTTGACCATTAATGTCAATGCATATTAATAATAATAATAATAATAATAATAATATAGTAGTATTTCTGCTTCAACAAGATGCACAGTCCCCATGCCCCCCCAAAGAATCCCGGGAACTGTTGTTTACCCACCCTTCAGTTTCCAGCACCCTTAAACTATAGTTCCCTGGATTCTTTTTTTTTGGGGGGGGGGGTTACATTCTACTCATGGGGTTATTTGGCGGCCACTCTGAGTCCTTAAGCAAAATAAGCAAAATAACTGAATAATCTTTTAAACAAATGGGGGAAGTGATAAATGGGCAGAAATGTAGAGTGAGAAATATTCAGCAATGCTAAGATCTAATTTGAGCATTACATATTCTCTTAACGAAAAATAAGCCATGGGAGAAATATAGACAAAGAGTATTACAGTGGGTGTTATCTTATTCATCTCCCTCTGAGTATGAACAAATCAGAAGGGGATAATCACTAGCTCACCCCAGTACTGGATTCTTCTTCTTTCCAATCAATAACATTGAAGTGAGATGCCAACCTTCCCATCATAACCAGACCAAAGAATGGTATATGCTTATCTAACAGAACAGGGACGTGACCTCTAATATGTCAGGACATGGATCAACTCCATGGACTTTTAATTAGAGAAAGTAAATCCTATGCAGATGGGTGCACACAGTTGTTATGAGGTTACCCTAGCAACTGTAACCTTGCCTTTGGGTAATAGAAAGCAGAAGGTGTAAACTGACAGGGCTCTGTTAATCTTCAGCTACCTAAAGGGAATAAGGTGTTCTACGTGGATCACATAACTTCCTGGGCTGAAAGATTCAGAGATACTGCTTTTAGTACAAAATGACCCTATTTATGGATTCTGTCTGCTAGAAAACAGTCTTTACTTAATTCAACTTTAAAAACGCATACTTCATGAGGTGGTTTTGCTCCCCTCCATAAATGAAGTCTAAAGAAAACCACACTAACAAGTTTTGAAAACATGGCCATTATTTATTCTTAATTTGTAAAGTGAGCTGCGCAATAAGAGGTTCTTCATCAGTTCTGACCCAGAATGGATTTCTTCACTTTTTCTGAGTTTCAATAATTTGTGAAAACTGCATTGAAGCAGATGCAGAAAAGTGTCATCAATGGCTACTAGTTGCAATGGCTATGATCTGCTGCCACTGTTGGAGGCAGGAATGTTTCTGAGTACTAAATGTTGGAAACCACAGCAGTGGAGAGTGCTCTTCTGCATCAATCCTACTTGGTGGTTACCCAAAGGTATCTGGTTGGCCATTCTGAGATCAGGATGCTGGACTAGATGGGTGATGGTCTGATCCAACAGGCTTTCCTTATATTCTTAAAAACATTTTTATGGATGACACTTTTCTAATATAACTCAGTCAACAGCACCCTCTAGTGGTTAAAGCCTGCGAATAACTAGAGCTATTGAAAAGAAGAAATTACGGCACCTGAGACAAAATTAGAACCATAGAATTGAGTCAGAAGCTTAAATGTAAAAAAAAATAATCTAATGCCTCCTGCAATTTGTATTATTATAATAATTGTGGTAATATCTAGCACCTATCTCATGTGCTTCTTTGAACATGCCAAAGGTTTGAAAGGTGCAGGTCCATAGCTGTCAAATTTCAGATTTGAAAATAAGGGATCAGCAGCCTCGAAAATAAGGGATCAGCAGCCTCACCTGTCCCAGGGACAGTCTACGAGATATCTAACCATCCGGGACAGCAGCAGGAAATGGCACTGGAATAAGGGAATTTCCCGCAAAAAAAAGGAAAGGTTGACAGCTATGTGCAGGTCAGAAGGAAAGCAAATTAAAAGATTGAAAGAACTGGCAGCAGCGACTGGCATGAAATGGATGGCAAGTGGAGGGAAAGAGTTCAAAGCGGGCCGCCGACCGTCAGAAGCAAGCAAAAGCCTACAGCACCCAGTATTCCCAGGTGGTCTCCCATTCAAGTACAAACCAGGCCTGCCCCTGCTTAGCTGCCAAGATCACATGAGATCAGGCGTGTTCAGGGTAGTATGGCCGTAGGCACTGCACCAGTCTCCCAACGCAGCCTTTAAGCATATCCCCTCATTTTTTTACAGTGGTACCTCTGGTTAAGAACTTAATTCATTCTAGAGGTCTGTTCTTAACCTGAAACTGTTCTTAACCAGAGGTACCTCTTTAGCTAATGGGGTCTCCCGCTGCTGCTGCTGCTGCGCTGCCACCGGACAATTTTTGTTCTCATCCTGAAGCAAAGTTTTTAACCCAAGGTACTATTTCTGGGTTAGCGGAGTCTGTAACCTGAAGCATCTGTAACCTGAGGTACCACTGTATTTTTGTTTTTTGGTGCTGTGGGAGAAAAGAAGGGACAAACACTTTGTTAGTGGGGTTGAGTCTTCTTAGAGGTTCACGTATTCTGTTGAAAGGTAAAAAAATTTCATGTGAAACTCTGTCAGGAAATGCTGTTTCTAAAATGCATAGGCATATACACACAAAACAAAACCTGTTATAAAATTTATTTTTTAAAAAACACTACTTAAGAGAGGAACTCAAAGTGGGAGTGCTCTGATATTTACCTGTGGGAAAAATTGGGCATGTTAGATTTGGACCTTGGCAACCTCTTAACTTTTGATGGTCCAGTACTTAACCCTTGTGTTTTTTCTTAAGTAGTGCCTGGAGCAAAGGGCACATAAGGGTGTTTTTCCTGAACGGTTCCAAGTTTTACATAAAGAAATTTGCATGAATTTCTCCCTGCAGTCAGCTCTCTCCCCACCTCTTTTAAGTTGACATAGCCTCTGTGCATGTGCAGAGTTCATGTTTCAGCAAATCTATTATACCATTAAAAGTGTTGCATCTTTTGGCTAAATTACCATTTGAGTAAAGGGAAGGGTAAGTAATATTTAAAAATAGGGTTAGCATTAAACTCAGCAATTCATGTTTTCACCAAAGCCAGCAATAGAAGTTGGTCAAATTAAATTTGTTAACTCAGTACTAATTAATCATATTTCCTGCACACCTGCAGCCCAGGCAAAGGAAATTGGGAGTACTGCCTCCTTTATGTACAGGAATTTGGGGTGCGGGTGTCTATTAAAAAAATGTGGGCTATCATTATTGTGTCATTCGCAAAACAATCATCTGCTCCCTTATGTATGGGTAAAAATGGCCAGAGAGTCAGAATTCATAAGATCTTTAACATTCTCAGTCATTTCAGCCGTACCATTTGCAGACAAAATTCTCTGCCCTTTATTTACAGGGATGGTCAAGGCTCATTCTACTTGATTATAAATTTGTATGTGCTTAAACACTGAATAGACTTTGAAGTCTGATTCCCCCCCCAATTTTTTTTTGATTTTCACAAAATTATAAACACACAAACAGACATAAATCATAACCTTATTAAAACTAATCTTATTAACATTGTTAAGTGACTTCCTTGTATCCCCCTGGTTGAATTTCAATGCATATCATTTTAACGGTTTTCCAAATCAGTATTCTTATAAAATTAACATCTTTCTTTCTTTCTTTCCAATTCAGCATTAAACATATTAATTCATCACATTACATATTTAAATCCTAAGCCTATCTGGTAATTGCAAGCTTTTTCCAATTAGCTTAACTTAACATATTTAACGAAATAATCATTAAATTTTGGCCATTCTTCCTGGTACTCTTCCTCCTTCTGGTCATGGACTCTTCCAGTCAGGTCGGCTAGCTCCGAAAAATCCATCATCTTCACCTGCCATTCTTCCACTGTTGGTACTTCTTGCATTTTCCACTTCTTAGCTAATAAGATTCGAGCAGCAGTTGTGGCATACAAAAATAATTTAACATCTTTCTTGGGCAATTCCAAACCTGTTATTCCAAGAAGAAAGGCCTCTGGTTTCTTTATATATGCATATTTCAACATTTTTAAAATTCATTATAAATCTTTCCCCAGAAGTCTTTCACCTTGGGGCAGGTCCACCACATATGATAGAAGGTACCTTCTTTTTCTTTACATTTCCAACATAGATTATCACAGTTATGATAAATCTTTGCTAATTTAACAGGAGTCAGATACCATCTATACATCATTTTCATTATGTTTTCCTTTAACATTGTACATGCAGTGAACTTGACCCCTTTCTTCCAGTATTTCCTAATCCTCAAGCATTATGTTATGTCCTACATCTCCTGCCCAATCTATCATCACTGATTTAACTTGTTCATCCTTTGTATGCCACTCCAACAATAAGATATACATTTTAGACAGATTTTTAACTTTAGAATCCAACAACTCTGTCTCCAACTTAGATTTTTCAGAAGCAAAACCATTTTTCTTATCTAATTTATATAATTCATTAATCTGGTGGTAATGTAGCCAATTTAACTTATCTTTAACTTGATCAAATGGTTTTAGTTTGTATCCTTCTTTATCCTCCAATAATAAATCTGAATATCTCAACCATTTGATATCCATATTAAACTTTTTCTGGGCCTTCGCCTCCATTGGTGAAAGCCATCTGGGCGTCTTCCTTTCTAAAAGATCTTTATATTTTATCCAAACATTGTACAACGATTTCCTAATTACATGATTTTTAAATGCATTATGGGCCTTTAATTTATCATACCATAAATATGCATGCCATCCAAACACATTGTCAAATCCCTCCAAGTCTAAAACACTGGTATTCTCTAGTTGTATCCACTCTTTAATCCAGCAAAGCGCAGCTGCTTCAAAATAGATTTTCAAATCAAATCATATCAATTAAAAAATTCAACATAGATAACAGGACTGAAAGTGACCACCTACCTCTAATCGTCTCCACTACTGGCCAAAACTCAATTCAGCACTCTTACATAGAACATGAGGAAATAGATAAAGCAAATGAACAAGCATTGGGTAAAAAAAAAAATGGACACCTGAGATAGCAATTGAGTTGAGAGTAAATTGAATTCATAAACTGCAATTAAGTTAAGATCAATTATAATAAACAATTTATCAATAGATTCCTTCCTGACGGCGTATGAAAATCTCATTGAGTCCTTGCAGGATGTGGTCTCTGTCAACATAAACTCAGCCTGCAAGCCACGCACTGCTAAAGGAAAGAAGGAAGCCTTAAGGAACGCTTATTTGGTCTATAGAAACGCTGGACTAAATTACTTACCTCCATCTTATCTCAAAATCAAAAAAGAGTATAAAGCCCTTTTGGCCTCAAAAAAAAGGCAGTATGCCGATGTTGCAGCCATCATCTCACGTTCCAGACCATGGTTGAATTAACTGCTGAGGAAATTTTCTGATTACTGTTCTGGAAATGGTTTATCCATTAATTATGAAAAATCTAAAATTCTTGTTTTCGAAAGAAGCTTCTCCCGGTCTAAATTGGTGCTGGATGGCCATAACCTTGAACAGATCAAATACTTCAGTTATCTAGGGCTCATATTCCATCATACAGGATCTTGGAAGCATCACTGGCAAACCTCCCTTCAAAAGGCGGAGATCACAAAGCTAGCCATACTCAGATTCTTTTTCACAAAGGGCGGCAAATATGTTCCAGCAGCCTTAACGGTTTTCAACGCAAAACCCGTTTCCCAACTCCTGTACGCTGCAAATGTCTGGCATAATGGGAAGTTAAATACCTGGGGATTAACATGACAGCAAAAAATGGGAATTTATTTAAAGATAACTATGAAAAATGTTGGGCTGAAGTGAAAAAAGATTTAGAAATTTGGTCAAATTTGAAGCTTTCACTGCTGGGCCGTATTGCTGCGATAAAAATGAATGTATTGCCTAGAATGTTGTTTTTGTTTCAAACTTTGCAAATTGTGGACAAAATGGATTGTTTCAAGAGGTGGCAGAAAGATATTTCTAGATTTGTCTGGCAGGGCAAGAAGCCCAGAATAAAATTTAAAATACTAACGGATGCAAAGGAAAGAGGTGGATTTGCCCTGCCAGACCTTAAACTTTATTATGAATCAGCAGCTTTTTGCTGGCTGAAAGAATGGCTGCTTCTTGAAAACACTGATATTTTGGATTTAGAAGGTTTTAACAATGTATTTGGATGGCATGCATATCTGTGGTATGATAAGGTCAAAGCACATAAAGCATTTAAAAATCACATTGTCAGGAAAGCACTGTTTAATGTTTGGATAAGATACAAGGATTTATTAGAAAACAAAACTCCAAGGTGGCTGTCACCAATGGAAGTGAAAGCCTTGAAAAAACTCAATATGGAGGTCAAATGGCCGAAATATTGGGAAATTTTGGAACAAGATGGAGATAGACTGAAATTGCAGAGTTTTGAAAAACTAAAAACAAAGTGCGAGACTGGCTTCATTATTTTCAGATAATGGAGGCATTTAATTTGGACAAGAAAATTGGCTTCCAGGTGGAAAAATCAAAATTAGAAACTGAACTGTTAGAACCCAAAACTAAGAATTTGTCAAAGATGTATAACTTGCTGTTGAAATGGAACACTCAGGATGAAACGGTGAAATCTGTTATGATTAAATGGGCACAAGACATTGGTCACAACATTATGTTCGCTGACTGGGAGCAGTTATGGACCACAGGCATGAAATTTACGGCATGTAATGCCTTAAGAGAGAATATTATGAAAATGATATACAGGTGGTACATAACCCCAGTCAAGCTTGCAAAAATCTACCATTTGCCCGATAATAAATGTTGGAAATGTAAAGAAACTGAAGGTACATTTTTCACCTTTGGTGGACGTGCCCAAAGATTAAGGCTTTCTGGGAAATGATATATAATGAATTAAAAAGGTATTTAAATATACCTTCTTGAAGAAACCAGAGGCCTTTCTCTTGGGCATAGTCGGCCAATCGGTGTTAAAAAAGGATAGAACTTTCTTTATGTACGCAACAACAGCAGCAAGAATACTCATCGCAAAGTATTGGAAGACACAAGAGTTACCCACACTGGAGGAATGGCAGATGAAACTGATGGACTATATGGAACTGGCGGAAATGACTGGTAGAATCCGTGACCAGGGAGAAGAGTCGGTGGAAGAAGATTGGAAGAAATTTAAAGATTATCTACAGAAACATTGCAAAATCAAAGAATGTTAGAGTGATGATGGATTGAAATTAAGTGGTTTCTAGCTGTACAGGCGTTAAAGTTATATATAGATTAAGATTAAGGATTAGGCATAAAAAGGTTAAAAGAACGGCAAATTGGCTATTAATAGATAAGAATTTAATGTTATACCATATTAAGATTAAGGATTGGGATTAAAAAAGAGGGAAAGAAATTGCTGGACAAACAAATTGAACTGGAATACAAAAGATGGAGGTACGAGGAGGTCCAGAAAATAAGTAAATTCAAAAGTGGTGATGAAAAGGTGGTATTGTTTTTAATTTTTTCTTTTGGTTTTTTTTTTTTTGCATTTTGTATTGTGTATTTCTGTATTGTGTATTTTTCTTTTTACTTTTAATCTTCTTTTACTGATGTGTTCTGTTTTTATTGGAAACTTTAATAAATATCATTTTAAAAAAAACAAAACACAAATGTCTGGCATAATGGGGACCTGCCAAAGCTAGATGGCTTTCAGGCAAAGTTTCTACGATCTCTGCTGCAGGTACCCAACTGTGTCACCAACTCCATACTTCTGTTAGAAGCTGGTGAATGCCCAATTTCAACTAAAGTGTGGTGGGCTGCCCTGAAACATTGGCTCAGGATTTCAGTGTTTGATCTAGGGAAGGGTTTGTACCAACACCTGACCAATGAGGAATTTGTCAGCAAATGGCAGAAAACCATGGCTAAAAAGCCACCTCTATTGGTCTGTCACCCCCCCAAATGTATTACCTGGGTTATGAAGGCGCCCAAAAGATGTTAAAGCAAAGATTATGGGATAATGCACATAATGACTCGATCACATGCAGTCTGTAGTCCGTGTTAGGATATTTCTGTTCCACCTTAAAAGGCAGCAGGCTTTGTGAGTCACAGAGTCTGCGCATTTCCTGTTCACAGGATGTTTATGTTTCCTATTGCTTTCGTTTCTCTCTGTGTGTCGTAGACACTGAAGCAGGCAGTCATGTTTTTCTTTGTTCTGATCAACGCTGAATAAAACTTGTAAATAATGCTCTCCTGAGTGCGACTTCTGCTGTGCATTATCTGCTGATAAAGAGTGTGCATTGGCTCTAGAATGTTCTGGAGCTCATGTCGCTAATTGCTGATACTGCGTGTCTACGGGAGATCGATGGATCGTCCGGCAGCCGGCTTGGGGGCCATGATGGACTTTATCTCCCTGGCAGTATCCCAACAACAGGTTATGGGCCCAGATTCATGGCACTTACAGGAGAGTAAGACTGCGACAGACTGCGTTGAGGTATGTGGGAAAAGCGAAAGTGAGGCTGGCCTAATTGGTCTGGGAGCTGCGCCAAGCAAGCTTCGTGATTTATGGCTGCCAAGATAAGAAGTCGCTGAAGTGAATAGACTCACGGTTCAAGTAAAAACCTGGAATGGAGTTTTTCCAAGCCTCAGATGATGGCACTAAGTGCCCAAAGTTAAATTGGCACAATTATCAGACCTGGGCTGTGTGGTGTGAGAGTTTGCTGTGTCACTTTGGAGTGTGGCATACTGTGTCTGAAGCCCCTCCAGTTCCTCTGACAGATAGATGGAGAGCCCAGAATTCGAGGACCATAGACGTAATAGTCTTGTCCGTCTCTCTGGAGGACATTAAAACGCTTGCTGGTGGAAAACAAGGTTTTGCTTGCTGGAAGAGCTGCTCCAAAGCCAAGGCCAGGTTTGTTATTGATTCGGGCTGCACCCACCATGTGTCGAAAGACCGCCATCTTTTTATCTCCTTCACACCTCAAGACGGAGAGATCCACCAGGCTGATGGAAAGACGTTGCGAATTGCAGGAGTCGGGACTGTGAAACTGGCAAGTCTGCACACTACCATCAAAGATGTACTATATGTTCCAGGTGCTGCAGACAACTTGCTCAGTGTCCCACAGCTGACTGGACGTGGCTTTGAGATTTCCTTCAAGAGGAGCGTCTGTGTCATCAGGAAAGGCAAAGAGGACATTTTGCATGCAAAGTTTATGGATGGATTGTTCTGTATAACTTATGATGACAATGGTGCTGTTGTGTCTAATGTTGATTCTTGTTGTGTTGCACAAACTAACAAAGTTCTTCATGCAGGATGCATTCATGATGCACACAGAAGGTTTTGTCACCTCTCTTGGAAGGCGCTGGCCAAGATGCCAGAGATGGTTGAGGGTTTGAACATCAAACCCTGTAAGTTTCACATGAAATGTGTATCTTGTGCAGAGAACAAGGTGAAGGTTGCTCCAAAAGGTAAGGAGTCTAGCAGGCAGGCTTCCAAACCCTACCAGCTAGTGCACGCAGACCTGGTTGGTCCACTTGCGCCCTCTTTGGGTGGAGCAAGGTACTTCATGGTTCTAATTGATTCTTTTTCCAGGTACATTCATGTGTTTATGCCCGAGCAGAAATCGCAAGCGTTTCCTAAGTTCAAGGCATTCTGTGCTTGGTTGGAGAATGTTCACGGTAAACGCATTGGTTGTTTGTTTACTGATCGAGGCGGGGAGTTCACTTCTCAGCAGTTTGAAGCTTTCCTGACTGAGAAGGGAATCCAGCATGACATGTCAACGCCTAGATCGCCATGGATGAATGGGCTTGCGGAGCGAGCAAATCAAACGTTGCTGCAAGGACTGAAAACCTTGTTGCATGATGCCAATCTCCCTGATAAGTATTGGGGGGAGGCTCTGTCGAATTTTGTTTACACTTATAATCGCAGATTGTCATCACCTATTGGTTGTACCCCCTATGAGAAGATGTTTGGTAAGAAACCCAACATCAAGCACATGAGAATCTTTGGTTCTGACATGTGGGTACACACCCCACAGAGCAACAAGCTTGGGAAGCGTGGGGCACATGGTTTGTTCATGGGGTACGAAAAAGGAGCATACAGGGTGTGGATGACTGACTCTAAGTCCATTAAGTTCACAAAGAGTGTTGAGTACAATCCTAAGTGGGGGGGAAATGTGGGAATTTTCCAGAGTTACCCAGAAGAGGATGAAGGTGATGTGAAGAAAGCAGATAATGTTGAGGAAGCTGAGGATGATGATGATCAGAGTTCGGATTCCAGCTCAGTGAGCGGCGCTGCTGCTGTCAGTGACAGTGATGACACAGCAGACTACAAGAGCGCAAAGGCCTCAGTCAGAGCATCTGATGCATCTGACAATGAACTGGAACAACCACTCTTCACCATTGGTCACTTTTCTCCTAAGAAAGAGGAGATGAGTCCAGAAGACTTGCGTCTAGTACGCAGATCTGAGAGAGCCACAAAGGGCAGACCTCCAAAGAGATTTGCTGATGAGTTTGCTGAGACAGCAACTGCTGTTCTTAGTAGCTCAGAGAAGGTGTGGGAACCTTCAAGCTTCAAAGAGGTTCAGGAGTTAACCTCTAAAGATGCTGAACCTTGGCTAAATGCTATGAAGGCTGAAGTTGATTCCTTGAATAGGAACCAAACTTGGGAACTGGTACCGGTAGTCCCAGGAATGAGACTGGTTGGCAGCAAATGGGTCTTCAAGGCCAAGACAGACCAGAATGGCAAGGTTGTCAGACACAAAGCCAGATTGGTTGCCAGAGGTTTTTCACAGGTACCAGGACAGGATTACCATGAGACCTACTCACCCACCGTCAAATATGAGAGCATTCGGCTGATGCTCAAGATCGCTGCGGAGGAGAAACTGCATGTTTCCCATCATGACATTAATACAGCTTTTTTGTACGGGATTTTGGGGGAGGAGCTGTTTATGCTTCCATCTGACGGGATGCAGATACAGAAGGGAATGGTCTGTAAACTCCGGAAATCCTTATATGGTCTCAAGCAGAGTGCCAGGTGTTGGAACACGAAACTCACTGAGACATTGCTTTCTCTAGGTTTTCACCAGGGCAAAGCTGATCCATGTGTGTTTGTCAAGGAGGAGGGGCAAAACAAACTGTATTGTTTATGTTTTGTTGATGATCTTCTGATGTTTTGGAAGAATCAGGCTTTGTACCAAAGCACCCTAGCTCAGCTGAAGGAGCACTTTGACATGAAGGATCTTGGTGAGGTATCCAACTATCTTTCTCTGCAGGTGGAGAGGGACCAAGCAGGTAATTTTCTGGTACACCAAACACAGAAAATTACTGATGTATTAACCAGGTTGAATTTGGTTGATGCAAACCCAGCAGGCACACCGATGGTGACAGGTTACCAGGTAGATAGTACTGCTGAAGTGTTTTCTGACACAACGCTGTACAGATGCATTCTAGGCAAGTTGAATTTCATTGCTAGATGCTCAAGACCTGACATAGCTGTAAGCACTAACCTGCTTAGCAGACATGCTAACAATCCTACTGTTCAGGATTGGAAAGCTCTGAAGCACATAGCCCGCTATTTGAAAGGGACTTTGCACTACAGGCTGAGGTTCACCAGTCAGAAGACTGGAGGTCTTGAAATCTTTGCAGATGCAAGTTTTGGAAGTGACACCACGGATGGTACAAGCACTTCTGGAGTATGCTACATGTACAACCACTGTCTGTTTGACTGGCTGTGCAGGAAGCAGATGACAGTGAGCCTAAGTTCCTGTGAAGCAGAACTCAATGCTTTGTCATTTTCACTCATGGATTGTGAATGGTTGATGCAACTGTTTAAGGACATCAGAGTTTCTGTGAAATGTCCTGTACAAGTGTATCAAGACAATAGATCGTGTTTGGCTTTGCTGAACTCAGAGAGTTGCAAGCAAAGAACCAAGTACTTGCAGATTAAGCTACATCGTGCAAGAGAGTGTATTCAGAAAGGACTCATTCAGGTGTCCTACATGCCAGGAAATGAAATTCCTGCTGATCTGTTGTCTAAGGTTGTTAACAGAGAACAACTTAAGGTTTATGTACAAAGGTTGCAATTGGGTTGAACCACAGGTACTACAGGTTACACGGAAAGGGGAGGATGTTAGGATATTTCCGTTCCACCTTAAAAGGGAGCAGGCTTTGTGAGTCACAGAGTCTGCGCATTTCCTGTTCACAGGATGTTTATGTTTCCTATTGCTTTCGTTTCTCTCTCTGTGTCGTAGACACTGAAGCAGGCAGTCATGTTTTTCTTTGTTCTGATCAACGCTGAATAAAACTTGTAAATAATGCTCTCCTGAGTGCGACTTCTGCTGTGCATTATCTGCTGATAAAGAGTGTGCATTGGCTCTAGAATGTTCTGGAGCTCATGTCGCTAATTGCTGATACTGCGTGTCTACGGGAGATCGATGGATCGTCCGGCAGCCGGCTTGGGGGCCATGATGGACTTTATCTCCCTGGCAGTATCCCAACAGTCCGCTGGCAGTAGGAGTACAATATGGGCATGTCTTTAAGTTAACATCTTACATTAAAAACCTGACAGTACCAAACTATCGAAGGCTTTTCAACAAAGCCAGACTAAACGTCTTTCCTTCTGCAGTGTTGGATGGCAGGTTGAGAGGAGTTCCCTACCAGGACAGACTTTGCTCGTGTGCTCAAGACATCGATTCCATAAAACATATTTTGTTGCACTGTGCAAAATATGAGCAAGCCAGGGCTGAACTGATACTACCCTTGCTGGTACCTTTCCCGGGAAAATCAGAGGCTCACTCTATGTCAGGTTCCTATTGGAAGACCGGACAAATGCTAGAACATTAGCAGTGGCAAAGTTTTTATCGATGGTTGCAAGAACCAATGATCCCTACATTCTGAACAAAATGCTTGTTTAACCTGGAGGTAGGCTGTATGAATTGTGTATTGCTTTGTAATGATTTGTTGGGTCTCTGGACCATAATAAAGATTGTTGTTGATTTTCAAATCTGGCAGGGGAAATCCCCCTTTCTTTAGAATTCATAAGTAATTTATATTTAATTCTGGGGTTTCCCCCCTGCCAGATAAATCTAGATAGCGCTTTTTGCTATTCTTTAAAACATTTCACATTGTCTATGATTGGGAGGGCTTGGAGCAGAAATAACATCTTTGGCAACACATTCATCTTAACCACTGAAATCCGGCCCATTAATGACAATTTTAAATTTGACCATATCTCTAAATCTCTCTTAATTTCATTCCATAATTTCTCATAGTTATCTTTGTACAAATTCAATTTTTCCCCAGATTCACCCCCAGATATTTAACTTTTTTCACGAAATCTTTTCTTCTAATAGTTTTCTTTCGTCATTATCCAGATTTTTCTCTAATACTTTGATTTTGCTCTTATTTAACTTAAATCCCACTACCTGTCCGAATTCCTGTATCAGCTCCAGTGCTTTTGCTGCACTGGAGTCTAGATCTTTTAGTGTCAATACTAAATCGTCAGTAAAGGCTTTTAATTTATATTGTTTGGCTCCTACTGTGATACAGTGGTACCTCGGGTTAAGAACTTAATTCATTCCGGAGATCTGTTCTTAACCTGAAACTGTTCTTAACCTGAAGCACCACTTTAGCTAATGGGGCCTCCCACTGCTGCCACACCACTGCCGCGTGATTTCTCTTCTCATCCTGAAGTAAAGTTCTTAAACCGAGGTACTATTTCTGGGTTAGCGGAGTCTGTAACCTGAAGCGTATGTAACCCGAGGTACCACTGTACCTTTAATTTGTTCATCTTTTCTAATCATACTTAGCAAGACCTCTAGGACTGAAATAGACAGCAGAGGGGAAAGTGGGCATCCTTGCCTGATTCCGTTTTCAATTCTAATTTCCTCCAATACCACATTATTTACAATAATTTTGGCTTTTTGTTCTTGATAGATCACTTCAATAACATTTAAAAAGTCTTGACCAACCCCCATACTTTCAAAGTTATGTAACATAAAACTCCAAGATACATTGTTAAAGGCTTTCTCTGTGTCAATAAACATTAACATTGCTTTGCAGTTCTTTCTTGCTTCCAACTTATCCAAAATATCAATAATATTCCCAATATTATCTTTCATATGTCTTCCAGGCAGAAATCCTGCCTGGTCCTTATGTATATGCTCAGACAAAACTTATTTTAGCCTGCTAGCAAATATATATTTGCAAAAATTTTGTAAACCACATTAAGTAAGGAGATTGGTCTGTAGTTCTTGAAACTGGGTCTATCTTGACCCTGTTTGGGAATCAGTAATATAAGCTTCCTTCCAGGTTTCAGGTGCCTTGCCCCCTCGTAAAATCAGATTACCAGAGGTTGAATGAGCCAATCTTTCAATGTCTTATAATATTTTGCTGATAGACCATCTGGCCTCGGTGCCTTGCCAAATTACATTGAATGCATTGCATGTTCCACTTCCTGTCTTGTGATTAGTACCTTTAGTAAAATCTTTTTATCTTCTGGAATATTCTGCAAACCATTAGTTTTAATGAATTGCTCAGTTTTTGCCTGGTCCTCTTTATCTTTTCTATACAGTTGTTTGTTATACTTATAAAAACATTTTCTTATGTTCGTAGGGTTCTCTACGGATTTTCCTTCTGTTACAATTCTTGTGATAGTACTTTGCTTTTGTCTCTTTTTTAATTGCCAGGCTAGAAGTTTCCCACATTTATTTGCAGATTCAAAGTTTCTTTGTCTCATCCTCCTTAACTTCCATTCTATTTCTTGATTTACAACCTGTGAATATTGAATGTGTAGGGTTTTAATTTCTTTTCATATCTGCAAATTCTTTGGATTTCCTCTAAGCTTCTTCTCTTTGTCTTTTAATTGCTCCATAATTTTATCTTTTTTCTCATTCTGTGACTTTTTCCTAATTGAATTTTGTTGAATAAGAAATCCTCTAATTTCTGCTTTGCTGGAATCACAAATAACTCTCGTTTCCATTCCAATTCACACTTAGTTCAAAACAGTCCTTTAGGGCTTTTTGGGCTTTATTTACAATTGAAGTACTTCTCAACATATCATCATTTATTCTCTATCTGAAGGAACCCTGCATGAACACGTTCAGGTCCATAAAAACTGCATTATAATCAGAGCATATTTTAGGGCAAATTTCCGTTTTTGATACTTTAGGAAACAAGTCGCTGGATATCCATAAATAGTCTGTTATTGAAAATGATTGATTTGCATCTGGAAAAACGTGGTCTTTTTCAGTTGGTGTTTACAATGCTTATATATTCAACAATGCCTAATTCTGATCATAGGGGTATTATCTTTGCCCATGTTTTCCTTGCAACTGATTTTGAGCATAGATTTATACAATGACTTACAGCAGCCTCTGAATGCAGCCTTAAAAAAGAGTGCAGGGAAAGTGCCTCCCCTGAGGCCCTGGATGATTTCGCCATGCAGTTTTCACACTGTGAAGTTCCTGTCCATTCATGGCTCTTAAAAAGCAAATGAAAAGATCAAAAGAGCAGGCAGCAGTGCCTGGCAAGAAATGGGCGGCAAGTGGAGGGGCAGAGTTGAAAGCGGGGCCGCTGAGCGGCAAAAGGAGGCAAAAGCCTACGGCACCCGGTATTCCCAGGCGGTCTCCCATCCAAGTACTAACCAGGCCTGACCCTGCTTAGCTTCCGAGATCAGACGAGATCGGGCGTGTTCAGGGTAGTATGGCCGTAGACGCTGTACCAGCCTCCGAACCCAGCCTTTAAGCAAGAGCGCAGGGAAGCGCCTCCCCGAGGCCCTGGATGCTTTCCCCACGCAGCTTCGCCTTGCGTAGCTCCTGTCCATTCGTGGCTGTCTTTGAATGCAATTCAACTGAACAGCCTGCAGATGCATTCCGCTTGCAGCTCTCCTCTGGAGCACTTGATGTCCAGCAGCTGGCGCTCTCCAGCGGTGGTGAAAGCACATTTGTCGGCGGTCAGCCTCTGGCCTAGCAATTCTCGGCGTAGTAGCTCATTTTGGGCCCTGGATGCTTTCCACGTGCAAGCAGGTTTGAAAGGGGCAGGTCAGAAGGAAAGCAAGTGAAAGGAAAGATCAGGCAGCAGCGCCTGGCATGAAATGGGCGGCAAGTGGAGGGGCAGAGTTGAAAGCGGGGCCGCTGAGCGGCAAAAGGAGGCAAAGCCTACGGCACCCGGTATTCCCAGGCGGTCTCCCATCCAAGTACTAACCAGGCCTGACCCTGCTTAGCTTCCGAGATCAGACGAGATCGGGCGTGTTCAGGGTAGTATGGCCGTAGACGCTGTACCAGCCTCCGAACCCAGCCTTTAAGCAAGAGCGCAGGGAAAGCGCCTCCCCCGAGGCCCTGGATGCTTTCCCCACGCAGCTTTCGCCTTGCGTAGTTCCTGTCCATTCGTGGCTGTCTTTGAATGCAATTCAACCGAACAGCCTGCAGATGCATTCCGCTTGCAGCTCTCCTCTGGAGCACTGGATGTCCAGCAGCTGGCGCTCTCCAGCGGTGGTGAAAGCACATTTGTCGGCGGTCAGCCTTTGGCCTAGCAATTCTCGGCGTAGTAGCTCATTTTGGGCCCTGGATGCTTTCCACGTGCAAGCAGGTTTGAAAGGGGCAGGTCAGAAGGAAAGCAAGTGAAAGGAAAGATCAGGCCGCAGCGCCTGGCATGAAATGGGCGGCAAGTGGAGGGGCAGAGTTGAAAGCGGGGCCGCTGAGCGGCAAAAGGAGGCAAAAGCCTACGGCACCCGGTATTCCCAGGCGGTCTCCCATCCAAGTACTAACCAGGCCTGACCCTGCTTAGCTTCCGAGATCAGACGAGATCGGGCGTGTTCAGGGTAGTATGGCCGTAGACGCTGTACCAGCCTCCGAACCCAGCCTTTAAGCAAGAGCGCAGGGAAGCGCCTCCCCCGAGGCCCTGGATGCTTTCCCCACGCAGCTTTCGCCTTGCGTAGCTCCTGTCCATTCGTGGCTGTCTTTGAATGCAATTCAACCGAACAGCCTGCAGATGCATTCCGCTTGCAGCTCTCCTCTGGAGCACTGGATGTCCAGCAGCTGGCGCTCTCCAGCGGTGGTGAAAGCACATTTGTCGGCGGTCAGCCTTTGGCCTAGCAATTCTCGGCGTAGTAGCTCATTTTGGGCCCTGGATGCTTTCCACGTGCAAGCAGGTTTGAAAGGGGCAGGTCAGAAGGAAAGCAAGTGAAAGGAAAGATCGAAAGAGCAGGCCGAAGCGCCTGGCATGAAATGGGCGGCAAGTGGAGGGGCAGAGCTGAAAGCGGGGCCGCTGAGCGGCAAAAGGAGGCAAAAGCCTACGGCACCCGGTATTCCCAGGCGGTCTCCCATTCAAGTACTAACCAGGCCTGACCCTGCTTAGCTTCCGAGATCAGACGAGATCGGGCGTGTTCAGGATAGTATGGCCGTAGACGCTGTACCAGCCTCCGAACCCAGCCTTTAAGCAAGAGCGCAGGGAAAGCGCCTCCCCCGAGGCCTGGATGCTTTCCCCACGCAGCTTTCGCCTTGCGTAGTTCCTGTCCATTCGTGGCTGTCTTTGAATGCAATTCAACCGAACAGCCTGCAGATGCATTCCGCTTGCAGCTCTCCTCTGGAGCACTGGATGTCCAGCAGCTGGCGCTCTCCAGCGGTGGTGAAAGCACATTTGTCGGCGGTCAGCCTTTGGCCTAGCAATTCTCGGCGTAGTAGCTCATTTAGGGCCCTGGATGCTTTCCACGTGCAAGCAGGTTTGAAAGGGGCAGGTCAGAAGGAAAGCAAGTGAAAGGAAAGATCGAAAGAGCAGGCCGCAGCGCCTGGCATGAAATGGGCGGCAAGTGGAGGGGCAGAGTTGAAAGCGGGGCCGCTGAGCGGCAAAAGGAGGCAAAGCCTACGGCACCCGGTATTCCCAGGCGGTCTCCCATCCAAGTACTAACCAGGCCGGACCCTGCTTAGCTTCCGAGATCAGACGAGATCGGGCGTGTTCAGTGTAGTATGGCCTGAGACGATGTACCTTCCTGCGAACCGAGCCTTTAAGGAAGTTCGCTGGTAAAGCGCCTCCCGAGGCCCTGGATGCTTTCCCCACGCAGCTTTCGCCTTGCGTAGCTCCTGTCCATTCGTGGCTGTCTTTGAATGCAATTCAACCGAACAGCCTGCAGATGCATTCCGCTTGCAGCTCTCCTCTGGAGCACTGGATGTCCAGCAGCTGGCGCTCTCCAGCGGTGGTGAAAGCACATTTGTCGGCGGTCAGCCTTTGGCCTAGCAATTCTCGGCGTAGTAGCTCATTTAGGGCCCTGGATGCTTTCCACGTGCAAGCAGGTTTGAAAGGGGCAGGTCAGAAGGAAAGCAAGTGAAAGGAAAGATCGAAAGAGCAGGCCGCAGCGCCTGGCATGAAATGGGCGGCAAGTGGAGGGGCAGAGTTGAAAGCGGGGCCGCTGAGCGGCAAAGGAGGCAAAAGCCTACGGCACCCGGTATTCCCAGGCGGTCTCCCATCCAAGTACTAACCAGGCCTGACCCTGCTTAGCTTCCGAGATCAGACGAGATCGGGCGTGTTCAGGGTAGTATGGCCGTAGACGCTGTACCAGCCTCCGAACCCAGCCTTTAAGCAAGAGCGCAGGGAAAGCGCCTCCCCCGAGGCCCTGGATGCTTTCCCCACGCAGCTTTCGCCTTGCGTAGCTCCTGTCCATTCGTGGCTGTCTTTGAATGCAATTCAACCGAACAGCCTGCAGATGCATTCCGCTTGCAGCTCTCCTCTGGAGCACTGGATGTCCAGCAGCTGGCGCTCTCCAGCGGTGGTGAAAGCACATTTGTCGGCGGTCAGCCTTTGGCCTAGCAATTCTCGGCGTAGTAGCTCATTTTGGGCCCTGGATGCTTTCCACGTGCAAGCAGGTTTGAAAGGGGCAGGTCAGAAGGAAAGCAAGTGAAAGGAAAGATCGAAAGAGCAGGCCGCAGCGCCTGGCATGAAATGGGCGGCAAGTGGAGGGGCAGAGTTGAAAGCGGGGCCGCTGAGCGGCAAAAGGAGGCAAAAGCCTACGGCACCCGGTATTCCCAGGCGGTCTCCCATCCAAGTACTAACCAGGCCTGACCCTGCTTAGCTTCCGAGATCAGACGAGATCGGGCGTGTTCAGGGTAGTATGGCCGTAGACGCTGTACCAGCCTCCGAACCCAGCCTTTAAGCAAGAGCGCAGGGAAAGCGCCTCCCCCGAGGCCCTGGATGCTTTCCCCACGCAGCTTCGCCTTGCGTAGCTCCTGTCCATTCGTGGCTGTCTTTGAATGCAATTCAACCGAACAGCCTGCAGATGCATTCCGCTTGCAGCTCTCCTCTGGAGCACTGGATGTCCAGCAGCTGGCGCTCTCCAGCGGTGGTGAAAGCACATTTGTCGGCGGTCAGCCTCTGGCCTAGCAATTCTCGGCGTAGTAGCTCATTTTGGGCCCTGGATGCTTTCCACGTGCAAGCAGGTTTGAAAGGGGCAGGTCAGAAGGAAAGCAAGTGAAAGGAAAGATCGAAAGAGCAGGCCGCAGCGCCTGGCATGAAATGGGCGGCAAGGGGAGGGGCAGAGTGGCACGCGGGGCCGCTGAGCGGCAAAAGGAGGCAAAGCCTACGGCACCCGGTATTCCCAGGCGGTCTCCCATCCAAGTACTAACCAGGCCTGACCCTGCTTAGCTTCCGAGATCAGACGAGATCGGGCGTGTTCAGGGTAGTATGGCCGTAGACGCTGTACCAGCCTCCGAACCCAGCCTTTAAGCAAGAGCGCAGGGAAAGCGCCTCCCGAGGCCCTGGATGCTTTCCCCACGCAGCTTTCGCCTTGCGTAGTTCCTGTCCATTCGTGGCTGTCTTTGAATGCAATTCAACCGAACAGCCTGCAGATGCATTCCGCTTGCAGCTCTCCTCTGGAGCACTGGATGTCCAGCAGCTGGCGCTCTCCAGCGGTGGTGAAAGCACATTTGTCGGCGGTCAG